TGTGGCCATCGCCGACTATTTGCTGGCAGTGGTCACGCTACCTGTCAACGAGAGCGCCAAGAACATTGCCGTCCGACGACATGCTCAAGACCATGAATACCGAGCCCTCCGTACGAGACACACTGAAGGGAGGGTGTGGCGACATTCTTTCTTCCTTTCCGGAGCCTTGATTAGATTTTCACGGCCTATCAGACCCGTCCAAGCTCCCTCCAGGCTCCGAGGCCGGGTTTTTCAACAACATCATCAAGTCGCCCTGTTCATCGACTGTGGGTCACCAAAGACGGCCCATTGCTTTTCGCAGAAGCACACTCAAACTTTTTCCTGGGGCTCTGTATGCAACAATTCTGCCAACGGACTTATCACCCGCGTTGGCAATCAAGCAACTGCTCTTTCTGCGACCCATGGCGAGCTGGGCTGCACATGTTGTTGGTCGCCAACAACCACTTGCTTTTTTGCCTTACGCCTCACCGATGCCCGACCTTGCCATGGGACACGGCATCAGACGATGATTTGCCAGTTGTCTTGCTGATCACGAGTACAGATCAAGTTGCGTTTCTCGCCAGACTGTTGCCGCTGCTTGATATGTTTCTCGCAAGCTGCACCTGCATTGGGAAAAGTGAAGCGATTTCCTCTCCCGTTTGCTGCTCAGAGGGGCTTTGATACTCCCTAGTCAAGTCTCGCAGGCACCTGAGTGCTGAAATCCATCATTTCCACATCGCTGGGGTCTGTACGCCCGTTTCTCGGTTGCTATCCAACATCCGTAACGTTGTGGTCTAGGATATGCGAAAAAGAAAATGTTGGTAGCGGATGAAGAGCGTCTGGGGCATCCCACGGAGAGGAGCGGTGACATCTGCTTTCTTCAACTCGGCCAATCATTCATGCAACCTGTTCCACAACGTCCCCTGGCGCATCCCGACCTCCGAAGCCCGGAAGCCCGGAAGCCCTCCATATACCCTGGCGGCCGCATTGGACGGTAAGCAAGGATCGGCTGATCCACTCCCGTCAACTCATTTCGAGTATCCCCGATGGCACAATTGGCTAGCGCGTCAGACTGTTAATCTGGAGGTTGGTGGTTCGAGCCCACCTCGGGGAGAATTGGTGGTTAAATTCCACATTGACGATCAACGATATCTTTTGTCTTTTTTGGCGGCGGTTATGTGTTTGAGACTTCTATGCTGCATGTCTCCGGCTCATGCATGTATCAGCCGGCCGTCGATAGACTACATTGTCTATTCTACGCTTCCGTGCGAAGTCTTCTTGCCCCCTCAGTCTCCAGGGTCCCCAATCAACCAATGTACGATCTCTTGGGAATTGCGGATTTGTCTCTTCCAGCCTATCGTACGTTGCAATGTCAATCGTCTGCTGTGTCTCACGGTTCGCTGATCTACAGTGACTGGCAGGGTAAGGATCCGGAAAGCCTGTCGTTCACCCCCGTGAACGTGGCTCAAAGCGATTAGACATGCATGTTGGTATTCCATTTGCGAGTTACACCCGGACACGGCCGTACAAGTACATGGGTTGCCATCCAGATAGGTTGGCCGGCAGGTCGAGTGTCACACCCGGCCCTGCGGTCAACATGGGTCCGTCCACGTCTGCGACTACGAGTCCAGGGTCGACCCAAATCCGTCTTTCCTGAACTCGCCTGCGAATTGGCGACAAGAGATTCAAACGATTGTTGCTCGACATGACTGGAATCGTGCCAACCCAAAAGTCGCAGTAGTTGTAAGTTACAACATCCAACTACGTAAGTTTTCACATAATACGAGAAGCAGCTGGCTGAAGTTTCTAGGGATCCTTGTCTCTTGTACAGGTCTTGCATTTTCTCATTGCGACTTGCAGTTTGCTTTCTTTTTGCATGCCAGTAGTTGGTCATGCTAAAACCCCAGTCACATGCCCAGCCTGGCTTCGACTGAAGAACCTATGTAGACGGCGCTATTGGATGGCTTCACCTTCGGTCAAGGCTTTCTCACCGGTCTGGTTTGCTGCTGGATGGCATGGGCTTCGTCCCTGTAAGGGGTGTTTCTCCACCTCAATATCGCTAGGAGCCTTAAAGCTTGGCTTCCGTATGGTCTCGGTGGCCCCCATGTGAGTTTCCCCGTCATCGTCTTGTGACAGGTCACTTACCACCATGTTGTAGCCTCGTAGATCTTTCACCGCCGGCCATCAAGTGAGGCACTGGGGTTAGAGGTATTGCGGCTGGAAGGGGGCACAAGCCGATGACGCATACAGCTTATTGGCCAGCCGCGCAGTTCCATGTTGTGGCATTTCCCGACAAGGCTTTTAGTGATGGCAATGCATGTCTCTCGGGTCCTCGAGATTTCCTAAAAGCAGCATTCTTCAAGGCTGAGATCCTTGCGGCAGGCATTATCACGTTACACAGCCTTAGACATTGCCTGCTGCGTTGCACTATCCCTACTTAGGAGCCTGGATTCGGGTCGAGATCTTTACCATGCTCGCCCTCCTCTGGCACTCCTGGTCATTTTTCACGTCTTTCCTCTCTGCCCCGGGACCGTTTCCAATACGCTATCCATGGATTAATCACCTGTTGAGCAACAAGGGGCCCATGGAGCCTCTGCCTCATGCCCAACGAGGGCCAGCTTCGAAGAACCCGGGATTCCGATCAAGCTGATACGGTGTTTTCATGGGTCTCCAACAGCCTCTCGCATTCCGTTCGTCGGTGTATGCTTACACCGCTGCTTGGGATTGGGGCGATGCTTCAGTCATCCGAGTCGTCCGGGGCCCAAGGCTGACAGCAATCTCTACTATCCCGGCTGTGAAGCATTGCCGGTTCTGACGCACGCCGCTCTAAATGGCAGTCAAACCCAAGCAACAACTGGCCAACATCGGCCTAGACCGTTTAAGCGAGCCAAGGTGAGGCGAGTTCGAGTTTGGAGATGTTGGATTCTGCCTCCTATTATTGTTGTCAGGGGCATCTGTGTATTGCCAAAGGCCCTCTATCCGGTAGAGCTCCGCAGGTGTCCAAGTTGGTCCTGTTGCCTAAGACCAAGAAACGTATGCGAATGAACACGTCAGATCATGATTGACGCGTGTCCAAGCCTAGCGAAAGGATCCTCATCTCACTGTCCAGGAAGTGAGGTGATATCATCCAGGCTGTAGATTCCGTTGCTTGCCTGGGCCGGTCACAAGGAGACCAGTTGATGCGGAGGCCAAGACGGATTCGACAGCAGCATCGGCAATCCTCGGCAAGCGCAGCCAACAACTGATTGCTGTTGACATCGGCATGCCGGATACATGCGAGGCAGTTGATCACGGCTGCGTAGCCAGAGGCTTGTAGCTGTGATAGGGATTGGTTGGGCAGCAACGTGGACGAGCAGGTGTCGGAGATGATGGCCAACGTCGAGTTGGAGGTCTGGCATATAGGGCCGGATGGCTCAATTGGGTGACACTTTGTGCGACAGAAGGACCGGGAGGGAATTTCCATCACAGATGGCCCCCGAGGATGCAGTGGACGGGAGTGGCAGTGAGTGATGAACTGGCAGATGCTAACCACATAGGCACGGTCCGATGACCCTGAAACCGATCGATATCTGGAAAACGAGGCGTCCTGTTGGCGAGGACAACGCTGCAATGTCATGAATGGGGGGGCTGTCAGACTTCACGACGCATGAATGCCAGCGAGATGTGAGCCCTCCAGCAATTAGCTGCATGTCGCGTCGCTGGACGGACCTACGACATCAGGTCTTGGTCCTGAATAGGGCAGGGTGCTGCAGCATATCTTGACCGAGCCTCTCGCTGAATGGTCGAGACGTCGACTCGGTGAAGTAGAGACACGAATGGGTCGGTACTTTGAGATCAAGTCCTCGATACATGTCGTACGACTTCAAAAACGCGGACGCCGCAGGCAGAGGCTTGCATCAATGTCAGCGCAACCACGACACGAAGGCGGTGATTGATGAATGGGACGAGCGAGAGTGGTCGGGATTGATAGATGTTGATGGATGGATGCGTGGGCGGCGGAGGAAACAAGCGCAGATCTGCCCTGTTCGGCCGGGGAGGCGGCCAACGTCGGGCTGTTGGATGCGGAACATGATGTTCTGCGGCTCGTTCCAATTACAGAGCGACCTGCCCGACGACGGCCGGATGAGTGAGAGTGAGTCCCGTGGTCATGTTGGCCAACCCCAGCCATCTCTGTGCGCGCAGGCAAACTGCCTGAAGCTATCGAATGTCGTGCTTTGTTGTTTTTGATATCGGCGGAAGCACGAAAACGATGTTTCTCGGAGGGTTTTTGGAGGTGTGACGCACATGCCCTGCGCCGTTGGCCTGTACCGCAATCACAATGGAAGTTGGCGGCGGCGGCGGGGGAGCCGACCCCACTATCGTCCGTACCGTGTGTCGCACAAAGACCGACACTGTACCTCGGTTGCGACTTCATCACCGAATGACTCTGAATTTACAATTATCTGGGCGACGACGGACAGCAAGAGATGGACCCAGCCTGTCGTTGTTGCAGTGGCTTGTAGCACCTCATGGAAGCAATGGAAGCTGCAGCGGCTCTCGCTGATTCGTCCGAATATGTTAGCCGGGCTTCGGATCGAAGTAGTACCACCACCTGAACTGAACCTATCCGCTGCTACACCTACACTGTCAACACTCGGCCTTTTGTCACGGTTTCTTTTTTTCCCTCCCCTTCACTTCTCCCAACTTCAACCATCCCTGACCACACTGCACCGCGGTATCCAACGCCGCCCTTCCGCTCCGCCCATCCTTCCTTGTTCCATTTTCAAACACACCTCGACCGCGGAGGAGACAACAACGTATCCGAGCCTGTTTTCTCTCGTCCTACCACTTCCTCGGGTCGCACAAACTACCCACGCACACGAGATAGCTTTGACGCACCAACAGGCGCCAGCCACGAGCCACGCACGCGGACACAAGCTACATACCGCACGCAACCTGGTATAGCAGCGCCTCGCATCGCATCGCACCGCACCGCACCGCAGCACACACACCGCCCTACACCAGGAAAAGAAGCAACAGCCATGGCGGGCAAGAAGGGAGCAGGCGAGAACAGCAAGAAGGCTGCCGGGAACGCCCGCAAGGCCGACGCTGCCGCCCAAAAAGCTGCCGCCGAGGACGCGAAGAAGGCCGCCGTCGAGGATGCTGAGTGGTCCAAGGGCTCCAAGAGCAATGCGAAGAAGTGAGTGACAAAGGGCAATCCCTCCAAGAGGGCAAGATGAGAGATGCGGGCGGGGCACATGCTTCTCTCATGGCAGCAACCACAAATCGCGCGACAGATACAATGCTGTCACATACACCATTACTACCACCCATCACCATCACTTCTCATCCGCATCTGGCGAAACACACCGGATCTTGTTACCCCGCAAAGAACAGCATGGCACAGGGTATTGGCTGACACGTTCTTCGATCCCAGGGAGGCGGAAGCTGCCAAAAAGGCCGAGGCGGCCAAGAAGAAGGCCGAGCGCGAGGCCGCACTGAAGGAGGAAGAAGCCAGCTTGCCGTCGCGAGCCGGGCCCAAGAACGCCAAAACGGCCGTCAAGAAGACCCGCGGGCTCGATCTGTCACAGCTGGACGACAACGGCGGCTCGCAGGGTGCCCTCAACGCCTCTGGTATCGACAACGCCCTCGACGCCCTCTCGCTTACCGGCTCTTCCGACGCCAAGATCGACAGACACCCCGAGAGACGCTTCAAGGCTGCCTACGCTGCCTTCGAGGAACGTCGCCTCGAGGAGATGGAGGCCGACGGCTCGGGCAAGGGCCTGCGTCTGCAGCAGAGGAAGGACAAGATCAGGAAGGAGTTCGAGAAGAGCCCCGAGAACCCCTTCAACCAGGTCAACGCCAAGTTCGACTCCACCAGGGAGGAGCTGGCCCAGCTGAAGGCGAGCGAGAAGCAGAAGATTGAAGCCAGGCTTGGTTCCAAGTAGGCCTCTCTTCGCATCTATCACGCCAGCCAGCCTGAGATACACATATAGACATAGCACAAGGATGCCGAGGCTGGGACGAGTCTAGCATCGGTCACATCCCTACGTGATAAATGACCTGATTTTCGATATTATGCATTTGATCATGAGGCCAAATTTACCCCTCCATGGCAATTGTGCGAATGAGATTTCTTTCCGGTATACACGACATGTAACGTTCACTGACGGACAACCGCCATCCATCGGGGAAATACTCGGCCACGCCGTCATCTCTCTTCCACGTTGTCTCTTTTTTGTTCCCGCCTCAGCCGACCCGACAAGAACGACGATTCACTCGACCGAGATCGCTGCGAAATTTGGCGGGGTAGCTCGCTCTTACGTAGGAGGTGGGGTAACGTACTGACTGCCCTCCAGATAAGATTAGAACGAGAGCTTCTTATCGTGATAACGAATAATTCCGGCAGAATCATACACCGCCTTTCTTGACCGCCCTCAGCTATGCATGAATGAGTCCGTCAACAACCGTCTCATGTCCTAACCGCATCATTATTGACAAAATTTCATCTCATCAGAAAAAGGTCCAGCTCACGAATGCCTCATCGAGACCCAAGATGGCGAGTCTAAGAATGGGCAGTATGCCGTCGTTGAGACGGCAGCACCTTCTGGCCGAATTGTGAGGTTCTCCCCAAGTGTCAAAACACACATACACCACCCCTGAATACGGGAATGTGGACCACACATACATGTAATCGCTAACACTCCGCTTATAGCGCCGGTCTCAAGCAGGCATGTCCAGAGGGCGTATTTGTGAGCTTAACACCAGGAGACCCGATGCTGTGGTCTGGCGTCATGTTCGTGAGGCACGGTACTGCAAGACCCATGATGAGAAAGGCTCCAGGCACACCTGGCTGAGACTGTTCACAGGACCCTACGCCACGGCCATCCTTAGATTCCAAATTTCGTTCCCCGACACCTACCCGCGGCTACCGCCCCTCGTGACTTTCTCGACGGACATGTTCCACCCGCTCATCACTCCATTAACGACGTACATGTACACCACCGACATCCAGGACAACGGCACCGTGAGCGCCACCGACGCCGAGCGTTTGCCGCCCGGCGGCTTCAGCCTGCGACACGGTTTCCCGGCTTGGTTTGGACGGGGAAGTCGGAGCGCTGCGGGGAGCAGGCAAGTTAGCGGACAGCAGCAGCCGCCCGCGACGCCGGCGAGAGGGGGTGCGTCGAGCAGTGCGGCCACAACTCCGAACTCGAAGGCAACTCCGCCCGGAGGACGCCCCGGGTATTTGGACACTTCGAGGCGAGAGGTCTCGACTTACGAGGTTTTGAGGTATATTCGGAGCACATTCGACGACGAGAGCGTACTTGATTCGGTGCCGCTTGAGGCCGCGGGAAACCCCGGTGCGTGGCACGCGTGGAAGTCGCGTCAGAGACAGGTTGGCAAGGGCTCTGTAGTTGCTGTACCGCAGCCAGAGGAGAAGAAGGAGGGGCAGGAGCAGGAGGAGCAGATCAAGGAGGGTGAAGCTGCCGATGGCGAGGGAAAGACGGAGCAGGATGCCCCAGTACCTGAGGCCGAGCCTACTCCTGAGGCCGAGCCCAAGCCCGAGCCGTCGACACCAGTCGCCAACGCGATTAAGAGGAAGCCTGTGTCTGGTGTCGTTCCGACCCCAAAACACCCGGGAGAGTGGAACTGGGAAGGCGTGTGGGAGGACAGAGTTCAGAAAGGCATCGCGGCATCTCTTTCAGAAGCTGTCCTATACGGAGCAGCGAGTGGCGGTGATGATCTGGTGAGTTTTCTCTACTCGTTGACAGGCAACCTCGGAAGCAGATGCTGACTCAAAACAGATCAACTTCCTCGCAATGGAGGACATCGAAGTGGACTCTGTGCGGGATAACCTGCTGAGGACGCTGGGAAGCGGCACCGCGACTCCTGAACGGAAGAGCATGGACCGAAGGTCTAGCATGCAGGGCGTGCCTGCCGCCGAGTGATTGGTTTCTTGATAGCGACTTCCTTCTTTTACCTCATGACATTACCTTAGATGACCCCTCCTATATCTCTGCTGCTTGCATGCAACCGCACTTGGGCTTTTCTCCCGACTTCACATCACTCATAGCATCGAGACTCTTCAATAATAATCATCTTCAACGCCAGACCACTGCGCGCGAGCATCTCTTCTCGACTATGGGCATACCAGCCGCCCTATACGTCTTTCTGCTTGTCCTTGCCACCATAAGCTTCCCCGCTGTCTGCTTCGGTTTACTTTGGGTCTTCGTTTTCCGGCATTTCAGAGACGCCGCCGGGCTTCGCGAACCAAGCACTCGACGCTAGTTGGGTTTGAGGCGGAAGCATTCCGGAAACAGCCTCGGCTCGCGTTCTCAGATCCTCGCGGACTCGTGGCCTGACCTCGAGAGTGCTCGCGCACGCGGTGATACACCTCCCCCGCGACTAGGCCTTGACATTGAACTCGCCGACTTCGCAGGCCAGGTTCAGGAACCGTCAGCTACGTGGCATCCCCCGAGAGAGACCCGCCTGACATGGAGCTTTTCGCCGACGAGGTTGGATCGGGATCGGAGGGCCCGGCGGCACGGCCACGGCCACTCCGCGTACTCAAGAGACTCGGGAATCGGGACGGACAAGTCGGAGGACGCTATGGAACAACATTGCAATTGAGCAGCGAGACGAATGACAACGAAAGCCAAGGTAGTGGCCCAGAAGAGGCTGACGAGCCCTTGGTAGTCATGAAGAAGAGAGGTGAGAGACATACGCCTAGGCCCGTTGGACTTGGTTAGAGCCCGGCCTACAACTATCGTCCGCCATTTCCGCTTTCTACTGGTACGTGTCTCTCCTACATGAGAAATATGCTACTGACAAGAACAGTGCTCCGCGGGACTGCCAGCACCGACAACGAGGGAACCGGTACAAATAGCAACGACATACGCGGCTTCGACATCGATAGAAATGAATTGCCGCTCAGTTCCTACGATGGCCATCATCTCACTACCCAGCCATGTAACCGCCGCCAGCTTTCCGATCCGTTCAGCGACCCAATTCCAACGCAGGAAGCAGCAATTCTCGTGCCTCGAATCATTGTGACTCCGTCAGTCAAGGCCATCGAGGGCAGCAGAGGTTCCATGTGGGTTGCGATTGAGGTTTCAGCAGAACTCTCTCGTCCACCTAATGTAACACTCAATGCAATGGATCTCGTCTTGCCAGGCGGCTCTAAGCTTTCTGAAGATGGCTGCCGCGAACTAGGAGGTGCGGGAGCATGAAGATTTTGCTCGTGCCGTTGCTAATTATAGCTCAGATCGTTACGGCTGCATATACGACATGAATATTCAACTCATTCCAGTAGGGAATAACTGCATCCTTGAGATGATTCAAGAAGACGAACCCACACCAACGTAAGTTCTCGTGTTGGACTCTCTAGGCAAAGTCTAATGAAATTGCAGAATGATATTCCTAGGGTTGAAAGTGCTTGTACTTGCAAACATCCACTTTGAGCCCCAGGGCCCTGTCCCTTTCAAGCCCAACGGTCATATCCGGCAGAGATCTGACGAGTTGATCGACGACCTGGAAAACCAACTGGGGAGCTCGAGGGTCGAGTACCTCCGCATTGTGGTCACTTATAAGCATTCAGCATTTCCTAAACATGACAAGTCTGATCCAGTCGACGGCGTTGCCGATGTGGGTACCAAGCTGGAGACGTCGGCCACAGCCGTAATTCAGCAACTCAACCACAGATCGCCTTGGTCTCCGTGTCCAACGCCAGCGACGAATCCACTCTTTGGCATCATCCATCAGCATTGGCCTTGGGAGACCAAGAAGGGAAAAGAGGTTATTCAACGAATTGTCAGGCAGCGGGCACCTCCTGAACCACCAGCTAGGTCGAAGCTCAGATTGCCCATAGATGACTCGCCAATGTCGATGCGAACACCGCCCCAGGTGCCCAGACGGCAAGCGAGCCTGAGCAAGGATGCCACGGTGCAACAACCGGAAGCAACTCGACCCGGATGGTCCGAGCTCCGGAGGACTTCGGCGACGACATGGCGGAAGAGCCGCGCGGGTTCGCATCGACGGGTGCCGTCTTCTGCAACGTGCCCCGATGAGCCGGAGGCCGGTGACAGGGATCTTGGATCCGTGAGAACACTCAGAAGTCGACGTTCAATGGGTACCGTGGCTCTACGAGGCACGGGGTCTTCAACCCCGGACAATGTCGACGGTCACACAGCAGAGAGAAGAAGTTTAGCTGGTTCGGTCCGCGTGCGTTCAAAGCAAGCCAGCCGTTGGGGTTGGGGTTGGTGGTAGACGAGGTTTCTTAGTTTGTTTTTTGGTGCAGTTGGTTCATAGACTTAGATTCAGGGGCATTCAAGCACTTTTCCAATGACACTCCTGGTTTAATCATGACGTTTGAACTTTTTTTTCGTCTTCGTCTTTGTAGGGGTATTTTACTGTTTTTAAACAAACTTTACGATCCTTTTTACTGGAGCTCATCCCTCCAGGGAATGGAGGTCTGCGCGCCCTTACGCTCGACGGTCTTGGCCGCGGCGTGGTTGGCCCTACGAATGCTCTGGGCGATATCAAAAGTCTTTCCCTCGGCCTGGGCGGCGACGGCAGAGACGCAGTAGGAACCGACAAAGGTGTCGCCGGCGGCGGTGGTGTCGACGACCTTTGCCTTCTCGGCGGGGATCAGCTCGGAGGAGCCCTCCTTGTTGACGTAGTAGACGCCGCGGCCGCCGAGGGTGATGATGACGTTCTCTACCTTTTTCGCGATGAACCACTCGCCGACGCGCTTGAGGCCGTCGAGGGTGTCGAGGTCGGACTCCTTGCAGCCGGAGAGGATGGCGGCCTCGGTCTCGTTGACGACGAGGTGGGCGAGGCCGTCGAAGGCCTCGTCGGGGAGGCGCTGGGCGGGTGCCGGGTTGAGGAGGACGGGGACGCCGGCGGTCTTCGCGGAGCGGAGGGCGGCGAGGACGGTCTCGAGGGGCACCTCGAGCTGCATGACCAGCAGGTCGGGCTTGGGGGAGAGGGTCTCGGGAAGGGAGCCGAAAGACTCGGGAACGACGGCGTGGTTGGCCTCGGGGGCGAGGATGATGCGGTTCTGGCCGGTGGGTTCGTCGACGACGATGATGGCCATGCCGGTCTTGAGGTCGTCGCCGACGGTGACGCGGTCGGTGCGGACGCCGTAGCCGGCGAGGTGGGAGAGGAGGAGGGAGCCGTAGGAGTCGTTGCCGACGGCGCCGATCATGGAGACGGAGGCGGACTCGGTGGCGGCGTCGGAGGGGGACTCGCGGGGGCGGGAGAGCTTGGCGCAGGCGACGGCCTGGTTGGCGCCCTTGCCTCCCGGGGAGATGACGACCGAGTTCGAGGTGAGGGTCTCGCCCGGCAGGGGGTGGTGGGGGACGTAGGACGTCAGGTCGATGTTGAGGGAGCCGAGGACGGTGATTTGGGGAGCCATTTTGGGTGGTGGTGAGGCGTCGGTTGATGTGAGGTGTTGTTTGTTTTGTTTTGGTTTCGGGTGACGGAAAGGACTTGACGATGTCTTCTTATTAGATGGTCTTCCTCGTCAATCGGCTGTTCGAGCAAGTGAGTGATGTGCTGTATCCGAGCGAAATGAAGGCAGCTCGGGTAACTGAGGCACGGGGACGATAACGGTAGGGCGGATGGCTAGAAAGAGATCCAATGACGATGAGGGGCACAAAAGGAGCGACAATTTTTTTTTTTTTTTCCCTTTGGCTGAAGAATTTCCCAGCCGACGAACGGTGAGGGGACCCCGCCGTCGGAGGTGTGGGATGATGATGTACTTGGCGGGGCAACTCGGTGATGGCTGCCAGGTTCGCGGTTGGAAGGGAGGGGCACCCCCCCCCCTGAAGAGAGACGGAATTGGCCCTATGGGCTTGGAGGGATGTGCTTGGCCCTGCAGTGTTGGCTGTTTTAGCGCTGCAATGGAATGTGTGTGGAATGTCCACAGAAAAAGAAGAAGAAAAGAAAAAGGAAAAAAACGCTGCGAAGAATTTCGAAGCAAGGAAAAAGGGGGGTCGTTAACCAGGGGGGGTTATCCACTACTGCTTATTTTATGCCCTGAAATTGTGAACAAGAACTGCATCGTCGAGGTTTATCTGGGCGGTGTTGGACCGATACTGCAAAGCAGATGCTAAACTGCCCGCGGGAAACTAAGGGAATTCGGAGAGACGGTTAGACTCACAGTCTTGGCTTTTTCTTAAAGGCGGGTTTACTAGTAGTATGCGGTACGGTACGCGGTAGGTGCTCGAGTGTTAGATCCATACTTTTACCTCACGTTAAGCCTGGCTGGAAAAGAGCCGAGCCGAAGAACGGAGCCACCCTCGAGGTTACTGTAAGCTGTAAGCACATCCGACCCCTTAGCTTAACCCTTAACGGGTCACGTAGGTAGTCCAGGTTAGAATCCGATCGGGTGTTGCACTGATCCTGCCCTTCCCTTCCCTTCCCTTCCCCCGTCCGCCCGCGCCCAGATGGGATGGATGGATCTGAGATACATATTACATTACTCGACGGTCTAGACTCTCCAGATGACCCTTATCTTTCGTCATCGAACATAAAGGACGCACACTTCCCTCGAACGTAGACAGAGGGCATCCGTCTTTGCCTCCATTGGATATCTCTCAACTTGGACGAATAGTCGGGAGAACGACTGCAGAGTCTCTCTCGGCTTTCGCTGCCGCCATCCGGCCGGGCTGCCGGAGAGAACCGACCGTTTGTTTCGTTTCGCCCAACACGTGGAAATGAACGACATCACGCCCATTTATACTTTGAGCGTGCAGACGGCATGCGAGTAGACCCGATTCCCTTGTTGCCTCTTAGCTGCCACGCCACGCCATGCTGCATTGGGGGTGCTATCAGCTATGGGTCAGGGTCTTGTTGGTGTGTGAGGTTTTACGTGTGCGTGTGTGTGTAGAGCTCCACGCGGTGTCGGTGTTGGCGCACCTTGGGATGAATGACTTGTAAAGGATCTGGTGGAGGGCGCGAGCGTGACACGGAAAAAGAAGGGTCTGGCGAGAGGAACTGGAGGAGTAGAGATAGACGTAGACGTAAGGTGGAAGCGCCCAACCCTCCTTTAAGGTGCTTCACATACCTACCTTACCTGACCTTACCGTACAGCACCGTCATGCACCAGCGGACGAAGAAGGGAAGGGCCGTGTCCTACGTCGGAGAAGGTTCTCTTGCCCCTTCAGTCTTCAGTCTTCAGCCATCCGACTCCTGCCTTCTTCTAGCCTCAGCTTCTGATCCACCATGACTTCTTTCTCTTCTTGCAGTTTGCATTGGTAATCATTCTCATAGCGATTCTCTCCTTTGCCACTTTTTTGCGTTCCCAGGCCTGCACCAACTTACTTCTTCCTTGACAACGAAGCCGCGAACTGCCATTTCCTCACTCCTCCGTCTGTGACATGATGGACAACGACCGTCACACTTCAGCCTGGACAACAACAGCGGCCTGTCTGGCGGTTGTGCTCCTTCTTCTTCTCGTTAGGCCGCGCTCATCTTCGTGGGGTCATCCTCCTCTGCCCCCCGGGCCGCCGGGGGAGTTTCTCCTCGGCCATCTGCGTGTTATTCCCAAAGAGAAAACAGCCGAGACGTATGCGGAATGGGCCAAGAAGTACAGTAAGTCGTTAGCACTCTTACCCCCTGGCACCTCGCCTCCGGAAGGATTCATCAAGACTGAGACCTTCTCAGATTCAGATGTCATCCACGTCAAATCTCTTGGGCAGCACATTGTAGTGCTCAACAGTGTCGAGGCCGCCAAGGACCTCCTCGACCGTAGGGGCGCAAACTACTGCGACAGGCCCAGATTCACCCTCTTTGAGGTGTAAGTTGCCCCGAGACCCGTGTGGACGTACGTGTCTTATCAACGTCATGCTGAAGCAAACTACCCGCCCTGCAGCATGGGTTGGGGCAAGACGCTGACCTTCCTACCCTTTGGGCCCCGCTGGCAAATGCACCGAAAGCTGCTGCAGACCACTTTCAGCAACACAAATGTGCGACAGTGGTACCAACTGCAGACGACAGAGGCCCGCAAGTCCGTTCACAGCATTGTCGGGGACCCAGACAACTGGGAGGTTTCCATGAAGAGGTAAACGGCCCCCAAATACCCCTAGTCGATATGCTTTGGCTCATACTACATGCCAGGTTCGCGGTTGCCATCGTCCTCAAGGTCAGTTACGGAGTTGATGTCAGAGATGACAACGACCCATACGTAAAGATCGCCGACGATGCCATGTACGCAACTGGAAACGGTGGTGCACCCGCCAACAGCATCGTCGACATTTTCCCCCCTGGTAAGTTGTGGATGCTCAACACACACGCCTGAAGCTTTCACTGACAGCAATTCTCGCCGCAGTTCGCCATCTGCCCAACTGGCTGGTCAGAGACTGGTCGCTGAAATTCGCGCGAGAATGGGGCTGGGCTATCCAGAAATTGCACAACGTTCCATTTGCCGTGGCTCAAGATGAGGTGGTAAGTAGGCCCTGGTTCATCGTGTCAACGCCCGCAAGCTCTGACAGGTCAAGGCTCGAGGCAAGGAAAACCCGTCCTTTGCGCACACGTTGTTGGAAACGTATACTTCCAACGCCAAGAAAGGAATGAAGAACGAATGGTCACTTGACGACATCAAGGGTGCAGCGGGCGCCATCTTCATAGCAGGGGCAGACACGGTAAACTACGCGCACCGCACCGACGCTGAGACTCAAACCGAGTAAGACAACGCTGACTTCAGCTACAACAGACCTGGGCCACCATCGTTGTCTTTGTCTTGAACATGGTTCTCCATCCTGAGATTCAGCAAAAAGCTCAGGCATTAATCGACCGGGTCGTCGGGCAGGAGAGACTGCCGGACCTCTCAGACAGACCATCCCTCCAGTACATTGACCACATAGTCCAGGAGGTCTACAGGTATGTCAACCCAGTCTGAACTCAGGAGCACGTGGGATAGAGAGATGGATGCTGAGTAGAAACGCAGATGGTCTCCGTTGGCACCGTTGGGAATTCCCCACAAGTCCCTCCAGAACGACGTCTATAACGGCATGTTCATCCCTAAAGGGTAGGTTCTCATGCCCCTCTTCCCCCTCAACGGCCCGAAAAGCTGCATGCTTCTAGAATGAAGTGCCAACTGCCTTCCCCAGGTCCATTGTTTTTGCCAACTCCCGCGCCATGACTCAAGACGAGAGGATATACCGGGACCCCAAGTCTTTCAACCCAGACAGATACAAGCCGCCGTCTGCTGGCGGTCACGGTGAGCCCTTGCCCCTTGGCCAGTTTGGCTTCGGCCGTCGTGTATGCGTTGGGCGCTTTTTGGCGGACAACAGCGTCTGGATAGCTGCGGCCACGATGCTAGCCACTCTCAACATTGGCAAGAAGGTCGGGCCAGATGGTCAGGTTGTAGAGCCAGAGGTGGTTTTCACCAATGGTGGCACCTGGTAAGTTGCTTTAAAGCCCCATAGCTTGCCAGGGGGAGTTGCGTTTCTGACGTCAAAACAAGCCACCCAGAGCATTTCGAATGCTCAATAACGCCACGCAGCGAGAAAGCAGCAGACTTACTGCGCCAGACCGTCTCTGCTTCATGAACAGAAGCTTAGATAAAAACAAAGTGAGGCGGTCTAGCCTCCTGGGGCTGGTGTACTAAGCTTTTAGGCTTCGGCTTGATGAAACCGTGCGCCTTTGAGTTCGAGGGATGCCCCGGATGCCCAGGTAGCATGCTATCCCTCACTGGAAGGAAAGCCCTCAGCGACAACTAAGTCAGCTCTTGGTTCTAGAGAAAGAATCATGAATCAATGACGGCAGCATTGCGATCCATTGTCGAAACAGGGAGACTTGTTCTGGCGCCCCTATCGACAATCAGCGTTGCATTTCAAGTAAGAACTCTCTCAATGAACAAGCAAGCAATCCAAAATCAGTATGGCCACGGGACATCTCCACCGTTTCTCGCGCAGAGCTTTTTAATAAATGGAACCGAATGTTGCCACGGCCTTGCACTCCGGATTGGGAGTGACCAGCAGGAACTTGCTTGGCTGAGCCGTCTGCCGATCTTCAACAGCTCCTAAGCTGCACTGCTTAGCTGGACGTTCTTGCTGCAGTCATACCAAGTCTGCGGCCGAACCAGGACCCTTCAAAACGAGGATCCGGATTCGCTTTCGAGCCGGCCTGATTGGAGATCTATCTGCCACGCAAGGAGGACGTCACTCTTGGCTTTGATTCAAGACAACGAACCGAAGCAACATCCCCCATGCCTGTCTGTTGCAGGACGGACGGCTGCGAGCGTCATTTCTTCACCTCATTTGTGCTTTCTCCTGAGACATATAGTTGTCGACAAAAGCGCGACTGGCGTCCGCGAAAGAGTCATGCGAATAAACGGTCAGAGCCACGTTATTTGCTAAGTGTCGCGCCGTTGCATGAGCCATGTCACCCTCCATCAAATGCTGTCTGCCAGCGAACATGTGAGGTGGGTTGAAATTCATGCCGTCCGCTGACAGTACAGCATTTACGGCCGGAATCCTTGGCCGAGAGGGCATGGACGTTGTCGTCTTCGTCGTCCGTACTAGCAGCTACTAGCAGCCGTTCTGGATGTCGAAATCGAAACATGACGATCGTTCACGCCGGCGCCAGTCTTCATGCCTCGCCCTATCGGTGGTCGCGATGCTAGTCCCCCCGGGGGGGTAGCTGAGCCGCGCCGTTCTTATTGACAGGGTTACGACTCGCGGGAAGGGAAGCAGAGCTGGCAGCAGCATCTCGTGCATGGGGAGATCTTGATCGCGGCGGAACGCGACGGCTGGGATCTGGAAAATCGTCGTCTGAGACGTCCGTCTGGACGCCGTTGAGGAACGACCAACGAAGAAGCCATGAATGAGCCACGAGTTGAGCCGGGATCAAGCCTCCCTCCGTTCTCCCCTCCCGTTTTCTGCTTGGGGGCTGGAGTTGGGGGCGCATCGTAGCCCGCCATCCGCCCTCCCTAAAACTCGAAGCCGCATCTCGTTGACTTTCCCTAAAATGGGACTCGTATACAGCTGCAGTAGAATAGGAAGAAGCAGCTAGCAGAATTTCATGACACATAACGCTCGACGGCGCCGATATAGGCCATCGTGACGGTGGTGACCGCACACCGGCGGGCCCTACACCGGCGGACCCTTTCTTTCACCGCAACCTAACGAAATCATTTCTTCAAAGTTCAGCCCCGGCGGCTTGGCTCCGCGGGGCGCCGAAGGAATCCGACCCGAGTCTTCGCGAAGGCCGGACGCTGGCCCCGGCGTGTTCCTTTTCTTATCAATTCGACGGACTCCCCGGGCTCTTGGGCAGAGCTATTGTCCGCTTGCTTGCTGTCGAGGAGCAATTTACAGCCGGAAACTTTGACAGCTTGGGACCCTGTCGCAACATGACGCAGATCCCCGGAACTTCGCGCTTGACCACGTGCAAATGAGACATGACTTGAGCAAGGGAGAAACAAGGGTCTAAGGTGTCGGGAGACAGAACCGGATAAAGAAGGCGGGAGAACAATTCCAGAAGAAGAATGCATTGCAAAGTGTCAACGTCGAGACCACGGCTCGACGGCTAGTGCGGCAGACGGCGCGTCCCACGAAGCCAGCGGTGGAAAAGGGCTGAAGAAGCACCGTCTTAAGGTTGGATACAAAGGTGACCGACCCTAAATTTCGACGCCGGCGTTTGCGGACTTGTTGATCGTCGTCAGGCGGGACCTCCCCTCCATTGCCTAGGGTTCCCAGGACTGCTTGGGTCCAAAAGCGGCGAACCTTGCATCACTCCAACGTATCTCGAGAGCCCAGCCAAGACCACGGAGAAGGAGTGAAAGGAGGGCCCCTGGGAAAAGGATTGTGACGCAGTTCGGTGCAAGATTTGTTCTTCTCGGCGCCAAAATAACCCGCCATCTGAAGCTTGGTCTTGGCTGCTGCCCTTCGTTTTGAGCCCTTAAAAAAGTCTCGCTCAAATTGAGCAGGACTTCTGCTTTGCTCACGTCCCCGTCTGATGCGCACACGGTATACTGCTGCTACCCCTCATCGGCAGCTCTGGACTTTTCCCCCTTTCCCGTTTCGCGCTTGACGAGCAACCCCCCACTTGGGATGTTCGATTTTTGCAGACGACCAAAAAAAAGTCGTGGTTGTTAAAAATGTGTTTGCGGAAATGAGATATAGCGGACGTGGAGTATTGTCATCGGTGTATCGCGGGAACGTCAGCAGCGTGTACCCCCTCGTCTTTCAAGATTCGCACATCCATGCCGCCCCATCCAGGCCCCCCTGACCCGGTAGAGCTTCCGTCCGCTTAACCTTTGGGGCGAAACGGTGCTCTCGAACTGTAGCTGCGGGGGCTAGGATCGTCATATCAAGGAACGACCTTCGACGGTTTGTAGGCATAACGATGACTCGAGCCGTTTCGGAAGGCGTGAGCTTGCATACGGGCGACTCGTAATCCCAACGTTAAATATTGTCGTCGATTTGAACGACAACCGCGTCTCTTCATATTGCACAAGGCGTGCTAATTGAGGAAACAGGGCCATCAATCTGTCCCCCCGTCATCCCAACTATCTCGACTGCCCCGGATCTTCACAACCTTTTCCCAAAGACGTCGTCTTCATCCAAAAGCTGCCTGCTCGACCAAGCTCCCCAATCGATCCCGCTCGCGTATCGAAGTTTCTCCAGATATTGGCTGCCCGGGCCGTTTTCGCCGGCCGTCGATCCCTTTGCAATCGTACAGTCTGGAATGCCTCTGTCCCGCTGCTTATTTTGACGAATCTCCGACCGATACCTCTCAAGCACACCCGCACGGAGGAAATCTCAGAGCCGCGAGATAGAACACCGAAAGCCTCTTGCGACTGGCAGACCGTCGGCAAGGTCCAGCTGGGGGTATCGGGAGCACGTCACCCATACGGGCTATCTTCTGCCGATCGACGCCCGAGTCTCTGGTCGGGGCGACATCTGATTGCCCTACTCCCCAAAACCCCAAAGTGGCAGATCCTGTGCGTCCCGCCGTCGGGTTAGGAACTTGAGCTTTTCGCGGAAAAGGTGTTCGAACCTTCGCATTCCTAGCAACGTACCGGCAGCGACAGTGGATGGTTGACTGGCTTTCGTCATAACCCAACTCGGAATTCTCGGTGCCATGTCCTCTCGCACTTCTTTGTCGCAGAAGGAGCAGGCTGAGGTATACGACATGGAAAGCCAGTCCCCGGTGTCCAAAGGCCAAGGCGGCATTACCGAGCTTTTGGAGGTCCAGGATGGCGAGGTTTACCGGAAGGGGAACAGCCAGAACCCGAGGTGGTTTCAACGGCTTCTCGACGCCGGCGTGGAGGAGAATGGCATTCGGCCAGTTCCCATCGAAGAAAGAACCAACACCAACTATAGCAACCTTTTCACGGTCTTCTTCTCCAGTTTGCTGTGCTTGCTGCCGTGAGTTACCGAAAACTTCCAACCAGACCGCGGAGCCGAATTGCTGATAGATTTCCGATAGAATTCCAACCGGCGCGCTGGCCACGGCCCAAATGGGACTTAGTCTCAGAGACGCGACGCTGGTGATAATCTTCTTTGCGGCCTTCACAATCGCGCCCCCAGCGTTTATGGGTATCGCAGGCTCGTACACAGGGCTGAGACAGCTTGTGCAAGCAAGGTATTCGTTCGGGTAAGTCGATGCGCCTTTCGTATGCCCGACCCATGACTGACCGGGCTCGCGGTTCAGGTACTACCTCGTTGGTGTTCCATTGCTTCTCAACGCCGCGACGGTGACTGGGTTTTCTCTGTCTTCGGCGATTGCCGGAGGCCAAACTCTTGCGGCCGTCAACCCAGGACATATAGACGTCAAAGTTGGCATCGTAATTACGTGCCTCGTCAGTTTTGCCGCGTCGTTCATCGGCTATCGCGCTCTTCATATGTGGGAACGATGGCAGTGGCTTCCGAGTCTCATCGCCATCGTCATCGCTGTTGGATGCGGCGGCAAGCATCTATCGAAGCAGGCAGATGTACCGCCTCCCACTGCTGCACAGATCTTCAACTATGGAGGTCTGATGGCGGGTTACTTCATCACCTTCGGCGGCATCGCGTCAGATTTTACCGCGTACCATAACCCCAACAAGACGACCAAGTGAGTCCTACGCCACATTGATTAGTTGAAGTACTAATGCAGTGGAGATTCAAAATCTTCTCTTATATATACCTGGGAATGTTCACGCCCTCTGTACCACTGCTGATTTTGGGCGCGGCAATCGGAGGTGCTCTGAACAATGTCCCGGAATGGAAAGCGGGATGGGATACGTATGGCATCGGCGGTGTTATGGCGGCTATGCTGGCTCCTGCCGGCGGTTTCGGTAAATTTCTCCTCGTGGTCCTCGCCCTGACTGTCATCGGCAACATCGCGACGTCCATGTACTCCGTTGCGCTGTGCATGCAGATGATGCTCCCTGTCTTCGCCAAAGTTCCTCGGGTCGTTTTTATAGTTGTCGCTCTGGGGATCATGATTCCCATGGCCATCCGCGCCGCCGAATCGTGGGCCGACTCGCTCGAGAACTTCCTAGGTTTGATCGGGTACTGGGCCGGTTGCTTCGACGCGGTCATAATCGAGGAATTGGTCATCTTTCGCCGCATGAATTACGACTCATATGACCACACTGCCTGGAACGTAGCCCGTATGCTGCCTTCCGGCTTGGCGGCTATCGGAGCGAGTGTACTGAGCTTCGGGTTGGTCATCCCGGGAATGGACCAAGCATGGTTCACGGGGCCCATCGCGAGAACGACTGGGGACATCGGATTCGAGTCGGCTCTGATACTGACAGCTATCTTCTACGCCCCTCTCAGGTGGCTAGAGATCAAGGTGCGGAAACGGGTTTGAGTCGGTTGGGCGTTTGTCGAGACGTGACGTTGGAGGGTATACAGAGTCTGGCGAGGTATGATAGACCGACTTTCTCGTTGATGATGGCAAAGGGGATGTAGTGGCACGATTTGGATTGCAAGACCTGACGTGATGGGGCAGTCTCGACAGTTGTCAAAATGATACCATTTCTTCGGCGTTCAGGCGGGGGCTGCTTCGGCAGCCTGCTATGGTGACTACCCGGCAGCCATGTGCGCACTTCCGTCTCAAACGCTCGTCTATGAAACCCATGGCAGTCGATGCCTAGAGCTGCGATACGTTAGATGAGGAGAGTTGGATGTAAAGAGACAGTAACTGACCTAGGCTTCATGACTTAGTTGTCCACAAAGAACGATGTCTTCCCCGAACTGATGCCACGCGGCCCCGGCCAGGCGAGCGGCAGGTACAGGCATTCCGTCAGGGCCTTGGACTCGGTCGGGGGACACGACAACGCCTCCGCGACCAAGCCAGGTAGGTGCAATGGTTACGATGACAGTGTCGACGAGCTGCTGGTAACTGGGATGAAGGAGGGAGTTGATGACCTGTCCTCCACCTTCAACCATGACGCTGTGTAACCCCTCAGCGTGGAGAGCGGACAGAATGGATGGCCAGTCGAATCTTGGCTGTGACTCCTGGGCGTCAAGGAGAATGAATTTTCCGCCGTGGGCTTCTAAGATGGCCTGCCTCTCGGGGTTGACACCCGCCGCGCCGGTGAGTACGAAAGGCGCCAACCCCTTACGGGCCCGGGCGACTTCGAAGACCTTGCTGTCTTGAGTGAAGTTCCAACGGCCACGAGGGTCTAGAATGATGGGTCGAGGCTGGGCACCAAGATCTGCACCATCCATACGACAGTTCAAGCCCGGGTCGTCGGCGATGACAGTCCCAACACCAACCAGAATAGCAGCATGGTGACGGCGCAGGTGGTGGGTCATGGCCTTGGACTCGGGGCCCGAAAGGCGAGTCCGCACGCCAGGAGCAAGAGAGAGAGAAGAGTCCAATGAGGTCGCAAAAGTAAGGGTGACAAGTGGGCGGTTCAGGGTTTTGGCTGACTGGATGGCAGAATCTGACGGCAGATGCGGCGCGAGCCAGGCGGCATCCGCGTCGGGGATATGAAGGGTCTCTGCCATTATTATTGATGCGTTCTTTTCCGGCGGCCAACGAAGTTGAGTGGTGGTCCTAGTGAGGCGGATGAGTTGTACTGATTTGTGCAATTTAGCAGCTCCCTGCGTAGCGCCAGACCAGAAACTGTGGCTATTCGAGTACCGACCAGGTGCCCCCTAGTCGTCTGAAGGTCCAGACTACCGTCGCTTTGCAGACTAACAGTAGAGAGAGCCCTTCTGCCTGCCTATCAGAGTACTGATAGGCAACAGAGAAGTGACGAAAATGTTTCGTCGGGTATGCCGTCAAGGAGCAGCGCGACAGACACAAGCGGGCGTCCTGGTAGCAAAAGTTGCAGAGAGGCCGTCCACTGGAGTTAGTGCGGTATTGGTCCGGACGAAGTTGAGCAACGGCTCCGAGAGCCAATGTCCTGCGGGAGGCTCGAGTACGGTAACGAGGACTATTCCCAAAGGAGCAGCAGTACGCCTTCGGATGACTCTAGGTTTGAGGTGCCTGCCGGGAGAAGTTCTCACCAGGTTGGACGACAGGGCACTAGAAGAAATGGCGGAAGTGGCGGAGAAGGAGCAGCGGCAGAGAGGCAAGAATGGCCCGCCGTGAAGGAGGCAGTGTCCCAGGATGCCGTGATGAAGTTTTCAGATGAGCGGCAGGAAATGGGGCTGGTGCGAGAGGTCGCAACAAGCGTGATGGTGCGTGTGGTGTGCGAGGTAGCCCGTTCGTACCTTGGCTTGGGCAGTCCTGCGTAAGGTAGGCGCACCAAACAGGATTACGATGAGGATATCAGCTTGACGTCGGACCGGCGAGGTGGTCTGGTGGTCTGGTGGTCTGCGCTTTGTGGACGCCCCCCGTTGATCTGTGATCGGGAACACGATTCACCCCCAAGTTGGAGGAGCGGAGATCTCTCCGCAGGTATCGACTTTGATGCAACGACGTCGAAGGTGAGCGTGACCGAAACGTCAAGCAGTCAAAACGAAACGCGGCAGCCAAGTCCAGACTCCGGGCAATGAAAAGAAGTAAGAGTCGAGTTCGGGATTCGAGTTGAGGTCTCTTAATACTCAAGTCAAGTGCTTGTGGAGGCAGAGATTCGGTGATTGATTGACTCAGAAAGTTGGCCAGGTCTGTGTCAGGTCGTGTTTGTGAATGGCACCGCACGGCACCGGGGGCCAGCGATGGCGAGGCGATTGTGGGAAAGATGGACAACGGCGCAGACCTGAGTGAAGCGTGCCGCGGATCAGGACGATCAGAACAATGCCTCAGGCGACTGCAACTGCGACAGCGACAGCGATTGCGAGTGCAATTATATGAGGGCAGGGCAGGGGAAGATTGTGATGGAGGGTAAAGGTAGTCGCAAGTCGCGATGGAGGAGAGCTGATGCAAGTGCTGCAAGTGCAAAGTGCAAGTGCGAGTGCAAGTGCGAGGCAAGAGGCAAGAGGCAGTCACGATTGGACGAGAGAGATGCTTCCCGGTTTCTCGTCACTCGCCTCGCCAAATGTGAACCCGACCCGACGACGTCCCTCCTTCCTTCCAATTCCAGTGAGAGTCGACCAGTCTGGTGGAGAGAGCGGCCGGCAAGAGCCCCGCCGCAGAAGGACGCACCGTCGTGGTGGAGAGTGGACCGGGGATGTGGACTGCTGGTGGAAACCGACACCGGGTTGGACAATGGAAAGATGCACTTTCGATGCTCCTTATTGGACCACAACAGAGTCCGCTGCTGTGTGTGACTGACTTAGAACGTCCAGCAGCCAAGAGACCGTCTCCATTCTCGCGTGTAATTCTGCGCCCTTTTTAATGGTCCTTTTCTCGGCCTGTTGTTTCGCGAGTATTCCAACGTCTGGTTCTCTGTTATTACCTTCCTGCCTCTTTCAACAGAAGGTATCGTGGACGAATCCTCAGCAGCCGGTCGTCCGAGTCTGGTGGCCTCTGCAGACAGGGGAAAAGGAAATAAAAACGTAAAATAAATGTCAAGTGGCATCTGGTGGCCTATGTTGTTCAACCCATCTTTCTTTTCTCCCATTACCACTTTGGACTTTTGACCTCTCACCCACATGAGGTTGACGTCCTCTTTGACTTTTCCGATGACCTCGTCTCCCTGCCCTATCTGCCCTGCCCTGGCCATATTACACCTCCATTCGCCTTACCACAGACAGCACGCCCGCCTGCGACCTGCCCCTCATCCAACCTTACCCCGAGGTACCCTGCCTCGCTCTCAAGTCTGAAAACTACCTACCTTACAAAGTAGTACCTCGATATCCCATGTCCTTGGCGAAGAGGATCTGTACTATGTACTGCACTACTGCAGTGGGGGCTCTAATGATTCACATTGCATTCTACTTCAGCTCCGGGCAGGCAAATCCGCATACACGGCACTCTCACGAGCACTGACCACCTCCTCTTCATCCCGCTGCGGGAGGGAATCCCTTAGCCTTAGGGCCACCCATCTCCAGGGCCGGGATTCCATCTTGCCAACATTCACGACTCTCGTCGGCTTTCTTCCCTTTCGGGCTATCTCAACACGCGGCTGTTTGGCCTTCAATGGAAGTAAAGCCATGCCTTGCTTCTCTTAGAGTTTCTCTTCTTCTCGGTCTGCATGTTGCCTCTGCTCTGCCTGCACTCACCCAGTACAACTACCTTACGCAGTACACCAGCGGGATAGGCCTTTTCCGGACACATCCGTCGGGCCTCTCGCTGAAACTCCCCGGTCACGCTTTTACTCTTCATTGGATTCGCCTGTTCTGCAGCTGCTCAGGGTCACGATACCTGCCTGCTTTTTGCTGTCGACTCCAACATCTCCTGCGCCCCGGTGCTGGGGCGCCTCCGAAGACACCGACTTCTTCATGTCGTTGCAATACCTACCCTTACCGCGAGACCACCTTATCCTACCTACCTTAGGTACCTTACGGTAAGGTACATGCAGGACAGGCACACTTCGCTCACGTTTGGGTCCGACATCCATCTTACTAGGTAGTACAAGGAAGAAGTCACCACCACATCACGCAAAGCTCAACCTTATCTCCGACATATGCGACGTCTACTTAGCAGAGCTGCGGCTAAACCACCTTACTTGCGATATTCGTCTCCTAAAATATCTGCCCTTACACTATATCCGCCGCCGCCGCTCAGACTGTTTCTTCCGATTGGCGTTGCTCGTCCCGCCCTTGGTTCCTCCCGTCAGCTGCGTCACAATCCCTGGATTTCCCATTCACCAAATGTCCATCCCCGGCCTCCGACAAGTGCCTACAGGACCCAGATTTGGGTCACCCGAGCCCCCCTGGCGCACACCACCGCACAATAGCACGCACTGCTATCAGGATTTCCTCCCATCTTTCCTAGGTACCAAGATGTGGGGAGACTTTGTCCAGCTGCGATGTCGACAAAACCTTAAGAAACCACACTACTGCTACGCCCTCCTTGGCCGCCTCCAGATGTGCCAATCTGCGTCCAACGGGCGGGCACTTAGGCCATCCTTACTCAGAGTGACGACTCCTTCGTCCCAAGCCTTACTCGATGGTAATCAGGCCATTTTGCCTGTCATGAGATCGAAATCCATGGCCGTTACCAGAATAGCTTTGTCTACATCAACGTGGAATCCGACGAAACATGTGCAGTCTAGCAAATCACTGTCTCCAGGACGCCGTTACGGAGACAGCTTCGAATTCTATCCTCCATTCGTGCGCCTAAAGGATCCATCTCAGTTACCCGAGATCAGTACATCTGCAAATTCCAAGGGACGCTACGCTAGTCCATGGGCTGGAGCTGATATCAAGCGCTATTTTGAGAGGAGATGGCGCCCAGTGAGCCCCGAGGCCGACCTGACGGCGGGAGTTGCCATTAGCAATCTACAGGGGGGCTCTCTGAGCTGCATGTCTGGTGCTGAGGAGCTGACGTTGTCGGCCATCTGCTCACTCGTTGCGAATTGCTCGCGGAGACGATGGCACTAAGGGCGACCAGCGGCATCTCGAAGACAGCCCCAAAACGCAGAGCGCCGTGCTCCGAGACAGAAACTCGTACCCGACAACGGGACGCTCATGAAGTGCCTCGGCCAGAACCAGCCTGAGGGGTCTGGCGGTCCAGGCAGTGTCTCACTCCTGAGACTGCCGGTGACGAGCAGTCGATCAGCATGCCACTTCGGTTGACCGCTGGTACGACCTGCAGCACCTTCTACTCATATCTCTACGGATCCTGATGTTAGGTCGGGGACGCTGCAGAGGAGCGATCTGGCGATCACCTAATGCCGAAGGAGGCCCAAATCGCCAAACGTCTGGAGCTAACAATTGCCGGCCGCAGGTGATGGCGTTCCTCTGCAATCTAGTTGGAGCCCAATCATCAACTGTCTCTACCCAGGGATGTGGCACCTGTCACTTGGCTGTGCCTTTGCGTCTTCGCAACCCCATCCCAATGGTCTCCTGCACGCCCGTCTGCGCCTCCTTTGATCCGTTGGACTGCTGGACCGCCGGACCGCTCGCTGCTCAACTTGCAAAACGACTTACATGAACATTCAACTGCCAAGAGGCCTGACAGACACACTGAGACGTACAAGCAGAGGTCCAGATATAGAATGATCAGATCGCCCGGCTTTCCTTCCAGATTCGCCCTACATCTCACATTTTTCGAGGCAGAGTGGTGTTCGAAGCCAGACACGGGATCCTGGTTCGGATAACGGCCGACGCATCCCATTGTCCAACCTCAACAGCCGTAGCAAAAGAAAAGACCAGCGCAGACCAGATGGCGGTCATCGACAACGCCTGTGCGTGAGATCGGGGCAGCTTGGCCTCATATTTCCCACTAAGGCCGTGGGCTGCGCAAAAGGCGAGCGTTGGCCAAAGCTTACATCTGCCCATTCCGAGAAGGCATTGCACTAGTGTTTCGACATTCCGGTGACATCCTGAGATCTGGCCAATACCCGAATGGGTTTGTTCACTTTGAGTTGCAGCAAATCGTCCATCACGGGTGGGGGAGAGTAGAGGAGGGAGGGGGGGACACCAGATGCCCAGCACCCCGATCACCACCGGTCCGGCAGGCAATAGACGATACGTTCCCTCACCCAGTCACCCGGATACGTACCACTGCGCCGTGTCCGTACTTCTCCAGTCGGGATGTCCAATATCAATATCTGCGCCAGCAAAGGCTGGTAGATTGATCTGCCTTAGTGTCATCGGATGCAAGGGCCTGCTCTCGGCCCAGGTTTCTCGTTCCATCAGCGGTAACCAGACGCCACAAGCGTCGTATGTGGAACTTCACATTTATCATTCTTGAGACCCTTCTGCCCACGACGATATGGCGGCCAACTCTACCTGTCCTCCCAACACAGACTTGGACATCATCGTCTAGCCATTCTTTTTCTTCGGTCTCCTGGAAATCCCATCGCCATGGGAGCCATCGTACCCAACTCCAAGAGGTATCCGAGAGTCTCAGACCCACCCCCGACTTTTGGTGCTTCTGCCCAGCATGCTTTCTCTACGGATCCCGCTCCGAAGGATCCGTACACCTATCAGGTTGGATTTGGAAATAGGTTTGCCTCGGAGGCCGTGTAAGTCACGATGCTTGGAATCCTGCCCCGTGAGATTTTCAGCTGACGAGTGAAGCCCGGGAACTCTTCCGCAATCCTGTAACGTGCCGCAGAGGGTCAAATACAATCTGTACTCGGAACAGCTGAACGGGTCGACGTTTGTCGCTTCTCGGGCCACTATACAACATGCCTGGTTCTATCGCATTTACCCGTCCGTGGCTCACGGAAATTTAACAAAAATGCCGCGCAACCCAGATGTGAGTCAGCTTTCGAGCCAAGTGCAACCTCACCAACCCTAACCCCCTTGACTGCAAAGATCGAGTCGAAATTTACGTCTGGCAATGAAAATATTGATTTTGTCCCTGGTGGGCTTTGCTGGAGGGCTTTCCCGATCCCCAACGCCGACGAACCAGCCGCAGACTTCGTCCAGGGGCTGAAGACAATAGTCGGGCACGGAGACCCGATGACAAAGGAGGGTCAAGCCGTGCACGTCTACACCGCGAATACGTCAATGAATAAGCGCGCGTTCTGCAGTAACGATGGAGACATGCTCTTTGTCCCGCAGGAGGGAAGACTCGACATCCAGACGGAATTCGGAAGGTAGAGTAATGCCAGCCCTCCCGATTCAGCTGTGGCAGGCTGACCTCGCCTTAGGATGATGGTACGGCCCGGGGAACTGGCTGTAATCCAAACTGGTATTCGGTTCAAGATCGACCTGCCTGATGGACCTTCCAGGGGCTGTAAGTATACTTGAAGATGTCTGTTCGATAGTCAGCTAAGCGACGCAGATGTACAAGAGCTATTCGGAAGTCGTTATGAGCTTCCAGAACTCGGTCCTTTTGGGAGCAACGGCTTGGCCCTTCCGCGTGATTTCGAGTCTCCGGTCGCCTCCTTCGACATCGATACGTCGGAGTGGGAAAGTACGTCTGCCTGACCTCGTGGTACAACAACGCAAACTGACAAGCATCCAGTCGTGTACAAGCTGGCTGGGAAACTCTGGTCTTGCAAGCAGAACCACACACCATTCGACGTCGTTGCGTGGGACGGAAAGTAGGAAAACCCCCTCCTTCACCCCTATTTCCATGCGCTTAACTCCGTCGGCAGTTACGTCCCTTTCAAGTACGCAGCCGAAAAGTTCGTCACTGCAGCTTACACGGACAAAGATCAAGCGGATCCCAGCTTGTACACGGTCTTGACAGCCAAGTCCAAGATCCCTGGGGTTCCGGCAACGGACTTCATGTTCTTCACGCCAAAATACTCGTCAGCGACGAACGTTTTCCGCCCTCCGGTATGGATCTCGACCAGTGCAGAGCTGCTTGGCTAACACGAATTAGTACTACCATCGAAACATGGCAACAGAGATCGTGGGAATCGTTTACGGCGATTACAAGGGCACGAGCCGCAACCTGGAGGCTGGTGGGCTAAGCTTCCAGTCGAGCTACATGCCCCACGGAGGTAATGCTCGATAGTCTCCTGACTGGCCGCCCTACTGACAGAACGACAGAAACCCACGAGGCATTCGAGCAAGCGACGACAGCCGAGATAAAGCCTCAGCAAGTAGGCGAAGGGTTCCTCGGTACGTTCTTGTAGCTGGCGAGACAAACAACTCGCGATGCGACTAACACCCCCGACCGCAGGGTTCATGTTCCAAGTCAGCACGCACTGCGCGGTGACACAATACGCCTTGGAAAGGAGCGGAGTCCTCGAAGGCAAGCAAACCATTCTGCCCTCGTGATCACCAGAGCCAGCAAACTAACCCGAAGCCACACGCAGTGCCGCCGGCATCTCTGTGGGACACTATGGAAGGGCACTTCTTCGAACACCTCGACGAGGTCAACGAGGACTTGAAGACGCGGGGGCTTCCGCAGCTCGGAGCATTGACCAGCCCATAAGAAACGATCGAAACGAATTTTGCTTTCACAGCGATCATCTCCTATTGTCGTCAAAACAGCGCAGCAAAGCGAAGCGATTGCTTTTATGCAACACGTGCGAAATCTAATTGGAGCGGCACTCCTCGACCGATATCGAGCATTTTCATAGCGATGACGACAATAGTCATTTTGCGACAAATGGGAAGGATGAGAGTTTTAGATTGAAATGTAGAAATCAGTGAATTCAAACATAATTCTTGTTTGGGAGGTGGCTTCTCCAATGCTCGGGTGTGCGTGAGGGTCGAGGTGGGTCGTGCGCGCAACCTACTTGGGACAAAATTTTGGCGGAATCTTCAGCAAAATCCGATATGGTGTAGTGGCCAACATGATGCCCTCTCATGAACTTGAGAGGTTAGGCATAGCCCCGAGTTCGATTCTCGGTTTCGGAACATTTCTTTTGCCTGTTATCCATGTCAACATCCAAATTGGCCCTCAGAGGCAGGCGCGTATTTGCGACTGCTTTTTAATGCGGGTTTATAATAATAAGTCGCACGCAAATAAGCAGAGAAATATCATGTGCATACAGCATACCTATGCAGCAGAAGGTACTAATTAACAAGCAGCAAAGAATAGCACCTACATCGTACTTACTTACCTATCTATGCATTTTAGAGTGAACTATTCCAGCGATCCTTCTGCAGCAGGTGTCTTTCACATCGATTCGCTGAGAAACCGACTTGCCGGCCAACATTTTCACAATCACATCTGCATCTTTTAATACCCTCCATTTGTCTTGCCGAAAAAGTCGCATTCCCATTGGGATTCCCATCCGAAGCATTCTTGGGACGGAAATGCGCTTCTGAGAGGGCGACAGCGCCAATCAGGGCCTGGCTTTTGGATGCTGCACGTCCCTCATCATGCAGATCATTAGAGATGCACAGGGATGCGGCGATTTGCTGTGAGGCTTTTGGTGGTGTGGTGCACTGGTAGGCAGAAGATGACGGGACTGCGGAGGCGAGCGGTGTCTGTTCGCCGTGCAGGACGCAGGTCAAAAGTGTGATGGTTGCGGATAGTTCATAAAATCTGCCAATGCAAGATTCAATCAATAATGGCAAGTAATATCAACGTTCGTTAGATCATATACTGATAGGACGATGAGGCTTGATGGCGCCCTGTGGTACTGACATCGTGATCGTTTGCTGATGGTGAACGCGCGGAAGACGAGACACTGCCTCACATGATAACCGTCTCATACATATTCGCACACCGCCTCATCGCTGTGCGTTCGCTGGCCACTAGTTGACACGCTCCGGCTGCTAGGACTCGCTCGTCCGTCCATGGAACCCCGAAAGCTCCGGGCCCCATCGCCCCTCTTCCGCATCCGCGACCCGAACCAACGGTCCATACCGGAGCCGGGAGTGAGTGGAACCCCTCCCGTTCTGTCGCGCCCGTTGGTTGGGCGCAACAAGCTCAACCAACCTCGACGGCGAAAAGGCTGCGTCAGCTCTTGTCTTGGAAACCCCTCCGCCAATCCTCTGCCGCCCTCTCTCAAGAATGTGAAGCGAGAAAGAAGGCAGGGGGTCAGGGGAATTGAACGACGGGAAGCGAAACATGGGGAGAGGTACCCGCTTTATTTGGCCATGTCGCGAAATGCACCAGCCGGGGGGCCGTCGTTCAATCGGGGGGCCAGTCCTTGTGCGCCTCCCGGAACCCGAAGCAACATGTGAGACGGGGAGGGTTTTGGGGGCTGGATGTTGTTTTGTTTGGTAGACGGTTGATGAGTTGAAGCAGTATTTATTCTCACGGTGATGATTGTGAAAGAGACTCGAAAGCCATGTAAACGAATACTCAACAAACACGAAGTCTCTTTCACAGTGTTGCAGTACCAAGACCACCGGCGCGAACGCCCAGAGACTTGGTCGCAGACACCATCTCAGGCTAGAGTCACGAGCACAGCAAAGTTTAGGCTTTGGAGAACCACTTTTTTGGGTTTTTTTGTGGTGCTGTTGCGACTTCAAACAGAGGAGCTTGCAGCAACAGGACTCAGGAGCTGTTGGTATGACAAGGTACAGCCGCCCTTGGCTCCCTCCCTCAGAGGCGAGAGGTTCTTCCTGCCGCGCACGCGCATGCGGCTTGGCTCTTTCCCATCCAATCCACCCATCCCATCTCTCAACGCTGCTTTTTCCCCCGGTGCCCCCAAAAGACAGGCACACCCTCCTTCCCAGCATCGCCACGTTCTCCCGCGTGGCTTTCTAATCCACTCTTTCTAATCCTTCTCTTTAATCTACCCATCCTGCACACCTGTCCGTTCATCCTTCATCCGTACACCACACTCCCACACGTCGTTTGACCGTTTGCCTCCCGACCGAGGCTCGATCGCCTTCATTTCAACCGCGCGGAACACGATAGAGACCTAAACACCTTCGCTCCTTTCGATCACACTCGTCCGACCGTCGAGCTGCGATAAAACACGCCGATCGCTCTCTCTCTTTCTCCTCACTCACACCACAACCAAAACCCATCGCGATGGCCGACCACGACAAGCCCCCTGCCTACGGCGGCCCTCCCCCTCAACCTCCTCAGCAAGCCTACCAAGGCTACGGCTCTCCTCCGCCCCAAGGTCCCGGCGGCTACGGCACGCCCCCGCCCGGCCATCAGGGCCAGTACTACTCCCCCGGCCCCGAGATGGGATACCCTCAAGGACCCTACCCCCCGCCCGGCCAGTACCCTCCCGGACAATATCCCCCGGGACAGTACCCTCCGGGTCCCTACGGCCAGCCGCAATACGGACCCCCCGGCGGTCCCGGATACCCGCCGCAGGGAGGCTACTACCAGGACAACCGCGGTGGCGGCGGCGGCGGTAGCGGTATCATGGCTGGTCTGCTCGGTGCGCTTGCGTGCTGCTGCTGTCTCGACTGCTTGTTCTAAAGGGTGATTGCGCGCGATAAGAAAAAATCGATACCCGAAATGCGATGGGAGGACCCAAGATGCTGAGAGCAGACGGGCATTGGAATGGAGCAGCAGTTTTGTCGGGTTGTGGGTGAAAGATTGCGGTATCAGCATGAAGAGCTGGGAGATGAGCGGTACTGGCAAAGAGCGAGCATAACTCTGCAAAAGGGCATTCATTTTTTATCGTACGGCGTCACGGGCGAATGGGGGCATCATCACGCGCAAGAGGGAATCACAGCACGACGAGGGCATTCTCCTGAGCTTGGATTTGGGAGATGACAGCCCCGGTCTACTTCGACAGGACCCCCTCCATCGCTGATCGGGGGGTCTTCTTTCTGAGTACACTGATTTTTTTTTTTCATCCTGCGGTGTCTGGGAAGAGGGTTTGGGAATCATTTGTAATTAGTCGTGTCGTATTGGAGACGTTACGGCGATCCTGTCGAGCCCTTCGGCATAATTTCATCACGGTGCGACTTGAACCCGTTCGTGGAAACTCTGTGAAGAAGAAAACAGGAGCTGAGTGCGGGGTAACGTCGCTCTCGGATCACAAGGTACCTGACTAGATGGCGTGGCTTGGGCTACGACACTGTCATTCCAGAGCTCAACGCCACGGGAACAGAATCGAAACTCGCGGGACGGGCAGCCACTTGGGCACGGATGATGGGCACTGACTAGTTCATGCAAGTGTCGAATTTTCAGATCTGTCTACTATTACTACGCCGCGCTCTTGTATAGCTCGTCAAAGTCTCTCTGGATGTTGGCCACGCAGTCGTTGGAGTAAATCATCTTCTGCACGTCGGGGGAGGCCCACTTGTCCGGCACGCTGCCGGCGGCGCCGGACTTGTGCTCGGCGAACATGCGGTCCCGCTCCTCCTTGGCCTTGCCCTCGCCGAGGTGGAGCTGCTTGCCGGACAGGAAGGCCATGTTGACGAGCTGGGAGCACCAGTCGCGGCGGGAGAGCTCGTACGTCTTGAGGCACCGGCGGAGCGTCTCGGGGGAGGTGTCCGGGGCGCGGGCGAGGACCTCCGCGACGACGGAGCCGTCCTCGATGGCCATGGCGGCGCCCTGGCTCAGGTGCGGCAGGGTCGGGTGGCAGGCGTCGCCGAGGAGGGCGACGGGGCCGCGGGTGTGGACCCAGGCGGGCAGGGGCTTGTGCATGCGCAGGCGCCACTCGCAGACCTGGCCGTCCGGGACGAGGTTGAGCATGCGGTGGACGAGGGGGCAGAAGTCGTGGAAGACGTCGAGCATGACGGACTTGGAGCCCTTTGTGGTGTAGGTCGCGTTGGTCGCGGCGGCGAAGTTGGAGTCGGGCTGGGTGGTGGACAGGTTGTAGATGGAGTGGGAGGAGACGGGGTAGGCGATGATGTGGCGCTTCTCGCCGATCCAGCGGATGACGTCGTCCGAGTCGAGGAGGGCGAGGAGTTCGGGGTCGTCGGCCATTTGCTCGCGGGTGAGCATGATGCGGTAGGCGGCCTGGCCGGTGTCTTCCTCCTCGCCCTTGGCGCCGATGGCGTCGAGGAGGGCGGTGCGGACGGCACTTTTGATGCCGTCGCACGCGAGGAGGACGTCGCATTCTACAGAATAAGCTTCGCCCTCGCGCGGTTGCACTGTGAATTTCGGCTTGGGTTCAAACGCGTCGACGGACGCCAGCGAGGCTGCGAAGTGGAACGTGATGGCGGACTCTTTCTTGCAGGCGTCGTACATGCGACCAGCGAGAGACGAGCGGTGGCCGTTGCAGTGCGGGTAGCCGTAGAGCTCGCGGATGTTGGGCATGTCGACGTGAGCGAGCTCGACGTTGGTTGACCCCTCTATTCTCCGGTGTTAGCCAAGTTGTGTGAGGGTGACTTCAGGAGGGCTTCATACGTCTAATACTTGAACCCTTGACGTCCGTGGCCTCCTTTTCGATTTCCGGCCAGCAGCCTAGACGATCAAGTGTCCGAACGACGTTTGGAGGCATCTGGATACCGGCGCCGACGAAGCCCAGGTTCGAGGCCGTCTCGTAGACGTTGATGTGCTTGAACCCCTTTTTGGCGAGGGCCAGCGCTGCGCCCAAGCCGCCCATGCCTACGTTGATTTCATGTCAGTTGTGAGTTGACCAGAGTAAGGGCACAAAAAGACGCACCGGCGCCAATGACGGCAATCTTCAAGTCTTTCGGATCCGACATCGTTTCTGCAACTGTGCCGTAGTAGTCCTCTGAGGCGTAACAAACTGAAGAGCTCAATTCAACCGAGCCGTCCGAAATCACCATCCCCAAGGCTGTTTATGAAGTTGCAGACCATGGAGCCTCACATGGGGAATGTGGGGGATCTGAGCAAACTCGGGGTCCATTATCGGCTGGAGAAGCGGGGAAGCGCGCGACAACTGAGGGGATGTTCGTTGTCTTCTTTGGCTTTTTGGAAATCTGGTAACGGGTCCGGGATCGAGAGACGGGAAGTGACAGTCGCTGGTTGGATAGGATTGGCAGATGAACCAACTGCCGATGCGCCGAAGGTGTAGTGGGGGTAATCCGAACTTTCGAATATTGCCGAACCCCAAAGTCGGGCGGTCAGAGTTGAATGTTTAACCACGTTGGTTGTTGAAGAGTTCTGAATGTGATCACGTTGGATTCGGAACTGAGAGTCGGCATGCACAAACGCTGTGGAAGGTCGTGCACACATTTATGCACATCATGGGCTAGCGCCATCATTGACAGCGGCGATTGTGTCCGTGTTCGACTCTGACATGTTGACGCCTTCGCCTAGCTGTCCGTGTTGGGGACGCCATGCAGATTTGGGGAAAATGCCCGCGTTCGGCGATGATGCGGAGGAACGGCCGAAGTGTTGTCGTCATTCTGCGAGAAAACGGGACGGCGCCCCGATCCCGGGACTGATTTGATTTGCTTCGCTTTTGGCCGTGATGTGGAGCTTATCCGAACGCTCCTGCGAGTGTGCCTGACACACGCTTCGGGACACCTACTCGTCGGCCAGTTCCTTCGGACAGCTGGAAGAGCTGAAAAGAGAGAAGGCCGGGAGTGGTGGACGGTTGATGATGGATGACGGAGTGGAGGGTGGCATGCAGTAATGCCAGATAGCCACCAACCATCGATATCAGGCTTTTGGTAGTATGTCAGATTCCAGCTCCCTCTTTGGGCCACCTCATGTGATGACTGTCTTGCTGTCAACGTCGGGACTTTATGCCAAGGAAATGAATCTCGCGAACCAATGCGCGTGAGAATTATCGAATGTAAACCTCCACGATCTTGGAAGTTGATGGTCTCGATGACGCAGACCCCCTCACACTTGCTGGTATGTGGCTTAGCCTCTGATTCCATTGCTCGGCAGGAACATCTCGAAAGCTTCGATAGCCGGAGCTGTAGCTTGCTCGGTTTCCTGTCAAGGCCTGTCCTTGTATTGTCCAACCATTTCTCACTAAGCAAGGCGTTGCTGCCTTTCTCAATGCGAGCTTATTCCATGCCACAAAACAGCTCAGGCCTAAGACCACGTGAACAGGCGCCTTCCGCGGACTTCAGAGACCTGGAAGGACGACGCGCCATCGTCAGGGTTCTCGGCGAGGTATCCGGCTTGTCGCACAGCCACGCATACTCGCCTCCGGTGGGTGGCCACGACACAGCCATTGGTGTTTATGAGCGTGCCTTGGTGGTGGAGAGGATTCTTGGCGGCTTCGCCTTGAGCATGCATGGCTCTCCTGGTCAAGCTTTGAACCGCCACTGGTATGACTGGCCACCCGTTGCGCATCCGCGTCTCGTCTCGTCTTGTGCAAGTCCAAAGCAACACAGACTTCGTACTCCATACGTAAATCAACTGAAGTAACAGTTCTTTTGTTGTGATCCGTCAGAATGGAGATCGTCCCATTCAACCGGCGAGTAAACAAAACTGGAGATCTTTCTCCGGGGTAGCAAAGTCTTGGATCAGGGAAAGGAGCTGGTTCGGTTAATCGGGTTGGTTGTGGTTAGGATGAAGCGCGCGCTGATCTATTTCTGCGTCAGAAGAGCGCGAGGGTAACGAACCTCAGACGGCGGGAGCGAGAGCCAGACACCAGACAGCTGGTCAGTGGGTTGCAGCAGCCCAGCCCAGCGACTGGAGAAGTCCACAGTCCACGAATACCCTGCAGGAATGAGTTAGCCGAGCGTGGGAGACGGGAAATGATTGGATCAGAAGCAGCAGTAACAGTGAGAGAGATGGCGAACCGTGGCGGGATCCCACTTTTGTCCCGCAGGGCGACAGGGGTATGTTTCGTTTAACGTGACTGGCCAATGAAGCCTCTGATGTCACCAACTGCAGGGCTTCTGGAGGGATGCCGCAGTATTACGGCGCAAAAAAAGAGAAAGCGATTGCCTCTGCAGCAACTGAAGCAACTGAAGCAGCTGCAGTAGCCCCTGTCCTAGACTCCACCCTGGTTTTGTCCTGCATCATCTCAGCCAATCAGTGATTCACTTCTGCCCTGCTAGTCTGGTCAAAACCCTTTCGGCTGGACTCTGGACCTGCTTGGCGCCCTCTTCTTCGTCGCCGTTCTGTCGTCTGTGCCTACCGCTGTCTATCTTTATTTCTTCCGTGTTCAACGCAATCAAGTTGGCCGGGGGGGATAACAAAAAAGAGGCCACCGCCAGTCCTAACGAACCTGCGGGCCTTCTTTGCCAACGGCTTCTCCGATCTATCCTGGTCTTTTTGTTCTATTGATACTTGAAGATTCGACAACGACGCAATGTTCGTCTCATTGTCATCGTGATCCGTCCTCTTACCAACCTCACCTCGAACCGCACCATCGCCGACAAAGAGCACGACGCCGAACTCTTCGTATAATATCCCTCGACCCCGACTATCCTCCTCTCTATACTTGACCGATACTTTCGACACCGAAACCTACTACTACATGGACGGCTGAATATACGTTTGACGGTACAACTACTCCAAAATGTCGGCTACCCCGACAACGGCGACCGAAACGTCGTCGCTGGCGACGTCTCTGGCCTCTTCACTGGCCTCGTCTCTTGCCTCATCCCTTTCTGCCACGCTCTCCGGGACAGCAACTGCGACACTGAGCGGCAATGGAACTACCACTTCCCATTCATCCACCTCCTCGACTGCCGCTGCCACCACTCCTGCTAGTCTTGGTATTGGGTCCGCGCAGACCAAGGAGGGAATGACTCTCGTCAGTTTTCTTACTGCGTTGGCCACCGGTGTGACCGTTTTCGCCATTCAAGTTCTCGCCTTCCTGCTTCTGCGTAACAAGCTGGCGCGTATCTTGTCTGTACCCCATTCTGTAAAGTCTGAGCACAGCATACTGACAATCTGCAGCAAACCAAAGACCTACCTGGTTCCCGAGCGCGAAAGAACCGAGTCTCCTCCCTCCGCACCTTGGAATTTGATAGTCACATTGATGAAATTCAGTGACCGCGAGGTCATCAAGAAGTGTGGCTTGGACGCCTACTTCTTTTTGCGATATCTCAGGGCCCTTCTCACCATCTTCATTCCAATTGCTGCTGTCGCCATCCCTATTTTGATCCCGCTCAACTACAATGACGGAAAAGGTCACGACTTCCTCGACGAAAAAAAGGACAACAACGGAACAAACGGAACAACCAACAGCACGACCCCTTCTCGGCTTCTCTTCAGAGGTATCCAGCTATATATCAGAGCTGAATCGACAAATTCGTCGGGCGACACCGCGAATGGCACCATCCCGTCGGGCTTGGACACATTGGCGTGGGGAAACGTCGGACTCAACCATACTAACCGATACTGGGCTCACTTGGTACTGGCTCTCCTGGTCATCATCTGGGTTTGCACTGTGTTTTTCTTCGAACTCCGAGTATACGTCAAGGTTCGCCAAGACTATCTCACAAGCGCCGAGCATCGACTACGCGCTTCGGCCACAACGATTCTTGTCAATGGTATTCCTTCCAAGTGGCTTACCGAGGAAGCCCTGCTGGGTCTGTTCGACGTTTTCCCTGGTCAGATCCGCAACATTTGGCTGAATCGAAACCTATCACGACTTCTTGAGAAAATCCAACTGCGCGAGAAAATCCACTCAAGGTTGGAAGATGCCGAAACCGAGCTCATTAAAGCAGCGAAGAAACAACAACTGAAACGCCGTAAGAAGGAAGAGAAAGCAGCCAGAAAACAGTCCAAGTCTAAGGGACCGACGAAGCAGGAGGCACTTCTCAGGCGGCAGCAAGAAGATGATGCAGCAAAGAAGATGGCGCAGAGTCACCAAGGTATCAGCTCTGGGGAGCACGAAGAAGTACCACACGACATCGCCGCTGTAATGGAAGATGAGGACAGTAAATCAAGACGGTCGAGCACTTCATCTTCTAGCTCCTCTGAAGACGGCGACCGACCCCAGTCCAGAGGATTCGGACTTCACGTTCTCGGCGATGGCATCAACAAGGTCGGAAAGGGGCTCCTTGGAGGTGTCAGTAAGGCGCAGAAAGAAATCAAGGAATTCGGTCAGGATGTCGAGGATACTGTCGAGACGACGAATGGCTTTGCCATGCTGCAACCCGGCGATCGCCCTCGCAAAGTTCAGATTCTGGCTGAAGGAGAGCGTCCTGCTACCGCAAAGAGCGTCACCAGCACCGGCGATCAGCTGAAGACGCAACAGACTGCCGATACGCAAAAAACTCACTCTCGCAACGCGTCTGCCGCCACGCAAGAAACGTCCGGTCCCAAGCACAGCTACGAGCCGTTTGGAAATGGCAACACCGTGCGTAAGGTTAGCAACCTGGACCACATGTACGACCAAGAAACTCGAAAGTTCTGGCAATTTTGGAAAGCACCCGCTGGCGGTTACGCGTCTCCTATCCCCCAGGGGTACGACCCTGGCGAGTTTCCGTTTGGTCAAGCACCGAAGGACAGGACTGTATGGCAGGTGCTTAAGTCGTTTATTCCGTTCATGGACGATGATGGGGAGGACCCAGTCGAGTACCCTGAGTGGAACGCAATTGGCGACAACTACAAAAAGGTCCTTGATGATGAAGCTGAATGGCGAAAATGGGTCAAGGAGAAAAATAGGCCAACCCATCGTCTGCCGCGCTGGGGCTTCCCTGACTGGCTTGCCTGGCTTACCTTCGGCCCCAAGGTTGACACCATCTACTGGTGTCGTTCGGAGCTGGCGCGTTTGAACGTCGAGATCGAGGACGACCAAGCCCATCCGGAACGCTACCCTCTCATGAACTCGGCCTTCATCCAGTTCAATCACCAGGTTTCTGCACACATGGCTTGCCAGAGTCTGATGCATCACGTCCCGAAACACATGTCCCCCCGAATCAACGAAATCTCACCCAATGACGTTATCTGGGACAACATGGCAATGACGTGGTGGGAAGAATCTCTGAGATCTGGCATTGTCACCGGTATCATCATTGCCATGGCTTTGTTCTGGGCCGTTCCCATCGCTTTCTCAGCGGGTCTTTCGAATATTGATTCCGTCGTTAAGCAATTCCCTTGGCTCGACTGGATTCAAAAAGATCAAACCGTTAAGAAGGTCGCCGGCGCCATTGCTGGTGTCTTGCCAGCCGTCTTGCTCGCTCTCCTGCTGATCATTGTGCCGTTGATTTTGGAGCAGCTGGCGATGTTCCGGGGTGTCAAGACCGGTTCCCAAAAGGCTGAGTTCGTCCAGAGATTCTACTTCGTCTTCCTGTTCATTCAGGTCTTCCTGGTCGTTTCCATCACGTCCTTCTTCATTGCCTTCATCCAGGACTTCAAATCTGCGGCTGAGAGTCTCCAGAGCGTCAACTTCATCCTCCAAACGCTCGCGGAGAACCTGCCCAAAGCAGCCAACTACTTTTTCTCCTACATGTTACTGCAGGCGTTATCTGTGAGCTCTGGTACATTGCTACAGATTGGCGCTCTGATTACGTGGTACTTGTTGGCTCGCATTCTCGACTCAACGGCACGGGCAAAGTGGAAGAGGAACACGACCTTGTCGACCATTGCTTGGGGCCAGTTTTTCCCGGTCTACACCAATTTCGCCTGTATTGCCCTGGTCTACAGCATCGTCGCCCCCTTGATCTCGCTTTTCGCAGTTCTCACTTTCGGTCTTCTCTGGTTTGCTCAGCGCTACAGCATGCTGTACGTCAACCGCTTTGAGACCGACACCGGTGGTGTCTTGTACCCTCGCGCGATCAACCAGACTTTCACCGGATTATACGTGATGGAAGCATGCCTGGCAGGTCTGTTCTTCATCGTCGTGGACGACAAGGGCAAATCTCCAGCCACGGCACAGGGTGTGATTATGCTGGTATCACTCGGGCTCACATTGCTTTACCAAGTCTCGCTCAACTCGTCGTTCTCGCCGCTTTTCCGTTATCTGCCCATCACTGTTGAAGATGAGGCCGTGATCAGAGACGAAGCTTTCCAACGTGCGCAGAATCGACGTCTTGGGCTTCTCGACGAGGACGATGATGCCGATGAAAAGACGCCGATGAACGGCGGCGATGCCAGCTCGGAGTCTCGTGGCATCGAAATGCGGAAGCTTGGAGACACCTCCGCCCCTCAGCGAAAGCCGTCGACCATGCGCCGTGTTAAGAACGTTGGCCACTGGGCGAAGGAGGGAGGAAAGCATCTCCGCAGCAAGACATGGAAAATGGGCCCTGCGACCGTGAAGACCGCGGCCGAATACAGACGCCAACAGCGCGACAAGGATCTCGAGGCTCAGAGGGCGCTCGGTGAAGCGCTGTATGGCGGGTTCCATGACGAAATCGAAGACTTGACGCCCGAGGAGCGCGATGCACTCGTTAAAAACGCGTTCAAGCATTACGCTCTTCGGGCTCGAGCACCTGCGGTATGGATTCCTCGTGACGACATTGGCGTGAGCGACGACGAGATCAAGAGGACGAAGGAGTACAGCGAGCACATCTGGATCAGTAACGAGGGCACAGCGCTTGACAGCAAGGTCCGCGTGGTGTACGGTGCGAACCCGCCCGACTTCTCCGAGATCGACATCATCAACCTGTGATGGTTTGTTTGTTTTTTTCTTAGTGAACAAATGCATATACCCAGCCGGCGTTTGGGGGAGGAACATAGCAATAGAACAAAAGCAAATCTGCCAAGTATTAATCCACTGTATAAGTTATCTCGAGAGATCTCTTTTGATGTGAGGTTATTACTGTATTCTTCCATTGAATTCATTTGTCTTCCTACTATGGTAGATCCCAAATCCAGGGAAGCTTTTGAGACCCAGAGCACAAACCGCTCATCTCAACATCATTGGATGAAGTTCCGGCTTATAAATCATGCGACGCAAGACCAATGACGCCGTCGATACACCATCCCCCGCATCGGCCCGGCGTTCTTTGTCTGTAACTTTTACCTCACCAGGACAACATACATCAACTTAAAGTAAACAACAACAGCAGCCAAAGTCTGAGGAAACAACTACAAAATTACAAACTTTCAATCTCTTGAAACCAAAGAGCGAAAATGACCAAATCGGGCAAGGCCAAGGCCGTCGTGAACGGGACCACGGTCGCGGAGGCGACGGAGTGGGAGGAGGTCGAGGGCAACGTCTACTTCCCGCCGTCGGCGGTCAAGACGGAGGTGCTGGAGAAGACGAGCCACACGACTTTCTGTCCGTGGAAGGGGACTGCGGAGTATTACTCGCTCAAGGTCGGAGGTGAGAAAGAAGTCTCCTGATTATTGAATTATTACCCCCCGCCCTCTTCCCTCCTTTGAATCTTGTCCTTGTTGTATTTCTTGATGGCGCGTGGCTGACGGATGGGGAGTAGGTGACAAGTTGGAGAACGCGGCTTGGTATTATCCCACGCCCAAGGACGCTGCTGGTGAGATCAAGGATCACGTTGCTTTTTGTAAGTCGTGTATTGAATTCCAGCGTTCTAATCGTGAACTGATGATGGTGTTGAAGACAAGAGCAAGGTCACGGTCACCGTTGAGTGAAGGACTTGAGGAATGGACTTGGGACGGTGCCAGTTCGATCATGGGCTACTCGAGACTCGTGAGCTTGAAAACAGAACCGTAGTCTAACGTATCAAAATCTAAAGTGCCTAAATTTCAAGAACATTTTCTTCGTCATCATCCGGTGGACCTGGGTATTCCTCTACATAAGCCATGACGCAAGGAAACTTCGTGCCAGTTCGCCGCCGCGTTAGACTTCGACGATCTCGTTGTCGTCGTCCTCGATCTCCTCCACTCTGGAACCGTTGGTCAGCTGCTTCTGCCCGGTCTCGGTCTCTGCCTCGCCCTCGCCGTCGGCCGGCGCCTCGTCTCTCATGAGGACCTGCACCAGACGATCGCAGGCTTCCTTGACGCCCTCGTTCTCCACGCGAGAGTGCGTTTCGCGGACGATGGGGTAGACCTTGACCCTCCTCATCAGGTCGCGGGCTTCTCTGGTGGTGGTCAGAAGCAGCAGGGTCTCGAGGTGCGTCTGGATGATGGTGGGGTCCGACTCGCGCTTCTTGTCGGGGGACAGGAGCTGGAGGTCGGGCAGCATGCCCTCCATGTCGTCGTCGTCGTACTCTTCGTTGCCGATAATGGGCAGCAGGATGTACGGGAGGATGTCGACCTCGTCCTCGTCGAGGAATTGGGGGTGGAACTGGATCTCGAACGCGACGTTCTTGATGGTGCTTGCGACGCCCTTGCGGCGGATGTCGGAGGCGTGCTCGGTGAAGACCTTGAGCTTGGTGATGGGCACGACCTGGTCGTAATCTTGGCGGGTGACAAAGTGCTGGCGCACCTCGGCGTGCTTGGTCAGATCGGCGAAGAGGTAGGCGAGGTAGTCGTAGTCCGCGTCCTTGTTGTAGCCCTTCTCCTTGACGAAGAGGTCGATGAGCTGGTTGAGAACGAGATCGTTCGACTTGAGTTCCTCGGGAGGAGTCTGCTTGCGGGTGACGATGGTCTTGAGACCGTCGAATTTTGCCATGTTGGCCAGCAGCATGGCCATCAGGTTGGCGTTGGGCTCATCGGGTTTCTGCGACGGGTGAGTTTAAGACCTCACTGGTATGCTCATATGAGAGACTTACAACTATCATTCCGGCAAGTTCTCCGATGAACTTGTCATCTGTGGCAACATTTTCCAGAACATCCTTCTCCGCAGTAAGGTTGATCAGAATTGTAAGGACATGCTCTGCGATTTTCTGGATGAAGGCATGAGTGGATGTTCTTTTGTCTGTTCGATGGCCGGCACTGGCTCACAGGATGGTCTTTGACCAAGAACTTGAGATGCTTTACAGGTGTCAAGCTCTCGGTCTTGAAGATTGCCGGCTGCGCTTGCGAGTACCCAACAAGGTTCTCAACGGCCAGCTTCCTGATTTGCGGGTTTTGATGAGCGATGAAGCCCACGAGCTGTTCTGCATGAGCTGAGTTCACTCTAGCCGGCCGGGTTTTGCTGCCATACATACCTCTTCGAGTTCTGTCGGCATTTTGTATGATTTTTGAAGTGATTTCTAGAAAGTGAAAATCGAATTCCAGAAGTCTGCCAACTTTTTAAGAGGTGTTCCAAGAAGGGTGTCTCGCTCCTGTTGTAAGACAGGCCGAGAGAGTCACTCGCAGAAGCTTTTTGGTGGGGTGTTATGGAGGGGCAGTCGCTGTGGTGGCCGATGAAGTCAAAGCCCAGGGGTGTGATTGGCCTGAGAACGGACTCGACCCACTATAAGCCGGCCCAGGGTTCTGGGCACTAATCAGGCGCGGGGCAAATCGATAAGAAAATCAAAAAATTTCTAGCTCACAGAAGGGGAGGGAAAAAAAAAAAGAGGCACCGCCAATCCCGACTTGTCGCTCTCCGCCAGACCACTTTCTGTCGCAAATTCCGATCAAAAATGGGCAAGGCCACCACCCCGACCGACCGCCAGGCGCGCAGGCACAATCCTTTGCAGGATGACATTTTGGCTACGGGCCCCTTGAAGAACAAGGTCGGCAAGAAGAAGAAGGGCAAGAACAGCGACGACGAGGACAATGGCGACCATTTCGTCGATGCGACTCGGAGTCGAACCATTCTCAGGCTAGGTCGCGAGCTTGCCGACGAAGATGGCTCTTCGAAGCCCACAGAACCTGCAGCGAAGCCGACCGTCGACCTTTTCGGTATTGAGTCAAGATATGGCGCCGACGTTGGCGGCGACGAGCAGACCTACGAGGACGAGGAGGCCTGGGGCGACGAGGATGAGATTGTGGAAGAGATCGAGATCGACCCTGAAGATCTAGAGACCTATCGCAAGTTTCTTCCAGAGGCCGAGGAAGATCCTGCCGAGATGTTGAACCAGGCTGGCTGGGGAAGCAAGGGCGGTGACGAGGATATGGCTGGCGGCGGCACCAACTTGACCGAGCTCATTCTCGAGAAGATTGCCGCGCACGAGGCTGCGGAGGCTAGAAAGGCTGCCGGTGTGCCGGTGGACAATGACGACGACTACCAGCTGCCTCCCAAGGTCATCGACGTGTACACCAAGTATGTGACTCGGCGGCTGTTGTTATTGGGAGGAAATGGCTAACATGCGCTAGGATCGGCCAAATTCTGTCGCGTTACAAGAGCGGACCCTTGCCGAAGCCCTTCAAGATCTTGCCGACCCTGCCACACTGGGAGGATATCATCGAGGTCACCGAGCCCCAGAAGTGGACGCCGAACGCGGTATACCAGGCGACCAGGATATTTTCGTCTTCGAAGCCTGCCGTGTGCCAGAAGTTTATGGAGATTGTCGTTCTCGACAAGGTCCGCGAGGACATTTACGAGAACAAGAAGCTGAATGTCCACTTGTTCAACTCCCTGAAGAAGAGTTTGTACAAGCCGCGGGCGTTCTTCCTCGGCTTCCTGTTTCCTCTGCTCTCCAGCGGATGCACAGTTCGTGAGGCGCATATCGTCTCTGCCGTGCTGGCTAGAGTTTCGGTACCGGTGCTCCACTCTGCGGCCGCCCTCAAGGGTATTACTGAGATGTATGTGATTCGTGACTGTCGATTGTAACATTGCGCTGACGTGCACATAGTGCTGCCCAAGAAGCTTCTGCTGGTACCGAGGGTGGTGGAGCTGCGAACATCTTCATCAAGACCCTGCTGGAGAAGAAGTACGCTCTGCCTTACCAGGTCATCGACTCTCTTGTGTTTCATTTCCTGAGGTTCAGGAGTGTAGACCCTGCGTCCATCAAGGAGGGCCAGTCGTTTTCCGGAGACATGGTCAGATCGCTGCCTGTTGTCTTCCACCAGAGTCTGTTGGCTTTTGCCCAAAGATACAAGAACGATCTGAGCGAAGACCAGCGTGAGGCGCTTCTTGACCTGCTCCTCTCCCATGGCCATGTTGCCATTGCACCGGAGATCAGGAGGGAATTGCTTGCTGGCAGAGGAAAGGGTGTAGCGGTTGAGCAGAACGCCCCCTTTGATGGCGATGACACGATGCTTGTGGACTGAACGAACTACAAAAATGGGAAAACGGGAGTTGGAGCTGGGCCATTCCCTAGGCATTAAAAGGCGTTAGAAGGTGTGATTTGATACCCGCAATCCTAATCGAATGGATTATGAGAACCTACACATATCGCGTGGGGTGGCCCCTTCCCTTTGATATCCCGAATCGAGCCATCGGAAGGGGACGTAAGTGCCTTCACCAAGACCTCGTTACCTCCCATGTTTGTGACTTCCCCCATCCCAACGTGATGAAACGGCGAGGCACTTCCTGAGGCAAGCGCTTCCAACATCCAGGCCTTCCAAGCCCTTGCGGAGCATTTACTCTACATGGATCCGTGGATTTCACATTTCTACGTACATATTGTTTCCCTTTAACTCGGCGCTCCTCAACCTATTGCATGCGACCCTTGCATCCTATGTATATGCGCATCGCCTATCTCTTTCATTCGACCCTACAACCTATTGAAGACCTAGAGCATGGCCGATGCTTTGGTGTTCGGTAGCAGTCACGAGGCGATGGCACGCCGAAGTTCAGGATCCGATCCTCCTGCAGGCGCCGATCCGGTTACCAACTCCAGGCCTACCTATAGACGAGCGTAGGGACCAAGAGGGAAACGGAGAGATGCCCGCTCAAAGCTGATATGTATCTCAGTTCTTCTTCGCAAACGATTGGTGAACCCCGGCGAGATACACAGAGACTTTCGTTCAAAACCGCACTTCGACTCATAGTCCCTGATGGATCTTCCGACACGCCAGCTGATAGTTGGGACGGATCCAGCACCCCCAAGCCGGCATTTGTAGATGGTTACTTCGCGCAAACGACAATTACTCCCCCAACGACGCGTTCGACAGTCCAGACATCGTCAACGTCAACGCCGAATCGGACACCAGGACGAGGATCCAATCTCGATCCACCACGACCTCCGAAGGAAGGCTTTGAATAGGTTTGGTTTCCAGAAGGGTATTGGGCGGAACGAGAAGTCATCCTGAAGGCACCGCGCAAGAACAGCAGCAGCAACTACTTTTAGAAAAGGTCGACCAGGTCACTCGGACGTACTCCTGCAAGTGAAAACTCGCCTTCCGAAACCGAACCATCGCCGTTCACAGCTGCTTACCGTGGGCCATTGAGTCCGTCATCAGAGCAGGCTCTCGTGCTGTCTCTACAGTATCCGCGTTCTTCCAGCATCGAAAGGCTTCATGACCAGCTACCTAGCATCTCTCAGACTATGAATATCGCCGAAACGAAGGCCGTGCAAGAAGTTGAGGTGATCCTCCAGGTAACCCCCGAGGTGAGCCTGGAACGAGACCGGGCGTCCTCGGATCATGGTGGGTATGACACGCCGCGAAGCTGTCTGTCTATCGGCGCGTCAAGCAACAAAAGTCGACGCAGAAGAAACAAGTTCCGCATGCTCAAGTGTAAAGCCGTACGTATGATGTGATAACATACTCCTTGTACTTCATTCATTGATCATGGACAGATACAGGCGCCCAATTCCACGAGCATCTTACCGAAACCTCAAAACTTATCCAACGTCCTGAAGAAAGTCACAACCTCGACAAATCTCAAGGCCCTGAATTGGGGTACTGGCAAGGATGCGGCAAACGGTTCGACATTCGGAGTACGATGGTTCGGAAAGGCACCGTGGCACCGCAAAGATTCTGAGGTTACTGTCGGTAGTGTGTCAAGCTCCGTCCGACAGGTTCTTGCCGGGAGAACGCCTCCTGCGTCTCCACAACCAGAGGCTTTTCTCAATCGAGGTCAGCCCTGACGCTCTCAGCTTCATGTGTCAGACTAACGGTAGACATCAGGGCCATTTGACTATGAGCTGACTCCCTACCCAGCTGGGGTGAGTCTTGCCGAAATCCGTCTAGTCACTGCAATTCTAAGCGTTTGAACAGGAGGCCACCCGCGTCAAAACTCCGCCTTTGCATGAGAATACCGCTGACGGAAAACCGCGAGGCTTCTTCGGAGATCTGATGCCGCCCGGCGAGGAGATCGACGATTGGGATCCTGCACATCTCACTCGACCTGAGACGGAGAAGTACGGCGGAATCTGCGAAAAGAACTTTCCAAAGAAGCCCAAGGAATGGTGGGATGCGAAGCAGCGGGTGCAACTGAAGAAAGTAGTGCCAAGTCCACAGCCATTCGAGTTCGACATCCCGGAACATCTACCGAGTAGCCCAATGTGTCCGTCAAATCCGAAACATTCGTCCGGCGGCAAAGGACTGTGTGTCTACCATGGAAGAAGGAGGGAAAGCTCGGGACTGAAGGTTGAGCAAGTTATGAGAGAGCGACGTCAGGGATCAGAAGTATCCATCACCTCGCAGGGCGACGAGTTCTAACATGGCGCTTGTCGGGTATCTTACATACCTACTACGTAGTAGCTAGCAACGAACAATTCATATTCAATATGCTTAGGTACGGTCGGGTGTTTTGGTAGGTGTACCTTACTTCCAGGTCGTGTGGCGCGCCTATTTAATATGGGACTCTGTTGTGGCTGAAGGTCGGGTGTGGCCCGGGCTCTCCATCTCCCAGCTGGAGCTGATCGCATCCCAAAATTCGAGGCTGCCTCGAACAACACCATCACCAGTGCTGGTCGCGCTCAATTCACATCAAGTTCACCATCTCGCATAACGTAGGCAAAAAATCAAGATTCGACCATACGCGACACAGCTTAACCCGAGATATCAACACCAAAGTCTACCACAATGGCTGCCATTGAGCAGGATCCGCTGCTCCTGCTGCGCCAGTCGATCGCATCCAAACGACCTGCTGTCCCGACAGCATCCTCTGATGCCACCGCGCCCGAAGTTCCCCTTTCGAAAGCTACCCACCTGCGATTCTCTCACCCAACTACGGTTTCTATCCCGCTAGCTACTCCAACGCGCTTCATCTCGAGCGACCGCCCCGTCGACCTTCGATCGATCTACTTCGCCTGGCTAAACAAGGACGTCGCCATTCCCGAGTATAATGCCAGCGCGACCCGTCTTAACGAGGAGCTGGGCAGCCTCGGCACCGTTCAAAATCTCGCCTTCGTTGAGCGTCTAGACCTATTTACCTGGTTGGAAGGAGCCAGCGAAGAGAGTGAGCACATCAAGCCTCTGGCTGGCGACAAGGAGGGCAAGGAAGGAGCTGGTGCGAGCGCGTCCAAGGCTGCTCCTGCTGCGGCATCGAGCCGATCTGGTCGCGGAACGCTGGATCCTCGCTTGGCTGTCATCTACAACGGAGAGCGCAAGATGGGTGATCGCAACTCCGTCCTGCGTGGTGCGAAGCCTACAGTAAGTTGCGCGCCGGCACTCTGCTTGCATTTACTGACATACGTCCCAGGACTTCTCCCACGTCCGCAAGCTGGCCGTGCCATTCATCCAGAAGAAGCCCCACGGTTCTTCCAACATCAGCTCCAACCCCTCCCTCGCTCTTAACCAGAAGCCCCCGACGCGTCGTCCGGACCCCATCATTCTCCTTTCGCCCTCCGCCTCGTCCCTTCTCCGCCTTTCCAACATTCGCTCCTTCCTTGAGCAGGGTCGCTACACCACCCCAGATGGCGGCGCTGCGGCTTCAAACATGCTGCACGTCTCCCGTATCATGAAGGAAATCGACCCCTCTCGTCCCATGCGTTTCATCCTAGTTGAAGGCCCGGAACAGTTCAAGCCTGAGTACTGGAACCGCGTCGTTGCCGTTTTCACCACGGGCCAGTCGTGGCAATTCAAGAATTACAAATGGAGCAACCCCCAGGATCTCTTCCGTCGCATCCAGGGTATTTATGTCGGCTGGCGAGGTGACCAGCCGCCTGACAGCGTCCGCGAGTGGGGCCACCGTGTGATGCACATTGGGGTCGACCGCTGGCGCGATGGTGCTGGTGCAATTGAGGCCGCCAAGTTCAGGGACAAGGAGGCCTCTGAGACAATCTGGAGGACTGTTGAGGCCAACATGAAGGCCAAGGGATGGACAAAGACCACTGCGCCCACTCTGCTGTAAAGAGGCGATAATGAGAAGGCTGGCAAGAAAGCTAGCACGCAGAGGACGCAGGAGTCTTTTACAGGGAAGGAGGGACGCACAGGCGTGAGGTGTATGTATCAACAAAACAGGGCTGGGGAAAATAGTTCACAGCGACGGCGTCAAAATGGGCTGTTTTGCACAGGGCAGAAGTTGGCAAGGGCCTGGGCTGTTATATAGCCCCTATGGATAAGGCTGAGTTAGGTCTTTGCCGCATGAGAGGTTCACAGGGGGGCTAGAACAAAGATTGATAATGAGATTCAGTTTCTCTATAATGTACCGAGAAGTGATGCGCAGATCTTTGCTGTTGAAGAGATGGGGGAATACCTGGCTCCTCTGTAGATCACATGAAGTAAACATATCACAGCTAAAAATCTGTGGTCTATGACTTCAAGGGGTTGGTGCTGCTGGCCTTCTCAGTTCCTTCCTAATGCATCTTGAACGGGTGATTGAGGAGCAACCTTGCAACTAAGAAACATCAATAACAGCATATTTCAAGTTTGGATTTCGAAATCCAAGAATTTGCACAATACAATGAACAGAAATACACTAAACAATGTGAGAACATGTTTTGGGGCCAAAAACAAGCATTCATCTCAACGGAGCATGAGGCGGAAGGCCGGGCAAGCCCCACTCGGCCGAGATTCCCGGGCGCTCGGACCACACCTGCTTCACTTCGGCGCGTTCAATCCCAATCCTGACGACGCGTCGGACCCCTGTCCCAAAATCCCCGACGGTAACCCCAGAGACCTGGAGAGCCAGCCGTCAAGCCACCCCATGTAATTTATCTAGGACTTGCTGGCGACAGCAATACCTTCGTCTTCATCTACACACCTGCCGACCACGTCGACGACTCAGGCTCGCCTTTGAGGATATCACAATGGCACCCGAAACCGGCTCCGCAAGCCGTAAACGCAAAGACCCTGCGCCACCGTCGTCCCTACAGAAGAAGCGCAAGCTGAACGGCGCCGTCAAGTCCTCCCCGACGACGCCAAAGTCCACTCCCGGCGCCGCCTCGTCGGCGGTGAAGAGGTCAATCCGCAAGACCGCCCCGGCGGCCAGCTCTCCTTACGATGTCCAGGCCTCCGACGAAGACGACAACCCGCCGCAACGGCACCGGAACGTTAGAAGCGTGAACCGGCCGACGCCCAAGGTCCCGATCGCGGCTCGTGGGCAGATCGATGTCGATGCGTACGAGGTTCCCGATTCCGACGACGAGCTGCAGTTGGATCCGAAAGAGGCGAATGCCCAGAAGAGGGGCTCTGTGAAGAAGAGCAAAGCCGTGGGAAAGGAGGCGGTGATCGAAACCGGGTCGAAGAAGAAGACGACGACTACAAATGGAAAACGAGCGTCTCGCAAGGGGGAAGAGGAGGAAGAGGAGGCTGTGATCAATGACCTCGAGGACGAGCTTCCTTCGATAGAGGAGTCGCCGTTGAAGGTGCGGTCCAGCGGAAGGCGCAGGGTCCCGACTGCCAAGGTCTTGGAAGGAACGGACGAGCAGGCTGGGGGAAGCCGTTCGGGCACGCCAACATCCCGCGCGAGGTCTTCGGTCGCCCTCAACGACGCTCAGGATACAAAGAAGGCGACGGATAAGGCGGTACGGAACGTGTCCATGCCATTGAAGGGCATTCTGACGCCGTCCAAACGTGACAGGTCGGTGAGGAGAAGCAAGAGCGTCGCTTTTGACTCTTCAAACGAACAGGCTCAAGAGGAGGTCTTTTTCGAGGACCTCCCTAGCAAGTCGGCGAGTAAAAAGCCATTGCAAAGGGTTACTGGGGCGAAGGCTACAGCAAGTGCAACGAGGAAGACGAAGCCGCGAAAGGGGGCTGCCAAACCCATAGAAGAGGAGACCGGGGAAGAGGAAGAAGAAGAACCCGAAGTTGAGTCGGAGATTCAGCAAACGGAAGAAGCGGAAGAGGAAGGGGAAGAGGAGGATGAGGAAGTTTGTGAGATTTGTTCAAAACCGGACTCGAAACGCGGGAACATGATCCTGTTTTGCGACGGATGCGACAAAGCATATCACCAAAAGTGCTACGACGTCCCGAAAGTACCCAAAGGAGACTGGTTCTGCAAAGACTGCGTACAAAAGAAAGAAACCCGGGTCGCGGCGGCGGTGGACGTGGCCAAGATCCCGAACTTCGCGCACCATTTGAGCAGCATGAAGAGAGTGCTGCTGGATCGGTGTACGGGGCGCCGGCGAATCAAGTTGATCGACCAGGACGAGGCATATGACAAAGCACATCAGCTTGTCGAGCAGACGGTACTATCAGGGGAGGGAAACTCAATGTTGGTGATTGGCGCGAGAGGATGTGGCAAGACCACGGTACGTGTTGGAGAAGCAGGACGTGGAGCCAGGGCTAATGAGGAGTAGCTTGTAGAGAGTATCGTCGACGACCTGTCCCTCCAGCACAAGACAGCGTTTCACGTCGTGAGGCTGAACGGTTTTATTCATACTGATGACAAGCTGGCTCTCAAGGAGATTTGGCGCCAACTGGGCAAGGAGATGGATGCCGAGGACGACGTGACAGCTCGGGTGAGTAATTCCACATTGCTGAGTTGAAGAATATCAGCCATCTGACTAACCCACGCAGTCAAATTACGCAGACACCATGGCCTCGCTCCTCGCCCTTCTTTCCCACCCGTCAGAAATGACTCAGGCAGAGGAGGGCGTAACATCGCAGGCCGTCGTGTTCGTCATTGACGAATTCGACATGTTCGCGGCGCATCCCCGCCAGACTCTGCTTTACAACCTTTTCGACATTGCGCAGGCGAAAAAGGCGCCCATCGCGGTGCTGGGCTGCACGACGCGGATGGACGTGGTGGAAATGCTCGAGAAGCGCGTCAAGAGTCGGTTCAGCCACCGATATGTCTACCTGTCGATGCCGAAGAGCCTGCCGGCGTACTGGAACGTATGCAAGCAAGGTCTGACGGTCGACGAGGAAGACATGGAGGTTGAGGGGATCGATGTGAGTCTGAAGGGCCATGACGAGTTCCAGAAGGCTTGGAATGCCATGATTGAGGTATGTGCCTTCCGTTCCCGCGAGAACACGCAGAAGGTTAACCGTCTACAGGGCTTACGCGAGGAGAAAACGTTCCATGGTCTCCTGCAATATCACTATTTCACATCAAAGTCAGTGTCCGGCTTCTTGTCGGAATGCATCCTCCCGCTATCCTCATTATCACCCGGAGCCCTGAACCTCGCCATTCCGCCCACGAACGGCCCGACCGTCTCGCTTACACCACCAAACTCCAAACTACACATCCTCCCGTCCCTCTCGGAGCTGGATCTGGGACTGCTCATCGCCGCGGCCCGCCTGGACATCGTGGCGCATACCGACACGGTCAACTTCGCCATGGCGTACGACGAGTACGGCTCGCTGATGGGCCGGCAGCGCGTGCAGTCGGCCAGCTCGGGCATGCTGGCGCACGGGGGCGGGGTGCGGGTGTGGGGCCGCGGAGTGGCCGCGACGGCGTGGGAGCGGCTCGTGTCACTCGGGCTGCTGGTGCCGGCGGGTCTCGGCACCGGCCGGGCGTCCGGGTACGGCGGCCTCGAGGGCAAGATGTGGAAGGTCGACATGGCGCTGGAGGAGATCCCGGTGGGCGTCAAGCTGAACAACGTGCTGGCGCGGTGGTGCAAGGAGATTTGAGCGGCGATTACGCGCAGAATAGGCAATTCGCCGAAACAAGAAATTTCACGGGCTATATACACTCGACTGTTCTCTTACGTGGGCGCACTTTAGTGTTGCAGCCCTCGAAACATCAGTGCCGCTGCCTGCTCTAGTCTATCCTATGCTGAAGACTACCATATCTGCCTGCATGTGTAGTGTGATGTATGTGAATCTGACAGCATCGATGCGCCTGTGATAGGCACGGGAGGTGACTAGTTTGCAAAGGAGGCTGACCACGCGCGCGTATGCCGCGAGGCGCGACGAACGGTCGACGTATATTTAGAGGGTGAGAGTCCCCTTCGCGCGGCGCTAAGCAACAGCCAGAGCCAGGATCTGTGTAGGCTTGCATCCTCCCGCAAGCTTCGTGTGGAATCCTTCGTTTCTCACGGACAGAGAACGCCCTCTGGTGAGATCTAGCAGGTTTGGAAAGGCTTGTCAGAGTTGGGGAACGGACGAGACGGAAAGTTTTGCGTGGACGAGCCGAGTTTTCCGAGTGAGGCGCCACGGCATAAGGGGGTTTGTTCAGGGTTCAGTCAGTAAGCACTTAAAATAATGATGAGAAGAACAAATAATAAGGTAACACCTGGGGGCTCGAGTGATCATCGGAGGCAGCCTCCCCCTTCCTCGTCTGCGCACGTGTCCACGTGTTTACTAGTACTGGAGATCTCGGGCTGCGATCCTTTGGAGCGCGCAATACGGAGATCGCCAGGAGAACGGACCGGGGGTGGGAGGGAAGGGGCTGGTGACGGGATCTGGTGTGACGGGATCCTCGAGGCGGGCAGGGCGTCGTGAAACGAGTGATCGACGGTGAGGGCGACGGCGACGGCGGACGGCAGGAGGAGAGGCTTGGAATAGGCGGACTGCGTCATGTACCCTTCACCGTTGTGGTACTATGTACTTTTGTACACTTACGAATACTTACAAGCCAACAGGTGGACAAGACAGGATGGGATGTAACGTTGTTGGCCGAGGAGACGGGAAGAATTTGAGACCTTTTGTATCCCAAGGTACGTGAGGTGATGTAAGGTAAGGTAGAGTGAGTGCGGCGGCCGACATTCTTTGGTGGCCTCGTGCCAAGCGTGTAAGTCGCCAACTTGCCAGGTAAAAAGTACTTTGTCAGGGTCATATCGGTCTCGGACAGAAGAACATTCCATTTGTCTTGGGGAAGAAGCTTTGAAACGATTGTGGGCTCTTGACGTCTTTGCCCAGAAACATTGGTACTTTGGTCGACTCCATGCTGACGAACCGCACCACTTTAGTTGATCTCGTTCATCTCGTGTAGACGGCAGAGGTATCGGTAAGGCGGAACGAAAGGGCTCTCTCATATGATGCTGGAAACCAGGACTACATCGGACCGGGGACACAATTTCGTGCGGCTGTATTGATGCCGCAGGCTAGGCGCAGAAGCTTGTGAAGTTCAGGGTTAGTGGGATCGCGGGGCGCAGGACGTCGACCCAATGACGAGAGGCAGAATCGGCTCCAGAATGGTCTTTGCCGTGTGGACTATGGACTTGACCCACGACAGGTGCATTACCCACGGCGCATGGCGGCCGCCGCCACGTTGTGAACAAGCTCGAAGCGGTCTTGATTCCGCCCGTGACCCGCTTGCTGCTCAGTGGATTTCCCACCTGTGCTTCCCTGTCTCTGCCATGTCTCGCTGTTAGTCTTAGCAGGAACCCTCCGCTGGCCAATCCGAGTTGATGCCGACCACGAGACGAGACTCAGCTACACTAAAGCCCGTGATACGAAAGACGGATGACATTGTTGAGCCTCCAACGCTCTATTGTCCAGGAATAAAAGGCCCGGGAGAGGCGCCAAGACAGCAAGTCCATGTAGCTGTCATCCAATACCTCGTCGACAAACCGTCTCACACTCTCGCATTCGATTCGACCCCTGGCCATTTGCAGCCTACTCCGTGTCTAAAACATCCCGAACCCATCAGCCAACCAACTTTTGTGTTGGTCAGGTCGTTCCGGGACGCTGCTCGTACGGATGCTTGGCTGGCTGGTGCCTTGGTGTTGGTGCGTTGGTGCGAGAGGAGAAGAGGCGGCCGCCGCCCAGCTTTGGCAGGGCAGGGACTGAGAATTAAATTCCTCAGTCCTCACATCTTGTCACATCCATCACAGGCAAAATAAATCCTTTTTCGGGAAACAAGGCTCGAGTACGGAGTACTAATTAAGCTAGGTGGCAGCGGCAGATTGATAGCTCCCTTCCCCCGCTGTTCTCTGGCTACCTTACCTAGGTAGGTAGCTGCTTGTCTTATTTGAATCCTTGATTGCCCTCTTTCCCTTCTACTTTCCAACTTTTGCAATTGCCTACGACAACCAACAACTCCTGTCATCGCTTATTTTATTCTTCCCTCTCCTGTTCCCCCAGAATAACCACCTGTCACATCTGTTTCTTCGTTCCTTGAATAACCCCAGCATCCCTTCTCACCTTCTCGGTACCCAACCGGCTTCTTCAGCTTCCGACAGGGAGCCATCCACTGCTCCAACTGGGGGAAAACAGGTCGGCCTCACCGTGCGACGAAGCCACCGCCAGCGCTACGCCCCGCGGATTGCTCCTGACCCGGGGGCACATCATCTGCTCTGCGCCTCCGTCATTCCCCGTCTCCGTCTTCACCTTCACCTGGCACTGCCTCCGCCTCTGCCTCCGAACAGCAAACACCCTCTTCCATTCAATCCTTCACGCGACCGACCAACCGCATCAGCTGCCTTCTTTTTTTGCCCTCCCACAATCTCCCCCCGGCATTGTTCGCATCATCGACTACTCCTTTCGTCATTGATAACCATCCCCCATTTCCTGATTGGCAGAACACAACCCTTCAAGATTTCCGACTCTTGAAACTGAAATCTTGTTCCGTCTCAAGAACGAAGCCGGCCGTTCACCCGAACTCTACAAACCTTAAACTCACCTCCCATCCATCCATCTCCGCCTCATCCAATCTCCCTTGTCGCATGGTTTTGGTTCGGTTCGTTCGTTCACCAACTAATCTGAACCCTCTTCCCGCCCGCTCGTCCTTCTTTTCGACATCACAGCAATCATGTCGAAACGCACCACCTTCACCACAATCTCCCCCTTGCCCGCCGGCATAAGTCGCGAGGCCGTCCTCGACTTTCTTCACAACCACCTCGAGATGATCGACCTGAACCCTCTGATCAAGGAGCGCCATGTTATCAGCCCACCCGCCCATGCACCTCCCGAGGAGCACTCGTGCGTATGGTACTCTCTCACCGACGAGATTTCCTACCTCCCCGGCGGCTTGGCTACCGGCGACGTCACCTACACCTGCGCCTTCCACGACTTGCCAACCGGCCTGCAGACCCACTGCTACGCTCCGATGGGTCTCGAGATCCGGGACAAGTGGACCGTCGCCGGCTCTCTTCCGGGTGAACCCATCGAGCCCGTCGAGCTTGGCATCGGCGCCCCGCTGACCGGCCTCTACCTCCGTGAAGACGTCGACATGCGTTGCAACGTCTTCACCTCTTCCTTCGTCAAGAAAACCCTCAAAAAGAGCCACGGCCAGTTGGTCGACCGCATCAAATCCAAGATGCAGCAGGCTTCCGCACAGCAACCTACGGTTACAGGCCCGCCGTTCAGTCCCTTCCAGCTACCCTCCACCTCGCACGCCCGGCATCACAGCCAGAACTCTCTATCCGCATCCTACACCTCCGGCTCAAACGCACATAGCCCGCCGCAACCTCCATTGCAAACCCAGCATGCCCCGAGCTACGCGACACTCGGGAACCAAATGAACCTCCCTTACAGACCATCCTGTAACAAGTCTCTGCCGGCCACCCCGGATGACGAGAACAAGAGCGCCTATCCGCAGCCTCTACACGTTCGCCACACCTCCAAAGGCAGCATTCCGGCACACGAGCCCTCGTGGCCTGCCATCAAGTCGCAGCCAGGTGCTCGTAACAACTACGTCCACACAAATTACTCCGACTTAAACAACAAGTCGTACGAGGTCAAATCGCCGCCCCAGTCGGTATCCCAGGCGGCATACGCACCAAATGGTGACGCAAATCAACGCGCTGGGCGCCAACAATCTGGTCCTTTTATGGCCGAGCTGGAGTGAGGCTGACCGCACACACCGCCGGCTCTTTTTTATTTCATTTTGGTTATATATAGCATAGCCTTCGTGCGTTGGTCACAAATTTCGATACCCCACAATATCTAGCAAAATCACTTGAACATGTTACCAAACTGTTGGTCTCCCTTCCACGTCATACATGTGCAGCTTGTTGGTGCGGCGCAATCTTCCCACCCCTGCCGGGATCGGTCGTCCAATGGCATGTTATGCTTCGTCGCCTGCCAATAAATACCAAGACAGATCTCACAGCACTAATATTCTCCGGGACCCCCGCGTCCAGATGTGTCCGGTGAGAAATGATCGAATGTCATGCATCTCCTCGGAAAAAAGAAAGAATAAAGTGGTTTGCTCACGGTTCAGACAGATTTTCATGTGAAATGATGGTATTAAGGTATAATAATGATACTTCAAACGATGAGTGTTCCCCCCTCGGAACCAAGCCAAATACAACAAACGATTCTACAAAGGGAATCATCATCAACCGGGGCCCCCTACAAAACATCGTCTCTTCCCCCGGTTTTTCTCCCAGGTTCGGAGCGATGAGGCCGCTTCTACTCTCCGTCTTTCTCTCTCTCTCGACTCCTGTTTTCGCCTAGTCGTCTCCTCAACTCAACTCAACTCGACACTTTCCCTCCTTCCGTCTATGTCTGAGGTCGCTCATCTCTGGGCATGTCGGCGTTATGTAAAAATAAAATAAAGAAATGACGGGGGCGGGAGGGAGACATGAGTTGAAACAGCAAAAATGACGAAGAACATGAGATGCGATAAACCACCCCCTTTTCCCGCTATGTTGTCGATTCCAGCAACTACCACCACCCGCCGGATGTCGTTGTGACTGTCGCTCATGCGTGCTGCTGAGTGTGAATGGCCCGCTCAAGAATCTTCAGACTTCCCATCCTCCCCGAAACACTTCTTCTTTTGTGACACGACCTTCTCATGAGAACCGGGGGGCGTCAGAAGGCGCAGGAGAATCCCTGGCTTCTAGATGACGCCATGCTGGTGGTGGGGTTCCGTGTGTCTTGAATAAGAAGGTAGAAGAAGAATGATGAAAGAGAGAGATGAGAGAAAGGGGGGAAAACGGGATGAGAGCGAGGCTGCTTGATCGAGACGACGAAAGACGACGTGGTGGCGGTTGTTATTGTTGCTCTTCTTCTCATTACAGAGCCAGGACGGCGATGGCACCGGCGACCAGGGCCAGGGAGCCGGCGAGGGCGGCTTGCTTCTCGGCGCCGGCGACGGTGACGTGCGTGGGGCAGGGCAGGCCGTTGCAGAGGGCCGGGGAGCCGGTCGGGGAGCCGTTGCCGCCGTTGCCGCCGTTTCCGCCGTTTCCACCGTTGCCTCCGTTGCCTCCATTTCCGCCGTTGCCGCCGTTGCCTCCGTTGCCTCCGTTGCCTCCATTGCCTCCGTTGCCACCGTTTCCACCATTGCCTCCGTTGCCTCCGTTGCCACCCTCACCACCCGGGGTTCCGGGGGTTCCGGGGGTACCAGGGCTGCCGGGAGTGCCAGGGCTGCCAGGGGTACCGGGGGTTCCGGGAGTTCCGGGGGAGCCGCCCTCACCACCGCCGGGGGTGGCAGGAGTGCCGGGAGTGCCGGGGGTACCGGGGACGGTGGGGACGCCGGTCTGGCCGGGCTGCTGAGGCTGGCCGGGGACCATGGGCTGACCGCCGCCGGGCTGCTGGGGCTGGCCGTCGCCGCCGGGGCCGTTGGGCGGGGAGACGCCGGTCATGGTGGCGACGGGGGGCGCGGGGCCGGGGGCGACCGGGGTGGGCTGGTTGTAGCCGGGGCCGCCGTGGGAGGTCTAATCCGCTCAAGTCAGTAAAACAGAAACATACACAACATAGCCAAGTAATCGTCTGTCGTCATCCGTAGAAGCAGTTTGAATTCACTTACCCAGACCTCGGTGCAGGGGCAGTTGGGGAGGGTGAAGGTGGTGGGCTTGTCGATGTAGTACGTCTTGTTGTTGAAGTAGAGCGTGGTGGGCTCGGGGCACCAGGTCTCGACCTTGTCGTGGACCTTTGTGTACCAGGTGACGGTGCCGTTCATGGGCTTCCGGGGCAGGCCGCCCTCGGGGTTGGGCGCGCCCATGTCGCCACCCGGGCCGCCGTGGGTGTGCTGGAAGGGGAGGTGGTTGGGCTTCGCCGAGGCGGTGATGGCGAGGGTGCCGACGGCGACGAGGACGGATTGGATCTGCATCTTTGCTGCTGTTGTTTGTCGAAATGAGTGACTTGAGTGAGAGAGTGCTGAGGAGGAGTATTTCCGGAGAGTCTTGATCGGGTTGATGATGTATTAGATGGACTCCAAGGAGAATTTGGTTGCGCGTTGCGTGTTGATAGTGAGTGAGTGTGGTGTAAGTGAGTGACTGGGGCCAGATGAAACCACGAAGCAAAAAAGGAGAGGAAGGGGGAGAAAGGGGGGAAAGAGTGGCAGACAAACGAAAGCTGTCGAGTCCTGGAAGTTGTCGAAGTGTGTGAGTGATGAGGTAGGAAATCCAAACCCTCTCTCCTCGAAGCCACGAGCCGTCTCTTTATGCTTCCCCTTCCCATCTCACACATCGAGTCCAAATCAGGGGGCTTGCTCTAGACATCGGATCGGGAGAGACACTGAGGAACAGAAAGAGATGAGCACGATGCCTACTAACCTCCAAGACACGAGGCCTCGGTCCAATGAGCGTGTGCGACATCGCGGGCCGGAATGTCGGTGGACCTCTCGGGCGCCGTGTTTGTTGTGGCCGCCCTTGCGCCAAGAATGTGCGTACCGGCGGCCGGTAATCGCGGCGCATTCCAGACGTCAGGGGGGCGAGAAGAAGGTTCACCAGTAAGGACGTTTTTTTACCGGCCGGGGACGTCAAAAGTAAACAAACGGCCATGCATGTCCCCCCGTTCGAGGCGCACCGGAGCTCATCAAACTCACATTCCGGGAATTGCGGGTTTTGGTACCACTTTCATCTGCTTTCTCTCATTCAGGGTATGTCGAAGGGTTGAGCGGCTTTCCGAGTCGGGTCGGGAAGCGCTGAGATATGTACAGTTGAGTCAGACCGCTCGACGACGACGGCTCTCCTCCCTTATTTTGCTTTTCCCCTTCGTTCGTATGTCCTACAGCTGCTCTCTCTCTTGTCGTCGTGTCCCACATGATCCTCACATCCCGACGTGCCAATGCGGCAGCGGGCTTTCGCCTCGCCTCGTCCCCTTCCCCCTTCTCGAGGCTAACAAGTCATTCGTTGGTCGCCTTTAGCTTCGTCTCGCGGTCGTGGTCGAGATTCCTGCGTCCATGCCGTCCTTCTATGATCATCCACCCCGCCAGCCAGCTATGATTCAAGACAAGTGAAAAAAAAATTAGAAAGAAAAAAAAAGGAACAACATTCAAGTCCGCATGTGATGATGATGACGTGATCATGTCTCGCGGACTCAGTTTCACCGACTCACGGGGTCTCCGTCTAAGAATAGTGTCCGTCCCCAACGCCGTCATTTCCAAAAGAATCCAGATGGGGGGACTAAGATCGGCCCGGATCGGGCCTTTCTGTCAGAGAGAAAAAAAGATCCTGCCCACCGCCTGGTAATGAATCAAAGACCACCGTGTATGCACAAGATTATGGTTTCAGGAAAAGTGCCGTAAATGCCAACATGGGCCTGCGCAACCTGCATCGACGAGGCGAGATTCTAAATAATGCAAATCGGTCGTGTCGTGATGCGAGATGTGCAAAAAATGTCGCTCTTCATTTGATCGTTGCGTCAGCCGTCATAGGCAATGCAGACAGTCTTCATGTGCGGTTGGAACGACTCGTGCTGCGTTCTACAGGACGTCCGCCGCCGACCGAGTCAAAGTCGTAGTTCTTCAGCGTGTGCTCGTATTTGGGGCTTCTCAGGAACTTGGGCACGGAGTCCTGCAAAGACGGGTTAGTAATCAACTCAAAACGGCTCGATAATCACGGGGTTGGGGAAACACGTACGCTAGCCATCAGCTTGAAAACTGCGTTTTGCGCATCCTCGAACAAGGACATAACTTCTTGCAGGGTGTCGATCATGGCGACATCCTGGCCGACGGCCTTGGTCATGCGAGTGGCCAAGTTGTTCCGCAGTTGGTGGTCAATGTTGAGTTCGCAAGGAGAGCCGGGGGCGAGGAATGCGTTATAAATCCCGTAGGCCTGAGCCATGATCTCCTTAATGCCGTCCATCGAGTTGGCGTTCGGGTTCTTCTGGGCGACTCTGATCGCTTGGCGGCAGCTCCGGACAAAGTCATCGACGTCGAGGTAGAAAGACAGGTTCTCCTCGCAGTGCGTTTCTCTCAGGTTTTCCCTAAACAGCAGACGCAGAGCGGCATCGTTGAGGATCTTGTCCAAACGCTGCGTGTTGGAGTCTCGCGCGATGACATTGCGAGACGGGGTGGCCGCTTCACTCTCGGACGTTCTTCCACGCTGACCGACACCGTTGATCAAGTCCTTGCCCTTCGCCGTCAACTGGTAGATGGCGTGCTTCGTGGGTTGGAACAGGTTGTTGCTGGGGTATTGTGCCATGTGAGCACGATCCTGTACGACCGGCTCCATCAGGTCGTATTCCACGAACAGAGACGCAATGTCGTAAGTCTCCCGTCGGTCCACAGTCGTACAACAGTCCATCAACCAATCAGTGGCAGCCTTGCCGGTGAACGTATCCTTGTACGTCTTGCCGTTGACCTTGCGCTCGCTAGCCATCTTGACACCGGTAAGACCGTCCTTGTAATCGCTCAGAGAATCTGAGTCGGCGGAGCTGACGCTCGCCTTCACATTGGGGCCGTGTGTACCGATAAATCTCCTGAAGATTACCTCGATTGTGCCACGGTCTGTGATGAGCTTGTCAGTCTGGCTATCCCTCTCGAGAATGACCAATTGCGACAGGGTGGCGCCGACGAGATCTGAAATGGACTTTTGTTGAATGCCGTTGCGGGAGCAGAAGCGGTCGAGCACGGTGACGCCCTTGGGGGTCAATTGCCACACGGAGCCCTTCATGTTGTACACCTGCTGGTACTTTCCGTCGGCCGACTCAATGAATCTCGCCTCGAGGAATTTTTGGCAAATAGAGCGGGCCATATCCTTGGCCATGGAGAAGGTCGTCGTGGTTGTCGTTGTGACTATCCTGGAGGGGTCCTTGGGGTCGGGCATGCGGTTGGACTGGGAGAACTTGAGGGAGCCGAGGTTGTTGATCGCATCTTCGGACAGAAAGGTGTTTTCGACTCGTGTTAATCGTACGCGGTGGGCAGACAAAGGCAGCAGGCTGACGATGAGTGTCGAGAAGAGATCCTTGAAGTCCTGTAGGTGAGGGTGTTAGCGAAGTCGAGGCAGAGAGCCACGGGCGGGGCGGAAGCGAGGGCACCACCGCCCACCGCGTGAAGGGGATTTGACACGACACATACAGAGTATAAAGGACGACTGACCTTGGTGAACGGGCGTTCATCATCCGTCATGCGGAGGAGCCGCGAAGATGTTTGATGCATCTTGCTCTCTACGTTTGGCAATCGGATTGGAAGAGGCCTGTTTGGGTCGGTCTCGGTGTAGGGTTGAGAGGGTGGATCCTGTACCAGCGACACCTGGCTTGGATGCTTGCCCTCTACGTGGTTGAGAGTGCTGTTCGACGACGAGGAGTAGTTGGAGGGACTCCTGTATCGCGGGTATTTGTCTGTCGGGCCAAGACTGGCAACGTCGGAAGCCGAGTCGGGGGTGAAAGAGGCCCTGCCTAATGCGGAACTTGAGGCGCGCTGGCGGATGGACTGGTCTGAGGAGGAGAAGGTCGCAAGAGCGGATTGCGTCTTGTCAAAGGCTGCAGCAGCAAAGCCAAACAGACCGCCGGAACGTTGAAACTTCTGGAGAGAACTGGTGGAAGGCGAGTGTTGGTGAGAACGGTAATGCGGACGATTCACCGAAGAGACGGGAACAGCGTGGTAGGGATCGGTCGATGATGATGTAGTGGTGGTGGTGGTGGTGGCAGCAGCAGCAGCGGCGGCAGTAGTAGCAGCAGCAGCAGATTGAGGAGCGGCGGCGGTGGTGGTGGTGGTGGTAGTAGCGGTGGACCGTGGATTGGTACTGCTGGTATTGGTGGTGGTGGTAGGGTTGGGGTTGGCGGTGTTGAGTGTACGAGATTGTTCGATGACCTCGTCAGAATGTGGCTCGTGGTTCGGAGGTCGGGAAGTCTTGGAGACAGCGGCCATCTAATGGGAAGAAGGGGGTTAGAAGAAGGCGCGGACGGCGTGCCGGGCGTTCAAATAAAAGGAAGGCGCAAGAAAAAAAAAAAGAGAAGAGAAGAGAAAGCGGGCTTGGTGAGGCAGGGCGTGGAGGAGGAGAGGAGGTGTGTGGTGTCGGTGGTGGTAATGGTGGAGGAGAAGGAGAATAAGGGACATGGGGACGTAAGAATGGAGCAAGGCAAGTACGGTAAGGCAAGGTAATAGCAGAGCGAAGAAATGGAAGTACAGTACAGAGTACACAGGCCTCAAGGGGCTGATGTACATGTAGACGGCGGAACCCTGCAAGTAGAAGATACAAGGGGGGGCTAGTAGGAGTGGAAGTGGGAGGAGTGGCAGTTGACGAGGAGGTACATTGGCCAAGGTACCTTGGATTGAGGAATTTGGTAGAGACAGGACAGGACAGGAGGAGAAGGACACCACACGCCGCACACACACTCTCTCACACACTGGACACACAGCACACAAACAAGACACACCACCACCGCTCATCCGTGAGGTGGCTTTGTAAGGTAGGTATCTCAGTTACTAACTCACACACAAGCCTCAAGGCAACTGGACGCTCGCTACACACTACACGCGCTACTGGGGGCGCGGGTGGGCGGCCGGGCAGGCTTCAGGCCAGTTGCTGCTCGTGGCCGGTGTTTGGTGCCGGTGTCGGGTGTCGGTACTTGAACAGGGCAAAAAGAGAGACGGGATATAAGGACATGTGTGTGTGTGTGTGCATATATAGACGGATATATACACACGTATGTATCGTGGTGAACAGGTAGGGCGGGAGTGAGAATAGACAGCAGAAAAGAAAGATGGAAAAGGGTAAGGTGAGGTGAGGTACGAGTAGGTAAGGTAAGACGAAGACGGCCAGGCCAGGCCAGGGGGACTCACTGGTGCTGATGGTGATCTGACTGATGATACCATGGAATCCAGGGCTTGATAGTCCGTGAAGGACCACGCAGGGCTGGACGATGTTCACGCAGCCCCGGGAGGCATAGGGCAGACGGTTGAGAGTGAGACAGGGCTGGAGCGGAAATAAGAAGAGGCGTAACGGTCCGGTATGGTATGGTAGGGTACGGTATTAACGATCCAGGTACGAATATGAGTGAGGTAAGGGTGAAAAGCGAGTAGCGAGTGAACCAGAAGGGAAATGAGGCACGATGGTGCTTCAGGTACGGAACGGGAACGCGCTTCCACGTCTCCTAGAGTGAGAGCGAGGGTTTGATGAACCGACGAGGCGTTCGGGGTGGTTGATGAGATGGAGAGGCAGCGAGCGAACTAGAGCCGGGCTTGGACTGGGCTGGAACTCAGCTTCGACTGGATGGGAGTTGGCTCTGAAGGTTGTTTCCCGTAAGACGGGCGGCTTGGGTTTTGGAATCGGGTTGGGCTTGAATTAGACTGTATTCGAAGAGGGGACTGAGAGTGGATGGTTTCGTTTCTCGTCGATAGACCGTTGACGTCGAGGAGTCAGTCGGTAGGTATGGTAAGATAGTCGATCTCAGTTCTCAGGACTTGGGTAACAATGCGAACCAGACGGAACGAACAGACGGTAGAGTGCGGAATGGACGACAGACCAGCAGAAACCAGAATACTTCAAACAGGGGCAGGGGCAGCCTGACTTTTTTACTCTGTACTGTGAGAGAAATCCAGAGTTGATGTGAATGGCACTGGCAATGATAATGGCAATGGATCCCGACTTTTTTCTTTCCTTCTTCCTTTTTTTTGCAGAGGAAACTGCCACTTGCCGTTTCCTACCTTACCTCACCTCAGACCCCTGGTCCGTTCTGGTGGATCCCATTACCAGCACCAGTCCCCGCTGAAGGCGGCCCTTTGCAGTATGGCCCCTCCTTTACAGGCCCTCCTCCCCTCTCCTGCCTTCAAGGCCACCACCCCAACCCCAGCAGCACACAGCAACCACCCCTCTTTATGGCCCCCCTCACTGCCAGTCGCGGTTCTCAGTGTCACACTTCACTCGCTATAGTGTGGGTCCCATAGGCGAAAAGGGGGGCTGCTGGCAGTGGCACATCACCTCAACCCTCCTTCAGCGGCCCAGGACACATGGGCTGCCATGGACTCACCCGCAATGCAGAACAGACACCTGCTGAATACCTCTCAATTGACGACATAATACCCGGCTTTCCATGTGTCCAAACCTCCTAGCCATGCCGTATCCCATCATATTTATCAGTCACACCTCACTCGACTTACCCCAGCACGCCTTATACCTCCCAAGATATACCCTGCGTTTCCCTTTCGCAAAATGGTCGATGGTCGTCTGTATGTAATATGTATGCCTTGTCCTGCCCTCCTAGCCATGCCGTGCCATGCCTTGCCATGCCATGTCAACGTGGTGAGCGACTGGAACCTCTGTAGGGATTGTCATGTGGTTCCCCCTCCTTGAAGGCGGCAGTGGGCAGGGGGCCATGTAGGTGCAGCTGCTGTTACTGTTACGACTAAAGAGTATCCGTACCGCACCTTACTGCCACTGGCACTGGCACTGGCACTGCTTGGTTTCCGTCAGGCTCAGCCATCTCCATCTCCATCTCCATCTTGATCTCGACCGGACCTTGGCTACAGTGTGTGAGAAAAGGGGCGACAGTGCATGGCAGCTCAGTTCCCTTTTCGTCCATCTCGCATGTGCTTAGGTTGAAAGAAAGAATTGCCGCGTTGCAATGGGACCCCAAGACGGACGCGGGGGGCGGCGGACAACAATGCGAGTTGCAAATTTTTTGAATGAATGCTACCATCGTCGTCGTTGTCGTACATGGTCCCCGAAACTATGATGCGAAGTAAGATCCATCAGCGATTATCAAGACGGGCAAACAAACTAACGGGAGAGCCAGTTCGCGTCGGGAAGCGCTTTTCGGGTCCTTCTCCGACCGGGGCTCACGCTTGCTATGCATTTTCGACCAATTCTGTCCAGCTGCCATTTTCTTTTTTCCTTAGATTTCTTCCCCGAGGCATCAAAGAACCGTAAGTGATTGCTAATGTTTCTTTGACCGTTGAATCCTCGGTCCCCCGACCGCATAACCCGGATGAATGACGTCGGGAAACATGAGGCCCGTCTGGTCGCCGTTCTCGGGCTCTTCTTTGTCCAGGCAATGCCGCCTCGCCAACTCGCCCCTTTGCCTTCGCCGTTGCACTTTGGAGTAGACGAGGTTTCGTCCGCGGCTGGGTGCCGTTTGATCGGATGTCACGGGCAGAACATCTGCCATGTCATCAACCATGGCTGCATGCGAAGGCAATATACCCCCCTCGTCATGCGCCCAGCTGAGCAGAAGAGCAGGTGCTCCGTATCTGTAATCAGGGAGATCGCTACCAGCGTCTCGCACGCGACGGGTTCCGCAGTCGACATCTCCTCACGGCCGTCTCGGCTCGTAACGTCGATAATGACGTTGGGCAGCCATGTTTGCGCAAGGCTTCAAAGAAACGTTGTTGAATACGGGCCATGTGTCTTGAGATTTGAGGAAAGTCTGTCCCACCGACACCTTCGTCTTCTCACGCAGCAACCGGGCTGTGATACGACGGACATATCCGGGTCGGCGATGAAGCATCTGCAGCCCAGGCTTTCACTCCTGATTACCTCGAGGGTAGACAATCTAGACCTCGGGGTTTACAGCATACGTGCGTCCGTCCAGATGCCTACTACGGTAGGCATGTCTGCAGGCTTCGTGCAGAGCCTTGAGCGATCTAAGCACAAGGGACGTCGTCGTGGAGGGTGTGCTAGGTATGTATGTACCGCCGCGCGCTGAATGGCAGGCATCAGTACAATGCGGTGGCAGACAATGTGAAGGAACCCGCCCCGACTCGGAGGAGGCGAATGAGAAAGAGCTCCGACGTGTCGCCATCTGATATCGGCCTCCCAACTTCAACTTTGTTCCTCCCACCTTGTTGGAAAGCAGGAAACACTAAGGCTGAGGAACCGTGTCAAAGCACCAAGGGGGCCTGGCCTGGACAGAGCTACTGAAGTACACCACACCAACACACAAAAACCAACAACTCGCCCTGAAGCTTGAGGTATGACGGGTGGTGCACCAATATGGCAGCCCATCGTGCGCTGACTTCAACGATGTTGTCGCCAGACCAAGCAAAACGTGGGGTTATGTTAAAAAATGTGGAGTGGGCCATGGCACTGAGAAAGACAGTCAATTGTAACGACCAGACCAGACCGAGTCTAGAAGAGACAGGAAACGGGGTCGTTTATCGAAGAAATGGAAGAAGTCAAAGTTGAGGCATCTCTGCACTGCGAAACTGATGGGCGGGTATTCCCACAACGGCGGCAAGGGTTGAAAAAGGCGGTGATGTTCAACGCTCGTCCACTCTGGGACTGGGCGGAGCAGAAGAAGCTGGCTGACGACGTTCTCGATCATGATGGTACAGATATCCGTGGAGTGCCGGGTTTTACGAATAGCGCAATTGGATGGTTTGGTGATGGTAAAGTGGATGACGGTGGATGAGAGTCCAAGGAGTGAGACAGGCCAAGCAGGTAGAGTACAAGACCTCGTGCTGACAGGGGAGTGGCGGTACGTATCTATCCGGTACCTCTGCTCACATCAGTTTGGAGAGAAAGACCTCAGTGACAAGAGGCGTGCAAAACAATGGCACAGCATCGGGTGGCTCCATCTCATGGCTTCCATGTGTCGCCGGGTACTTCAGGCAGGTACCCAGTCGATTCGACCAATGAAAATTGGCGAGTGGTGGATCCAGTGGAGGTGACGAGGGTGGGGAGGTAACAGCAACACCACGACTCCACTGAACAGTACGAGATGGATGCAGATGCCATGCTTCGGGAGAAAATGGTAAGGCGGTGGGCAGTACGTACCGTTTTGCCGTGCAGGTGAACATCGAAAGGTCGACACTGAACCAGGCAAGTGACGGCTGAACATGGCCTGCCATTCGCCTGATCATCGCGTACTATTCGTACGAATTGAATGCTCCGCGGTTCGCAACAACGGCACAACAGCATCAAACCCTACGCAACGCATAAGAGCACAATGCACCTTTCCGTACGCCGTCCTGCGTTCCGCATCTCGACGCCGGGTACGGATAGTCGCGTTCGTGAGGTAGGTAGGTACCGTGGAGAATCTTACGGTACAGAGAGAACTCACTGAAGCAATGCAACGGGTGAAAAAAACACCAATGAGGCAGGGGTCGGGTACCACTCCTCAGATCTGCGCGTGGCCTCAGGGATTTCTCCCACCAAGCCAAGCTGTTTTGGGCCCGCAACTTCCCTGCAAGCCACGCAGTGGACCCGAGTGGATCCGCGCCTTCTTTGGCGGCGTCACGTTTCTGCCACGCAGTTTGACCCCTGTCCCCGTCCTTGCATCTTTCCCCCCCTCATTTCCCACCCAATTCTTTTTTCTTTTCTTTTTTCCCTTCTGTGCCTTTCCTTCCTCGTGGCTGGCTGGCTGGCTGGCTGGCTTGCTGACTGTTCCATTGCTGCTGCTGCTGTTGCTCTGCTGACTACCAATTTTCCAAAGTACGGAAACCATACATTGACAGAAATATCGCCAATGCAGGCCATCCAATCCGAAATCGCCCACACCATCCAGCTTTTAACTCACTTCACACGTTGGACGGGGCCTAGCTCTGCTTTCTGCTTTGCTACTAGCATACCCTTACTCCCGCACACCACCATTCGGCAAGCGAGCCGACAGTGTTGACCGCCCGTCCTCTTCCCCAGGCACTGTACGGCCCTCACCCAGACCGCTTGGGTTTGGATCGCGACACCACGCCTACCACTTTGTACTGTCTTGTCTGTCTAAACGTCTGACATGGACGATTGGAGTCAGAAGGTTTCTGCTTACCCGCCCCTCCATTCCCATTCGCCCACTCGTCGACCACGCCGGCTTTCCCTCCGACGGCGATTAAAGAAGCCTGAAACAAGACGACGGCAATCGAACAGAGCCAGATCAGTCAAGGGAAAACGCAAATTCGCTGAGAATCCCAACACCGTCGGCAATGATTTCGGCATTACAACACGGAAACGGCATTGCCTTTTCCCTTGGACCAATCCCATTGTCATGCACCGCTACAGACACGACCTTTTTGGTCCTCAAAACCACCATCATCGCAACCCAGAACGTCGTCTGCAGAACCAAACAGAAGGACGCTGAAACCTTCCCCGTCCGTACCGGTTACGTGCCAGTACGGAGTACTGCAACCGTCGCTGTCATGCTTGGCCCGACGGGTGTGAGCCAAGGTAACCGCTCCCTCGAGATCGATTTCGGAGTCACCGTGATGACTGAGGAGCTCCTGGATCATGGATGGGGTCGCCCGCTCGTGGCCTGTGGCTCCTTATTTCCGAACCACCTGCTCCCGGTCCCTGAGCCCTGAACGCCGATCTTTACTCCCTTGGCAATCAGAGCCTTGTCGCCGTACCCCCAAAACGCCCACTTGGACGCCGTTGCCAGCCAGGCCCGCGACTCAACTGCCTAACAAAGCATCGCCTGAAGCGCTAGTCGACCACCAGTCCTCTCAACAACCTAGCATCGCTCTCCAAAAACCACCAAGGTTCCAGCTCCACGCCGAATCAGGGTGTGCAGACAACGTGGACCTCTGCAAGTCTCCTGCTACGGTACCTTCATCAACCACGCGCTACTATGTAAGCCCAAGCCCAATGAGCTTCCGCCCGCTACAAACTCCGTCTACTCTGCGGTAGAGCCTGCTGAAGCCTGCCTGCTGTGTTGGTGGTTGTTAATTCGGCCACGTTGTCTCGTTGTCGTCTGACGAGGCTGAGAAAAGTTGATGCCATGATCATTCGCATCTCTCACGCCACCAGTCAAGCCATGTCAACGTTTCGCGTCATCACAGACCCAGCCTGATGTGAACTACTCTCAGCAGCCAAGGGCGTGCCCAACGCGGTGCCTTGAACCCATCTCGACGCCCGCAGCCCGCAGTTTCGAGTGCGAATGAGTTATAGGCACTACTTGCCAGTACTGATACTGCTCTACAGATCCCTAAAGACACATGCCGCTTCTTGCCGTGGTTCTACAACATAGGAGCTGGTAGATCAGAGCGAAGCTTGTACCGCTTGCACTACATGGCCTACGGATGATCCCTACGACTTGACTTCTAGAAGCATTCGCGGAAATTTGACTGAGGGGACACCCTGGATTCGATTGTGGTTCAGGGGACGAGATAACCACAGACTGATTGTCTAACCAACAAACCCCAATTGCCTGTCTATTCCCACTGGTGGTTGAGACGAGGTCTCCCAAGCTTTGCTTCAGCTAGCCTAGCCTGACCCGCCTCGGCTTCAAACGTCTGACGTTTCGCTGGCACTCCTCCCGTGTCCAACCTCGACATACGGGGACAATTTTAGTAATGATAGGTCGAAAGTCGCTCGGCAGTCCTGGCACAAATCGAACTTTACCACCTATCCGAATCGACATCAGATCAAACGAAAATCCGCGGACGCCCGACGCAAGAAGGGTTCTCAGAATTCTCGAAGCACATGGCTTGGCGAACTCAAGGGAGAAGGTCTCAAAGTCTACGTTCCAGAAGGAATCAAACACTTTGCCAGCTGAAGGGCAAGAGAAACAGTCTGGCCACTATCCGCCATGACTTCTTGCCTCCAACGATCGCTTCTTCCTTATTTTTCCCTTCCCTGCCGCTAGGAATAACGCCGACCGACGTTGGCGGGTCTGAGGGATTCCGTTCGAACACTTACGAAAACCATCTGGGATGCTCCCTGCTGTTTGCTGCACGAAAGCTGCCGTCTCCAACTGCCAAGTGCGGCACCATTCCACAATACAAATGGCTTCCGACACCAAGATTGGGGTGGTGGCCGAAAGCCTAGCTAAGCCCGGAAAGGCATATCCATAGCACGTTGGCCGCGGCTCGCGGACCGTGTTGCCACACAGCAAAGCGTCGATAAGAAAGGACGTTGAAGCAAGACTTTCCGAGGATCACCCACAGCAGAGCTCAGCCGCCGTTGCAGAGATTGGCCAACGCATAGGGTAGCCAAGCTTCGATACAATCTCGGCCTCCTCAGCAGTCACGTACGATATCAGCAGCGATGACGATACAAGTGTAACAGCGCGACTACTTGGATCACCCCAAATTAAAAAGTTGCGACAACAAAGACACCGTGGAATGCAGTGGGAATTCTGGGTCACACAGCACGTGTCTCCTCGTTTGGCGGGTAGCTCAACGCGTTTCGATTGATCTGAGACGGTTGATCCATCTACGAGCTGAAATTACGCGACGAGATCAAAGACATTAGCTCATCGCCCGCGGGGATTGATAGCCAGGGGTGCTGTTCAGGCGCCATGTGTGACCGTACTAAATTTGGCCTGGCTCAATGCCAGACTCGCCTTCTAGAATGATGAGCTTGAGCTTGAGCTTGACCAACGAGCTAGCGATTTGGACGTCGATCCCATCGCACTACAAACGACAACCAACAGCGGTCTCGACTTCACAGCAGTTCAAATTGGGTCAAGTTGTCGCCGGTTGTTGCCAATGTGGGGTGCAGTCAAATCTCAACTAAGCTCACGGTAGCATTTCGTGGCCAAAGAAAGGCTTTTTGCACCCAGCACGGTGGTTTTGATGTGCATCCCACGTCTCCAGTCACCGCTCTGGACCTTTGCGAGACGGTCAACATCGCATCAAACGAGCGGTGAGGTGCAAACCGATTGAAGGTCGTCAACATCTTGGTTTCTCGGCAAGCACTGCTGGCAGCTTGCAGTTGAAGCTGAGGTTTGCGTCTTACGACGTTGCTCCAGTATCCGTTGGTCCGACCCCTGGCTTCCCCCCTTCTTCCCACGTGGAAATCTCGTGAGGGGGTTTCTTACATGCGGCCAACATTTTCTTCTTTTGTTGTTTCCGCCTGTCAACCCGAGTCTGGGGCGGCATCTGTAGCACGCAGCAACACGTGCCCGGGAAGGCTTGTTTCAAGCGGTCGTTTCTTTTCCTCCATTGTGCGACTTGTTCGAAATCATTTCGAATGAGGACTACCTTGTCAGTTTAACGAAACGCCTTTCAGCTCAACGGACTTCGGAAACTACTGGATCTTTGTATACAATACCGTATGGACATCCTCGGATACACCTTGTGGCAGGCCCTCTGGGATCGATTAGACGGCGGAGACGTCGGCCATGGCAAAGACCTAGCGACACCGAGTTATCTGGTATCCAATTTTAATACGGCGCCATCATGCACTGGGTCTGAAGTCCCTTTCCTACTTCAGTACGTGTCAAGATAATGGCGGTACGGAGCTAAGCCCCTCGGCATCGGTTTCTTCTCGACTGACTGGTGTCAACCGGTTCGTCCTATCGATGCCAAACCCCTGTTCGCTTGCGCAGTCTATCGACAAAGGCGCCGCGTCCGGACATTCGGCAGGCGCTTTTCGTCGACATGCAGATGCCCAGTCGAAACACCGAATCGTGCCAATACGAAGAGCATTTGGATGCGAGAACTCCACGAGATTGCGTTCAAATTCGAGCGGAAGTCCCTTGGGTATGCAGTGGCAGGACGCACTGGTACCGATACCGAAGAATGGCTGGCAGCAGTTGTTGGAGCAAGAAAAACCGCTGACCCCTGGCTCGGTCTCACTGGTGGAGATTGCCACGTGGTTTGGCAAGCCGCACGGAAATTCGCACACGACGCTGGGGGCCTGGTCGAGAAGGATTTGGGGTCCAGCTAAGAGTTGGGGTTGGGCTGGCACGCTGGCACATGGTAGGCCGGGCTGAAAAATGAAGCCGCGACGAAGCAGACATTGGCAGGGAACGCCAGAAACCGACTTGTCACCTGAGTCAACATATCCCCGAGTCCCTGTCAGTCTTCTAGAAGGGATGGATACAGAGACGCCGCTTGAGTCACCGTTCGCTTCTGCTCAGTCCGTTGCCCTGGAATGGCCCTTTCTTTGTTCAGTAGATGGAAAATGCGCGTTCCTAGTTCGAATTCGCCAATCTCGTCGCGTTGCGACCGTTGACGGCTACGCCGATCAAGCGTGAAACCGCAGAGATGCGAAACCAGCAGGGTGCGGGACGGATACCGGCGTGGCTTCACGCTTCGTATGCGTGCCCTGGTGTTTAAATTGCAGGTCTGCGGGATCGTGGGAGGGAAAAATCTCCAATGCCACATGGCAGGGCCGGGTATTCCCTTGCCGCCCTGCCATGCCTTTGGCTGAGATCGGGCATTCCACCGTTTGCACACACGGGAGAAAGGCACTTACTTTCAGGTCATACAAGCCTGGTTGGTGCGCTTGCCGTCTGCGTTACGGAACGATACATGTGTGGAAGGGTGACGCTGATGATAAACAGAGAGAGGACAGGACAGGCTTCTGTGGTTTCCTTCCGGCAGGGTCGGGGGCGACGAGCGACGAACCATTACTGCGGTACCAGCCAGTGTCGCACCGGTGGGATGTCACCAAAAAGGGCGAGTTGTAGGTCGGCCGCAAGCCGTGATTCGCAACTCAGGTCACCGAGAGTTCTGAGGAGCTATGAGCACCGCGGCTTGCGGGCCAATGATGCTGTTCAGACAGACGCATCGCATGCTAAGTTGACTTTTTGGATTCAACATGTTTGTGTCGGGGAGGCTACCGACACCTCCACGAGCCAAAGTCAAGAAGCAAAAGGGGAACGCTATCGCCAGCAAATCCCAAGCATGGCTGGGGTTCAAGTGCCTCGCTCGCCAAAGTCACACGTAACGAGCCAATCTCCACGCGGTCGACGACGTGAAACTTTTCTGCGCTTCTTCTCCTTCTTTCACATCAAATCAGTTTTCCCCACAGCCAGACATCACCGCCTTTTTTGCTTCGTCCCCGCTCCGCTCGTCACAGCGTCGCGTGGCATCTGTTTTTTTGACACCGGGCCCAGAGCAACAAGATCCTTGGTCAGGCTGTTCCAGCCAATCCCTGGACGGCGCAAGGTACCGAGTACTCACCGCAACAAACGGTTCTACAGATACGATGTACAGGCCACAGCACGCTGCGGAGAGGAAGAGAGAGCGGCTCTCGTGGGTGGAGCCATGGGCGATCGGCACCCCTCCGTCGTACGACGCAACCAAGCCTCCTTCAAGGCTCGGGGCTGGCAGGTTGATCAGACCCCTCGTACTCTGTGATAGTACACGGTACTTTGCCATGTGTCGGATTGCGTACAGCCTCTCTCTCTCTCGGGGGACGACGTGGGTCGGTCGCGTTTCCAACGCTGCTGCTGCCCGGCTTCATTTCGAGGCGTTTGACCTGACGCCTGTATCCATGTCAAGTCACGACGTCTCGTGAGATCAAATAAGACCGTTTCATTCAAAATACTCACAAATTGGGTCGCGAGGGGCTGGTTCCATGATATGGACCGTCTCGACCTGGAGCAGAGGGTCATTTTTACGGAGACCGCCTGGGGGTAGACTGGTTCTAGAATGCCAGTGGAAGGAAGAGCTTAATGGCAGACAAGGGAGGTTGAAGGCCCTGTCTTGGATCATTTTTTACCGGGCTGCCAGGGGGATGGATGGATCACTCGACTTCCAATGCCAGGCTTCTGTCGGCGAGGAGGTCTTCGACCCATCCTGTCATATTGGAGATTGCGACTTCCGGTCTCCAGACGCTGTTCGTCAATGCTCAGCCGAGACGAAGCGACCTTCATTATGGCCAATTGATTAGGCCTGGCAATTGTTCTCGCGGTAGCGATCCGTCATTCGCTGGTCATCCGCAGAAACGGCTCTAGTACTTGCCGAAGCAACAAGCGCGCTTGGGGTCCCTGACAACTTCGCCGTCACCGCTCCCGGCAATTAGCCTGAGAAACGTTACACAAGGAAGACGACATGCCGAAGTCCAGTGGCCACTGTTTCTTCTGCCTCCTTTGACTCGGCGAACACAGTGCGGGTGGTAGACTCTCGGTCGGCCCTCAAGCTTTGTTTGCCTAGGTTTGCAACTCATCTGCCGTTCGGGTTTCTCACTTGAGTCTGCCCAATTACGTAGCGTCGAACCGGAAACGACCCGGAAAAGACATCTCAGGTGCCGGCATTAGTCCAGCCTCATGTTTCTCCGTATGACGGGACTCAGCAGCCTTCCGAGTCCAGGGCTTCAGTTGTCTCGGATGCTGAGCAACCACCCATGAACGCAGCCGTCCTCGTCTCTCGCGTGGCTAGGGGACCTTGGTGCTACCGCGGGTACTGGCTTTGTGCGTTTTATCTCCATCGGGCTTGGTCGGTTTGCTGCTAACACCTCTGTCTCGGGTTCCAAGTCGTTATCAAACACACAATGAAGTCCGAAGAGCGAATAAGTGGCTGAGAAAACATGCGGCTTCAAGTGCCACAGCCGGGGTCTGGCTCTGGTCAGCCCTCCGTCTTATCGACCGACAGTCACTCGGCCGTTATTGCCATGAGACTACAGGAGGTGTTCCTTCACTTCGGAGGTATTTACTCCTGGAACTTGACATGTAAAGATTTCAACTAGCGATGGCGCGGGTCCAGACTAGTCGCCGCACATACCGTCCATCTGTCAACTAACTCTCGTCCCAAGAGACAGACAGACATTGCTCTCTGTGCATTGCCTCGGCTCCTGCACTCCTGCAGAGGTAGCGAAGCGTTCCTGAACATACGACTTAGCAGACGTTGTAAATGGCCTGACTATCCGACCCCCTATTCTCACACGGACACGCCTGGAATGCTGGCGGCGAGCTCGTCACATCTACTGGCGTCTGCGTCTGCGGCCGAGATCGCCGTTGAACGGCGAGAGGGTGACCACACGCTTACAGAAGATTGTCAGCAATGCGTTGTCTCAAGTAGGGCCGAATGACATTACACATTCGGCTGGTTCTCAGGTCTCCGGCGAAGGTGGGCGCCGACGAACGTCAACTTATCAACGCTCTGCTCGGCTTGATCAGCGATGACGAGGTAACGGAAAACAAGGAGACGCCATGGAGATATGACAATGCAACGACACTCGCACAGCACGCCCGCGTTCAGCTCGTGGCCCGTGACCGCTTTTTTTTTCTCTGTCGGCCCAGGACCAGCATCGCCCGCAGGCAGATCTCAGTCAACCTCTGCTATGCTCCGGCAATTGCAGCTGGCTGAGGACGACGGTCGAGAGGAAACAACTGCATGTCGAACAGAGCACCGGGCAGTCTTAGCGGCAGATCGGTCATTGTCCGGAACCCTACTTACATGAACGGCACATCACGAGTCCGCATCTGCTGCACTGCTGACTGTCTCACGAACTCTCACGTCGCAGCCACGTCCCTGACTGGAGAGCGCATCCTCGGCGATTGAGACTCCCTTTCTGGCGTCTGCCAAACCTTTGCGGCTATGTTCGTGACCGTTGTGGCAGTCTGAGCCTCATCGCGTCCCGATATAGCCCTGCCAAATGTCGATACGTTTAAAGGGACGTCAATCGGGAACGCCCAGAGTTCTGACGATGACGGTGCCATGATGGCATAATGCCGGCGAGAATGACTCGGGAGCCGTGGCGAACAACCGACGTCTTTCGCCCTCGGTGCATTGCTCCACCGACATTTTGGCAGATCCCACATTCCGAAACCGACGGTCACGATGATGGGCTTTTACGCCTTCCACCCGGCCGGTCATCCTCCACACCGGCCGGCGCCGATATCCCCAGGGGGCCCGCCGCGCCAACCTCGTCTCTCCGATACTCGAGCGCCAGAAACACGAGACGACGGCGGCGCGCGCTATAATGTTTCTACTGCCGTGCCCCCATCCTCCACGAGCTGGTCTCCTTTTTCGTTTACAATACGGTTTAACGGTCGTCTTCGGACTCTCTTATGCAGTATGCACAGAGGCATGCACACACAAACGCGCCGCTGCGCATATATATGCGGACACACAGACGAGGGCACACTAAAAGTACTTGTCTTGTTTCCGCCAAATGCAGTAAGGAAACAGCAAACCAAACTCTGAATGGTATCATAGTGCATGCGCGCCGCCTGTATGGGCGCAGCTGGGGGCCCTCGGACCCGTAGGTGCAACTTGGACTTGCCTTTTGACGTACGGGTAATGCTGGACCGGCAACCTCCTCAGTAGACGAGGAGACCGCAAGAAACATATTCCCGCCTCAGACCCGAGGGCCAAGGGATGCGAGGGCGAAGCTTGAGCCAAGACCGCAAAGTCAATCTAGGGTTTCGTTAAAGGGGTGGGATGGGAGTTGGAGGGAGGGGATGGATGGCTCCGTGCGTTTGGATGGCAGCGCGGCTTGCCTCGCCCGCGCGGCCGTGAGGCTCTTGTCCACCGACGCCTGGCCCCCGGCTGCCGCGGGAGTCGGGAGCTTCGGAGCCTAACAGCTACCTGACTCCCATCTCTTCCGGAGCCAACTGTGAAGTGATCCAACTGATCACCGACTCCGATCGATGGTTGAATCCGGAGCTACCGTGTTGTGTTATACGCGGAGCGCGAGATTCGTCGTGCCTTTCTCTTCTTCAACTTATCCCCGCCGAGGACGCTGGTATGAGTACACTCTGCCCTGAGCGTCTGTCGTCATAGGTGCCCTCCGAGTCAGGTGGACTCCAGCCAGTTGATACACGCCAAATTAACCCCCCTCCTCCTTTTGGACGCCCAGCGAAAGCCCAAGACGCCCGTGTCGTTGTGAGGAAGAGGAGAGAGATTGTGTGTATGTGTGCGTGAGAGAGACGTCGTCGACGAACACACACATCACCAATCATGAGCTCCTCGAAAACCCTGACACCTCCGCTCGACGAGGGCTCGCCTCAACTCAAGCTGTACAGAATGGAACGACCGACAGGGCAGCTGTTCGAGCTCAAGGAGCTTCAGAAACAGCAACTCGCAGACCTCGACGAGGTCGACGAGTTCCCTCCACCTCCTGGCCCCCCTCCCGGCGCTCCTCCCCCTCCTCTACCCATCCCCCAGGGCGACGAGCGCGGGCTTCGAGAATTCAACTACAACGGACGAGACATCAAACCCCGCAACAGCGAGCGCAGCTCGGGCGCCATGGGCCGGCGTCGTCTCAGTTCATATTCCCAGTTTTCCGACTACTCGTCCCATGCCTCTCTGTACGAAGCTCCTGATTATGACCGCGGTATCGGGAACGGCGAGGGTCGTGGCGGTGGTGGTGGTGGGAGCGGAGGGGTGCCGCAGGTCGAACACATTGAGCGGCCGCCGAGACGGCATCCGGGAATGGAGGCGACGCTGGGCCATTTGCGGACAAGGTCGGACAACACCCGCGGCGGCGGCGTAGTTTCCCAGCCGCCCCCCACGTATGCGCCGCCTCGGGAGCGGGAGCTGTTCAACCGCGTGAGGTTCGCGGAGCAGCAGGAACGAGCCCGTCGCGAGGAGTCAAGGGGTCCCGGAGCGCGAAGGATCGATATGGTCGATGTCGTGGGCGGTCCCAGTGTCGGCAAGCTCTGGGTGTACGCGTGCTGTGCCTTCTTCTGGTATCGTTGTTTGTGGGACGAGGACTTCTGACGAACGGAGTCCCGTCTCGATAACGACCGAGTTCGTCACCTCCTTCTCTTATACTTTCCCCCCTTCTCCTCGACGAGACGATGCTGCTTCTTCGCGCAGCTCATGACATGACGACATGACAACCGAACCCCTTTTCTTCGTCATCCTTCCGTCTTCTTTTTTCCCCGCGCCTTCGTTCGATGACGATAGTTCTTCGAAATTGATTTTGGCCGACTGTCCACTTCGGTATATATATGCGAAGGGGTTGAACACGACTTCAACGAGCCACTTTTGCTGCACTGTCAACAATGACGGTGGAAAAGCCAGACAATAACTAGTCTGGACTATTTCCCAGCAACGATAACAATGATGATGATAATAATGACAGAACAAAAGAGGCGACTCGACCAGGCAACAGATACACGCAAGTGACTGCAGATGTTTTTTGTTTCTTTCTTTGTACAAGTATGGTGGTTTGACAGGAACTGGGGATACTCTGGAGTTTTAACGGGATTTCGATCCAGGTAGTTGTGTGAAATCTCCTGTATTATAGAACAATGCGCATTATCAAATGAAGAAATGACTAGCCGTGTGAAAGGTGGGAAATACCCAACCGGCCGCTCCGTGTAAGTATGGACCGGTGATATATATGCATGGGGAGGTTTTGATATTCGAACGTACTTATACGTGTGTGAACATCCCGTGTGCCCGTCCCGTCTCTGCGTCACCATCCCTGTGTAGGTGAGGGGCCTGGGGGACGAACAGGTGCCCCTCACTTTTCAGGATGTTTTGTAAATATCTGTATTTGTATTTCCAGTGCCCTGGCATGTTGAGATGAGGAGATTGGCCGGCATAGTGTGAGGTTGAACGGCATGGTGTGGGATTTCCTGTGTGATGCGGTTCGGTCGGCGTGCCGGGTGACTGGTCCGACGATCTTATTTATGCGTTGTTATGGGAGGGGCACCCGGCACCCGGGGTTGATGATGGTGGACGATACTTTTTTTGCTTCTGAGGGACGGAGAATTCTCGAGACGGGTTTGAGAGTTTCTATTGTTCGTCACTCGGAGGCAATTACTGATCAGGGGTTGATGGACTGGATTGTGATGTGTCTATTCTTTTTTCTGGAATTCGGTGGTTGAGCTCGAGAATCTTGCGCATTTTCGTTTTGTCGTCAAGACCCGGAAGTACGCGACGAGTAACAGTTATACTGTCCATGCCACTATAGAAATATTCTCGATGATCCTCGCGGGCTGGCGACGTGTTCACTCGTTCATGGGGAGCTTGTCGTCTCGAAGCAGAGTGCATGAGGGGTGTTCATGCCGTTTGATACCTGTCAGGCACGGGGAACTGGTGACCATGTCGTTCGCATATTGACAGGCTACCGGGGTTTGTTTATTCGGGTCTCTCTCTGTTTATACAATACATGTTGAGTATGTTATGGCTCGTCTACTCCGATTGATTGACGTGCTGGAGCGCAGATGAGTGCTTTCGGGGGCGCGGACAGGACGGCGAGGTAGGTTTGAGTCGGGAGGCACGCACTTTATGGCCTGTGAGGAATGGCAGTTTTATCGGTCCGAATGAGTAGCTCGAGACGATTACTGGAATGCATCGTGTGTTATCGATCTTTGCAGGAAGATGAACATTAGGGCCAAGATTGATGAGTTATTCATGGGGATGGAGGGACAGGGGCCGGATCCGAGACAGTCATGACCAGGTTTTCGGGTAATCTTATCGGAGCCCTCAGTGATGGGATATATCAAACAGATATGCCTCCAGGTATAATTTGTCATGTCTCTCATACAATGCAGGAGTATCGAGCTCGTTGTAGATGAATTCGAAGTCGCGATCGTCGAGCCACGAGAGGATACCAAGTCACGATCTTGCAAGCTGCTCTTATCCAGATCTCTACTCTTCCCGAGTCTCGCAGTATTGGCGATTTCAGAAGCTATTGCTTGGAGTATTATTAGTCCTTTATGACGATATAGGCCGGTCTTGCTTGCTCTGTCGAATGGGAGATAGTCGCTGTTCCCGCCTGGAGCTGTTCCTTGTTCTGAAGCAGCGTCGAATAGCAGTGCTGGCTTATGGCCCGACATTGTGGCTAGCGCTAGATGATTAAGAGAAGTATGTGATTCTATTCTACATGTATGTCTTCCGTTGACTGATAGCTAGCAGCTTCGCGGTTTTTAAATCCGGGCTTAAATCTTCTGAGACCGATCCCATGACCGACTGATGCTGCTTGATGCTTGTTTGTCTTATGTCTTATTCACCCCCCTTCAGAAGAGACTGGCGTCAAACGACTGATAAAAGAGTGAATATTGTCGTAGCTAAATGCAACTTGAATTCGGTACGCATTAGAATACGTCCTGGACGATGGACATAGACGATGACCGCAGCATGTTGATGCTCCTTGTTCAGCGTACACGACCTGAACTTCATCCATGAACTGCTTGAATCAGAACATTCGACTCTGGATACAGATACGAGGAACCTGCATGGACTTTTTCTCTCTATAGTCCTCGCCGACAGTCGCGTTTTAGCTATTTATTTGAAGAAGTGAACTCGAAGTTGAGATTGGTCCCGTTGAGAAGGGTTTGAATAAACTGAATTACTCTGAGCTTACGTGTTGAAATTTTTGCGTACATTTTGATCCAAATACTCTAGGAGCGACGATGGCGAAGCCAAATTAAACGGAGTCTCCAGATTTCGTACGCGTGAGCGGACATCCTCTGCCGTGCAGACTACGATGATCAGCCAGACTAGGAGGATGCTTCAACCAGCCTTCGGAAATCAAATATCAGAGCTTGAGATCAACCACGACTAATAATCGACGGGTGCGTGTCTTTTGCTTGTCTGCGTATACCGTCGTGTCGCCCACCACGAGGTTGACGTCTTGAGAAGCAAATTTCAAGAGAGGCTTTCATTCGGCACCAGTAAATAAAGGGCCAAGATTGGGCAGCTCTCTTCTTCATAGGCCAATTCTCTACATCTCGCAGTCGCGCATTCATTGGTCAAAGTCCCATATACCGCGTCCCTTCCGTCCAGTCGCTTATCTGTCACGGAATGGGGCTTACAGGTCTTCTCATGTCGCGCCCAGCTACCCCGCCGCATCAGGCTCTGAAGATTACTAGATCTTTCCACCGAAGACCGATGCATTTCGGCCGTGTCTTTCTCTTCGTCTCGCCTCTTCCTAGTAGACAAAACAATGGCCAACTTCGTCTACGAACCCCTTGACACTTGCACGTTTCGCCTGCTCCGCCTCTTCAAAGGCCGGAAGCATTACGACGACAGAGTCTGTTGCGAACTTTACGAGGCGCCACATCCGAGTGAAATCGATGACGATGAAGACGTCTACGAAGCCCTTTCTTACACCTGGGGCAATCCAGACGATACCGAGCCCAGCCCGGATGAAACTAAAGATATCCTGATGAATGACCACCAGGTCCCGGTTACTAAGAATCTCTACAATGCTCTCTACCACCTGCGGTACCCTGGAGAAGACCGTATAATCTGGGTCGACGCACTCTGCATCAACCAACGAGATGCCTCGGAGCGGAGTCTCCAAGTGAGACAGATGTGTGTCATCTACAGCAAGGCCAAGAGTGTCATCATCTGGCTTGGAGAGTCGTCTGAAGGGATAAAACTACTTATGGAGGGAGTACGAGAGCTTGACCGGAGGATACTGCGGCGTCCCAAGCCACAAGAAAAAGACCGCCTGGACGTCTGGTACGACGAGGGGCGTAGCTTCGTCCGCAACATGGCTGCCAGTAACTACCAAGTCAGAAGAGAAGCATTGGAGAAGTTGATGAAGCGAAGTTGGTTCAGAAGGGTATGGGTTGTGCAGGAGGCTGCAGTTGCGTCCAGGGCGACGATTCAGTGCTCGTGGGAGTCGGCTCCGACGAGGACTTTCGCACTCATGCCGGAACTCATGGATGTAAAGCCGCAAAACCGGGCTCGAACGCTGCTGGAGGTCATGCCAGGACCATGTCGAGAGCAGTCCTGGTGGCGGAAAGATCGTCGCTTCAATACCTTGTTGCAGAAGTTTGGCTGGTTCGAGGCGACGGACGAGCGTGACAAAATATTCGCCCTTCTCGGAATTTCGGTCGACACTGCCGTCGCCGATTGCCCACTGAAAGTCGACTACGACGCAGACATGGCTGAAGTTTGCCGGAGAACGATCTCTTTCCTCGCTTGTGGAGATATTCTGGATGTCGTGACGTACTCTTCACCAGTCTGGCCTCTGAAGGAACTTCGTCGGATGCTACCTTCACTTAGAAAGAACGTATTTGAATGGGCGCTGAGGACAGAGGGAAGTCATGCCCCGCTCTTGAGGAGGCTTATTCACGGAATGCCGCGAATCGACATCAACGTTCCACTAGATGACGGCGGCAGTTATCCGGTAATGGTCCTCATTGATAAGGAGAATTCGGCCGAGGATTTCGGAGCGTTACTTGACTGTGAGCACTTTCAGGTCAACAAGTTTCTGGGAGCCTTTACGCCTCTCAGTTACGCATCGAGATGCGGCCGAGCTGACATCGTCCGTCTACTCTTGGGACGACAAGACATAGAGCCATGGCTTCTGGACCCGAACGGCAAGTCCTCACTGCACCGAGCGGTGGAAGGCGACCACCTCGAGGTTATGGATGTTCTCCTCGACCGCGGCTGCACAGAGAAAACAGATTCCGCGAGGAGCTGGTATGGAAAACAGTTAGAGTCGACTATAATATTCGCCGCCGTAGAAGGGAAGGTACCAGCCATCAGTCGTCTTCTGAGCCGGGGCGTGAGCCCTAATACGCAGAGCTATGGTGAAGTTAGCCGGAACTTTGCAAAGATTTCCCTGGCCGAGGCCACAAAGAAAAACCGCCCCGAAGCAGTGGCACTGCTTCTAAACGCAGGAGTAGAGCCCGGGTGGTCGAGAGAGAAAGATGCCCTCCTCGGCACAGCCGTTTCCAAAAGTTTTCCGGAAGTCGCTCGTATGTTGCTCGACGCAGGAGCCAATCCCAATGCCGTGTATGGCGAAAACATTCTCTTAAGAATTGCTGTGCAGAACTCGGACACCCAGATCGCCGGGCTCTTGATCGACAAAGGGGCACGTTTGAACTCGAGGCGCCTCGGAGGCGCTACGCACTTGATCGTAGCGGCATGGCGAAATGATGTTGCCATGGTCAGGCTGTTGGTAGCCCGGGGGGCAGATATCGAAGCAAAAGAAGACGGATGCAACACCTTTTGGCACGCTGTGGTTGCCGGAAGTTGCGCTGTTGCTGAGTTTCTTGCGGGTCAGGGGGCAGACGTGACAGTTCCTGCACGCAGCTTATATCTTGACGCGTGGACCAGAGAGGAGAGCTGGTCATTACTCACACCAAATGTGCTTGAGTATAAGCACGAAACTGTCAGAGTTCTTCTTGATATAGGTGTATTTCCTTGCAAAGACGGCCCGCCATCTTGGAGGGACATGTGTCGGCAACACTTGAGTTGCGTCAACAGAGTTGAGGCGGTTTCTCCTCTTTAGACATTAGGAATATCTTCATGAAGGTGCACATACTTAAAGACCGGTATGTTAGGCCAAAAAGGCAACACTGTCTTCCGCAGTTCTAGAGAATGTCCTTGGCCGGATCTCATCCATCGTTCAGCCAAGTTCCCTTCCGCTATGTCCATCCTTCATCCGCACATAGTTCATGAATTAGGCAACTTCAGCCAACCTCTTCAGATTCAAACCAGCACTCAACTCTCCACAAAGGTCATCGCAAACCAACCCACCCGCTCCACGATGGGACGCCCTTCCCTCTCTCCCCCCATCATAAACCCACCTGCCCGTCGTCTCCATAACAACAGCATACATACGCTCGCCCGGCTAGCTCAATCGGTAGAGCGTGAGACTCTTAATCTCAAGGTTGTGGGTTCGACCCCCACGTCGGGCTCAATTCCCGTCCGCGATTGGCGCAGCTTTCATTTTTTGCGATTTTTTCCTTCTTCCTTTTTTTTTTTTACTTGGTCTACCTGTTTTTCTAGAGTGCTTTTCTAGAGTGCCCTCTAATTGCGTTAATTCTAGCTGTGCGGAATTTTTCAGAGTGATTTTGAGGCATGGAACAGTGAGTTGTAGTTAAACTAGTTTTCCAACCTAGAAGTCACATAACACCACGCAAAAAGTATCATCTTCTAAGCCATGTCTATTGATAGACTGTATGTAATATGCAACTGCAAACGATTCATGTACTCATACATTTTTCTTCCTTTTGAGTCTCGCCCTTCCACCAAAAGTATTTGACTGGCGGCATTATACTGATACCCCTGGACCAAATGCTTCATGAAGCCCTCAGGATATGCTCTCTGGAATTGCGCGGTCTAATGACGTTCCTCAGTGCCCCCCTCAAAGAATCTTGCGTTGTTTGAGAGTTCACTGCCGTACTAGCTGTCCCTCAAAGAGCAATTGTGTTGCTCTTTATTGCCCTAGTCAGCCATGAGCAATGTCTCTTCCTGCAATAGCGGTACCTAACGCGGCCCGTTCACTGCAGCAACATCTTGATCATCATCAATAACGACGGTCTGCCGAGCCCACATCACGCTCCAGAATGGGTCTTGCGTGTGATGTCTCCAAATTTCATCGGCCATATCAGAACCAGGTATAAAGGGAGGCGCCTAGATTCCCTTTTCTGTGTCCTCAGCCATGGGCTCTGCGGCGGTTGAAGAAGGTTCAGCATCCATCTCCTCAGGGGTGGGTGCGTCCTCGATGTCGACGAAATTTTGCTCTGCCAGCGCTGCGTCCTCGGCAGCCTTGACCTTGGTCGCCTCGTCGATCTGCTTCTGCTTTTGGAGGCTGTTGTTGATCAACGGGGTGGTGTCGTTGAAGATGCGCAACAACATGGCCGTGCGGTCCTCCTTGGGAAGCATGAGGTTGAGGGAGTGGATGCTCTTCCACAGAGGGAGCGCCATGCGCTCACCGAACGCGACGTCAGTGCCGTCCGGCTCGACACGAAGCACGCAGCATCCCATGCCAATGTCTCTGATGCGCTCGCCAATCTCACCCATCTTCTCCCACTCTCCGTCGGCGATGCGGGGGAACATCTCAATGAGAAGCTTGCGGAGCGTCTCCTTGTTGGTGAGGCGCACGACGCGGTCCTCACCGACGTAGCCTTGGAGGATGGGCATGCCCTCGGACTGGATGCGCCAGCGGCAGACCTCAGCGGAGGGGGCGTCCTGCTTCATGAACATCTTGACACCGGCGTGGATGACCTTGATGCCACGGCCCTCGTTCTCGGCGAGAATGTCGCGGGCAAGGGCGGAGGTGTAGTAGATGGCCTTGGCGGGTTCGCCAGTGGCGTTACGGACCATGAAGCGGTCCTCGGGGAAGCGCGAGGAGATGTGGTAGAAGGACTTGATGTGCTGGATGACCTCGTGCTTGGGGTCGAGGTATTTGTAGGGCTCCTCAACCTGGCCGTACGCGTTGCGGTTCGATCTTTGAGGCTTCTCGATCTTGGGCTTCTTCGCTTCTTGTTTCTCGCCGTCAGCCGTCTCGTCCTCGCGCGGTCGCTTAACGCCATTCGAGGCTGTCTCATCGGCATCTGCCTTATCCTCACTCTTATCCTCAGTCTTTTCCTCGACCTTCTCCTCGGTCTTCTCCTCGGTCTTCGCCTCGGTGCCGTTCTCGGCTGCGGGGGTGGCAGCAGCGGTAGTTCCGTTCGACTTGCTGGCGTCATCGGTCTTCTGCTCCTCGGGGCGGATCTTGACCTCGGACTTCTTCTGCAGGACAGTGATGAAGAAGCCGCCGGTGTCCTGCTGGTGAGCGTAGACGCGCATGCAACGCTCGAGAGGGAGGTCGGCGCAAACGCTGCCCTCCACGGGCGGGAACATGGTCTCGACAAGTCTGCCAGGAGCAATACCGTCGGCGCTGGACTTGGTGTACTCATCAACCTCGGCCTGGGAGCTCCATAACCTGCCGGACTTGTCCATGATCTGCCACTTGCGCATACCAGGGGCCCTGACGAGACCCTTCAGCTCGTTGCTGCAATCGACGATCTCGACCTTGTCGGGGCCACCGCAGCGGTCGATGGCTGCGGCGATGACGGACTCGTTCTCGACGGGGTTCATGGAGCAGGTAGAGTAGACGACGCGGCCGCCAACCTTGAGCATGGCGAGAGCGCGCAGCAGAATCCTGACTTGGGTCACATGGAGACCCAGAGCATTACCGGGCTGCCAGTCCTTCCACAAGTTCATGTTCTTTCGCAGGGTTCCGTCACCAGAGCAGGGCACATCAGCCAAGATTCTGTCAAACTTCAGGTATGCGGGCTTGGTCGGGGTCGCGGGGTCGGAGGGGAGCTTGATCGAGGGGTACTGGGTAGCGTCGTGGTTCGTGACCAGCAGGTTCGGGGACGAAAGGCGCTTGAGCTGATGGACAAGCATGTGTCCGCGCTTGTAATCGGCGTCGTTGGCGATCAACAGGCCTGTGGTGCGGCCGTAATCCGAGGGGTCGGCCTCGAGGTCAGCCTGGCGCTCCTCCTCAGTTTCCACGCCGAGGTCGAGTCCGTCCTCCTTCGCATTGGCGCGCAGAACCTTCCTGACTCTAGCCTCTTCGCCCTGGTGAATCATTTCGAGCAGCTGGCCGGCCTTGCTGCCGGGAGCAGCGCACATGTCAAGAACAGTCATGCCGGGGCGGATGTCCATCAGAAGAGGAGGGATCATGGAGACGACCTCTTGTCTGCTGATGTTTCCAACGCTCGTCTCGGAGACGAGGAACTTCTGGAAGGATGAGAAGGGCGCGTATTTGCGGATGACGTTCTTCGGGGTGGTCATCCACCAAGCGAGTTCGTTGGGGTACCACTCGAGCGGCTTGGGAGGTTCGACGGGGCGGCCATCGGCGTGTTCGATCTTGACGATTTCCGGCATGTATCGGTTCTGGAGGAGCTTCTTCACGGCCAAGGCGTGGCTGCGCCGCAGTCAGCAAATGATCGATCGTCGCGGAAGCACTGTCACATACCCCTTGGAACCGCAGAAGCGGAAGCTGTTAGGCAGATCTCTGCGCAGCGCATCCCAGAAGGGACCCTGCTCCTCCTCCGACAAACCAATGATGGTGTTGTAGTAACGCTGAAGCCTCTCGTTCTCCTTCTTGACGGCGGGGTACGACTGCCACGACTCGCTGCGAGGCTGGCGGCCACGGTCAGCACCTTGAGCGCCACCGCGTCCTCCCTTGCCCTTCTTTCCTCCCTATCGGACGTGTCAGCACGAGACGAAAAAATAATCAGTTCAGTGCGAAGATTACTAACTCTGAATTTGCGACCCATGATGGTAGCTTTGTTGACGTGCGAATAGTGATGTTGTGGGCGCACGTGTGTGGTGGAGGAAGAGGAGCGAGGAATTTGAAGATGCGACAATCGAGCTGCGGCGTCGCGCGGTTCTGAATTTTTGCGGTTACCCAAAGGAGAAACCGCGAAAAAAAAAAAAAAAAAAATGGAGGTTCGGGCGGAATGCGCCAGCCCCTCGGTTTGGGGAAGATTGACCAATCACACGAAGTTAAGTGGATCTTGTCACCCCGCATTGTACCCCTGTCAATCAGGGTCTCACCCCCGGCTTGTATCCGCTCGAGCGCACCTGAAGGAATGCTCCTCGACGTCCACAGACTTCATCTCAACTTGCACTTTTCAAACTGCAGATTATCAACACTCCAAACTGAGAAATCAGTCCCGCCGCTGGCTAGAGGGACCTGGATTCTTTCCCACCAACGTCCGAAACCTTGTCCCTCCGTACTATCCGCGGGGGCAAACTGTCACGTGCCTCTAAGTACCTGCTCCAATGCAGTCTACCAAAATGACGGAGAAAGAGTAGCGGTTCAACCGACTCAGAGTCGAGGCAAGCTAACGCAAAGAGGTGTGCTGTGTGCTAATGTCTTGATACTCATTGGACTATCTCTTTGAACTGATGTGGGCACCGAGGCAGCTGTTTCAAGGATACCACCTTGGCCCATCCACGTCGTTGATCGTCCAATGCGGGGTTGCCTCGGGACTCGGGAGCCTCTTACACCACATAGCGTCCCGTCTTCTCTCATTGCCGGAGGCCGGTGTTCGAGCTTAAGCTGCAGTCCCCCCCAACAAGAGGTAGTATGGGGGAAACGGCACCCGAAGATTGGCGGCTCAGAGTCAAGACATCCCCGCATGATGCGAGTTTCCCGCGCCTTTCGGGCTTACAAGGGCGCGACCTGGAGGCGAATCTGCAGTGCTTAAATAGCACGGATGAGACCTGCACGATTCCTCACGACTTCACACCAGATTGCGCATAACAACCAACAGTGATTTGAGACTACAATGGCACCCGCGACGACTGTGAACCAACTCCCTCAGGCAGACGCCTCTGCCGCCACGAAGGGTACCAACGGCAACGGCACAGCCGCCGTAGATAAAGGCACATTGAAGCTCTCCAGCGTCGTCAAGCCCGTCAAGTACGACGACCCGTATCAGCAACGGCAGCATCTCAAGGAGCGCCTGGCCCTGGGCTTCCGCCTCTTTGCCAAGAACGGCTTCGACGCCGGCGTGGCCGGCCACATCACCGCTCGAGTGCGTTTGATTCTCAACTTGTTTGTGCCGCAGAGACTGACGACAACACAAGGACCCCGTTGAGCCCGGCACCTTCTGGCTGAACCCGTTTGGTGTTCCCTGGCCGCTCCTGAAGGCTTCGGATCTCATCCGTGTGGACGAGAACGGAGAGGTCGTCGAAGGAGGACCGGTGAGGCTTCTCAACACTGCCGGTACGCCTATTCTTCGCAACTTTTGATGCTATCGGAGATATACTGACACGATACAGCATACATGATCCACCACGCAGTTCACGAAGCCAGACCAGACGTCATCTGCGTGGCGCATTCCCACTCACTTTACGGCCAGGCCTTTTCCACCCTGGGTCGCAACTTAGACATCATCAGCCAGGACACCTGCGCCTTCTACAACGACGTTGTCCTGTACGACAGCTTCGGCGGTATCGTGCTCGGAAAGGAAGAGGGCATCCGCATCGCAAAGGCCCTTGGCGAGAAGAAGGCCGCCATCCTTCAGAACCACGGTCTCATCACCTGCGGAAAGTCGGTCGAGAGCTGCGTGTATTGGTTCCTGAGTCTGGAGCGCTGCTGCCACCAGCAGTTGCTCGCCGATGCCGCGGCGGGAGGTCGGGGTCATCTGACGGTGAAAGTCGACCAGGAGGATGCTGAATTCACGTACAAGTCCATCGGCACCGAGCTCGCGGGATGGTTCTCGGCAAAGCCTGCTTTTGACATGATGGAGCATGAGTCTGGTGTGTCGTATAAGATGTGATTAGGGGATGGCGGCGGAGCTCTTCTCTAGGTCTGAGGTCGAGACTGTGATCAATTCTCGGTACTCGAGGGGGATTTATGAACGGAAGGCGTAAATGTTGGTTCTGTCATTTTCATCGACAATGAGTGGTATTACACAGAATGGTACAAAGATATGGTACAATTACTCGTCGAGAAGTCCCACCGTCCAGTGAACAATTCGGTCAACTCCCTGGCCATGGATGGCGCTAACAGGAATGACGGCACAGTCCTTGACCCAGGCACCTTCAACGCCACTTGGATGGGGTACGGTGCCCTGGTTGATTTTCTCGAGGTACTCCTTGAGCTCCTTGAAATTCTCCTGGGTCTCGGGCAAATCAGCCTTGGTGGCAACGACGAACCAAGGCTTCGCGGTGATGTGCAGGCCCGACTCCTCCTTGGGCGCCTCGGGTGCGTCGGCAACCATCATATTGTTCTCAATGGGTCGTTGCTGTTTTGTCTCTGAAGCCAGATCCCAATCGATGCGAGAATCGACTTCCCGGTCCCGCTCCTCTTCCTCGCGCATCTGGGCATAGAGGCCCACTTCCCTCCACAACGAGTTGAGCGCCGCTACAGCGGGACCTGCGGACAGGTCGACGACGAAGGCGAGCACGCCAGCGCGCTCGACATGACGCAAGAATTCCATGCCGAGTCCACGGTCCAAATGGGCGCCCTCGATAAGACCCGGGATGTCAGCAACTGTGAAGCGGGTTCGCTGCTCAACGCGGACTTCATCCTCAGGGCCACCAGGCGAAGTGACAGCGTTCGGGTAACGCTTATAGCTCTTGATAAACGGACGACCCTTGTAGTTATCCAACACAACAGTTCCAATATTCGGCTGCAGCGTTGTGAAAGCCCAATTGCCGACGCGGGTGCGCGAGTTGGTGAGTGCCCGGAGAAGTGTGCTCTTTCCAGCATTGGGCAGACCTACAAGGCCAACGTCGGCGAGCAGCTTCAGCTCAAGCTCGATCTGCATCGTCACTGAGCGCTCGCCCTTGGTTGCAAAGATAGGACGAGGGTACTCGCGCGATACAAAGTGCGGGTTGCCAAGACCGCCGATACCACCAGTAGCAAGCAGAATAGGTTGTGGTGTTGGGCGCGACAAGTCGAGCTGGATCGGACCAGGAGGCTGATGGTAGAGGCGTGTGCGGCGGGGCGGTCTTGGTAAGGATATCGACTTCAGGTCGGACTTTGACAGCCCTGGGTATAGAAGCCACTTATGACGCTCCGGATCTTCAGGTTCTTCTTCCTCGGGTTCAGGCTTCTTGGCCTTGCGTTCCTCCTCTAGCCATTCTTCCTCCTCTTCCGTCCTTTCCAGTTTTTGCCGCGCAAGCTCCTCCTCACGCTCCCGTTTCGCCCGCTTCATAGCCTTCCTCTGTGCCCTTAAAGCGCGTTGCATCATGGTATCTTCGGCGACGGGATCTTCTCTGCTGAGCTCTCGGAGAACTGTGCCGACGGGTACGGTGATGATGACATCTTCACCTCGCTGCCCACCCTTTGCGCTGCCCTGACCATGCTTTCCTCTCCCAGCGCGGACGAAGCGCTTCCTTGCTAGCTTATGTAGGGAGGTTTCGCCGTGCACGGCTTGGATGTAGATGTTGCCTCCGTGACCTCCATCGCCACCATTCGGGGGGCCGTCGGGAAGATATGCATCGCGCATGAACGATATACAGCCGTGACCACCGGGACCTGCGTACAACGTCAAGCTGGCTTTGTCGGCGAAGTTTGGTGCGGCATAGTCATCTGGCGCAGGGTTGAGTCGGCTCGCGGGTGGTTCTTGGGCGACGTGGGTCGAGCTATGGCGGCGACCTGCAAACGCTCTCGCGGCGAGGCGCGGGGCATTGGCGCTCCTGGAGAGAAACAAGGAGGGATACAGAAACGGAAGAAAAAGGGTATGGCTGCCGGAGCATCTCGACGCCATTGTTCCCGAATTGGCTTTGAGCAAGCCGTTGACAAGCTCCTAAATGAAGTCTGTGGCTGAGACGAAGCTTGGGAAATTTTGGGTTCTCGCCGGTGTCCGATAAGATAAGGAACTCCTTACATAAGCGAATTGAGCACGGGCTGGAACAATTAGTAGGACTGGGATCAACCGGCAGCGAATGCTGCTGTCAAACGGGGGGTTCATCTGATTCGATATGCTCCGACTGAGAACACTGCCTCGTTGCCTCAAATTGCCTGATTTGGGATAGAAAAGCATAAAAAGACGACTGTGGTCTTCTTTTCAGCCTTTCTAACGTTCCAAGAACGACACTTGACCAAAGGCTACGCCGAGGCGAATTGGATCGAACCAGAGCCGCACGGAGAAGGACGCTGCAGAGTGAGCTTGCCAATGGTGGATTGCCACAGGTTTATCGCCTTGAAGTTCCGTAATCTGACATCTCAATCTGTTCAGGTATGTGCTGGTACGTTTTTGCCGTCTGCGGCAGGCTGTGGGAGCACAGCTGCATGGCCGGTCTCAATATGCGGTGAGCCTGACTGAAGTTCCGACAAAAGGGGGGCTGCAGATGTATCGAAAAGTCTTTGGAAGCCAAACACCGGCGGCAACGCTATGGACCAAGTGGTCAGTTTGCTTTTGGGTGGTGAGATATCAGGGAGATGACTTCAAGTGAGGCTCAGCACAAGGGCTGAAGGATGGCTCGGAGCATTCCAGACATTGTGGAAAAGGCATCGTCCTGAGCAAGTAGATTGGGCCATCTGGGTTGCATCCATCAATGTCTCGTCTGTTGGTTTGCAGTCCTTGTCAGTTCGAATGTGGTGGAGGTAGGTGAGGTGCAGACATGGACTGAACGTGGAGTTGCAGTCCAGCCACTCCACCCCGCCGGCCGTGTCCATCGCTGTCGCTGTCGTTGTCGGCGTCTGGGAAGGTCAGACCCGCCCGAAAAGTGCCCCTCTCCGCTTTCTTTCCTCTTCGGTGGCTCCCGTTGGACAGAAGGTGCTTCGTTCGCTTCTCGCCCAACCTCTCGTCTGTCCCCGCTTCACAGCAAACGCCCCGCGACTTCTTCTTACTGCAGGAGCCCAGGTCACAGGCGCCGGGTGCATGCTACCTTACATAGGTCCGCAGTCTCTAAAGCAGCTGCTCTTGTCAGCTAAAAAGTCAATGTACTGGACCGAAAGTGGTTGACCGCCTTGAGGCCCAAAGGCGGCGGAAACGGCACCGGAACTTCAACGAGGGGCGAACAACGCACACACATAATCTTCCCCCTCCACTCTCATTGCTCAGACTGCTGCACCTCTTCTCCTGCCATACCTCTCCAGTCAGTCAATTTTGCTGCAGTTTGCACAACAATATCTCTCATCTTCCACCTCTCCCGTCTCTCGTCCCCTTCCACGAAGGAAAGACGCAGAACCCGCTTCTTCTTCTTGTCTCCTACTGGCCGCCGATCAAATCTCATTGGGACGCCATCGGGCAGACAAGCTCTCTTCTGTTGCTTGCTGCCACCCCCGCCATTGGGCCACTCTGCCCCCAGACTTGCATATTCCAACACGCTCGCATTCGAGCCACGACACTTGCTGCAGTCAAAACCCCGTTCCCATTCGATCTTCTCTTCTTATTCCTGCGTCCTCGTGTATCGAACTATCTTCTCCCCACGTCTCCTCCGCATCGCCTGCTTTTGCCCTCTGTTGAATGGGCGTCGTTCGTCACAATCCTCTCCCTCTAGCAACGAGTACGACCTGTCCTCGTTGTTATCCGGCTCCGTCTTGTCCATCGCGCGACCTTGGAATCGTTCTTCCCGTCTGCCGCTTGCTTGCTTGCGTTGCCGTTTCATGCTTCGATGCTGCATGATACATAGCACCAGCCGACAGTACCAACTCGCTTTATTCGTCCTAGTTTTGTTTATTCCCAATTCCTCCCTTACCGCCGCGCCGACACGTCTCCTGGGCTGTCACCATCTCCCCTCTTAATAATAAGACTCAGGTCAGTTCATCACCGCTTTCCTGTCTTTCTTCCATCCTTTCCTTTCCCCTCCACGACACCTTCGTTACCCCAACCCACCCAATCTTTTCCCGTGAGACCCATGACTTGGGTCTCGAGGAAGAATGACCATTGTACTAGTAGTGGATGAACCATCTTGATCTCCTTGTACAATATCCTCCTCCATAACCTCCATCTCGCCTACGGAAATACAAATCGTTGGTGTCCCATCCGGGAACTCCCCGCTAAGATGTATACCAGAGACTTCAGGCCGCGGACGCCACGCTCACGCACACCTCGTCAGCGCAAGACCACGACAGTCAGGATGGACCCCGACTGCGCTATTTGCCATGCTCCCGCCACTCTGGCATGCGACTGCGAGGCCAAGGGCCTCGAGGTTGCCATAAAACAGGCCGAGCATCGTATGATGCAGTCGATATATAACGACATTCGGTAAGCCTAACTGGGATCAGCGGTCGTCTCACTGATTACTGACCCAGCTCACAGTACCTGGGTTCGAGCACACGCCCAAGACTATATCCTGGAGTATTTTCGCCTGCTCACTGAGCGCCGAAAGGCTGCTCATACCGCCAACCTCGATCGTATTACCGCCCACGCCTACCACTACTACCACGCTCCGCCTCATCCAAACGAGATCGCCCAGGCACAAGCAAGCCTGAAGCGTGGCATTGACGAGGACTGGCAATCCAGTGTTCAGCGATACCCCGAGGTTTTGGAATACTTTTTCAGTCTGGTTGAGCTGACTCTCCCTCCCGACAACGATGCCGCGGTCAAGGACCCCCCGCTGAGCGCTCTCAGCGGCTCGAGGAAAGCCGGCCGGAGAATAAGTGTTGGTCAACAGGCTATCACAGGTGCTAGCTCCCATGAAAAGGATCCATTTGCGCAGATGGCGCAGAGAACACCGCCGCCTTTCGACCACCCCAGTAGAATGGAGACGAGAACACCAGGTCGCAGGGATAGCAGGAGATCTGTTCCTCCCCCGGGACCCCCGGTACACCCAGGAATGGCGGGCATGTCGGGACCTCCAGCACCCTTTGGCCAACGGACCGCGCCACCGCCGCCACCCGGCTCTTACTACGGCTGGGGTGGTTGATATCACCCAAATACTCGCTAAGAAACCCATATGTTGGATATGCCGTCCGGGATTTTGGTCTCGTTTGTATGGCATACAAAGCCTTGACGCCTTTGTAACGACGTTTCATGATATCCACGAAATATGCATAAGCCCTCCCTACCCGGCGTCCCGAGACTATCGCATCGCAGAATGGAGTGGCACGCTCAGAGATCCGCTGCGGCGTTTGTTGATACGTTTACTAGAGACAGAGATTGATTGTGCTCCAGTTTCACCAATTCTTGTACTTGATTTTCTGGTTTCCTCATTATGTCTCTCGGTAGGTCGGCGTCGGTGTACGGGGCAACGGAAAGAGGAAATATCTCATCATGGCTGGCATTTACGACGGCGCAGGCCGGATACCTTTGTTCATTTCCTCCCCGAGCTCTTCTATCTACCATTTCGCACTAGTAATCTACGAACAGGATGAAATGCCCTCAGATATGCGGCTGCTAGAGCAATACCACAAAACCTATTTGAAAGCCCCTCCTCTTCTGACTCCTCCCTCTGCGCGCTCCCTCTCGCTCCAAGATATTATGACTTGATTCGGGTACACGTCGTGGTCCCAGGCCAGCATCCGACCGACCCATCGCCGTTCCCCCTTTCCGCGAATGGGGAGACGTCATTTGATCACACACGACTGTGAGCAACCGAGGTTACTTGCACAAGCTTGCCGTCGTCTCCCCTGTAGGCGGGCGGCACGTCATACGGGTGCTTCCCCAGACAATAACAAATGTTCGGCATGACGCGCGCAAGCAGAGGCAAAGGCAAAGACGAAGCACACCTGCCCGACGGGAGCCCAAGGATACGGACCAATGCCGGTGGTTGAGCGCCGTGATAGGGTCGGCAACGCATATGCACGCTGGACATGACAGCTTAGCTAGCTTGGGCAAGGGTAGCTTCGCTTTTGCCCGGGGCAGCTTTGGGTGGACGCGGGCCTGAAGATAAGGGCGACTTCGATGATACGCTTGGGAAGAGGCCCGCTGCCTTGTCTATACATCACCGCAGATAAAGAGATGAAGTTTTGTCATGTACAAATTGAAATGGCTTTTCTCTTTCCTCTGATTTTACTTGGAACAGGGGGAGCTGCTAAGTACAAGAAAGCCCTCGCTCGAATCGAGTGGCCGAACAAGCGGGCTAGAAAGACGCAAAAAGGGCCAGATTTATAAAAAAAAATTGTTTGCGTCCCCGAGATCCGAGTTTTTATGCAAGGGAAGGAGGCTTTGTGAGTGTTGCGTGTATCTTTAGGTCTGGCTTTTTCTTCGTCCACGATTAATGGATGAGTGAATGAGCCGATTGGTGGTGGTTATGGCGAGTCCAGGCACAGGCGGCGCTTTTGGAGGGCACGGTGGAACTATGCCTTCTCCTCGACGGAGGTCTCCTTGAGGTCCTGGGTAAGGCCCTCGACACCGTCACCGTTGCTGACACCGTTGGCCTCGTCGGCCTCGAGCTTCTCGAGCTGCTTCTTGGCCTTCTCAATGTTCTACGACGGATGTTAGCTACGAAGCAATAAGATGCGTTTGCTGGGGACTTACTCTTTGAGTCTGGGCCTCCTGGTCGGACTTCCAGTGCTCGAGCTTGGCCTTGACCTTCTCGGCGACGGCGGGAACGTCGGCTTGGCTCATGGGAGGGTCGATGTTCATGAAAGCGCAGTCCTCGACGACAGAGGGCGGGCAGTTGAACTTGCCGCCCTCGGCAGCAGCAGCACCGCTCTTCTTACCCTTCTTGCCCTTCTTCTGGGCGGGGAAGTACTCCTCATCGCGGTCCTTCTTAGAGACGACCTTCATACCCTTCAGACCAGAGTCGTCAACAGTACGGGTAGCCTGGGCGCTGAGGCCGCTGTCGGCCATGAGAGGCGCCTTCTCGGTCTTGTGGGAGGGGTCAAGGAACTGGAGCAGGCTGTTGGCGCGGCGGATCTCCTCGAGGTAGGCCGGGTCGCTGGCCTCAGAAAGGAACTTCTCGGCGTCGGCCTTCTTGCGCTCCTTGATGATACGGTCGTGATCGGCCTTTCTCCTCTCGCGGGCCTTGTCGCGGGCCTCACGCTCGTAGGCCTGGGCGGCCTTGCGTCCCTGGTAGAACTCGTCCTTAAGGGTCTTGACGGCCTGGTACTTCTCGTTCTGGATGGCGTGGAGCTTGGTACGCTCGTCGCGCAGAGAAGACAGGTTCTTGTAGGCCTCGTCACCCTCGGCCTTGATAGCGTCCAGCTCAGCCTGCAGCTTGTTATACTGCTCGCTCATGGCCTTGGCCTCCGGGTCGTCCATCGAGTCCTTGATCTCCTTGATCTTTGCGCGGAGGTCGTCGATCTGCTTCTGCGAGTCGTCGAATTGGGAGAAGTTCTTCTTCAGCTTGCGCAGGGAAGAGATCTCGGCAAGAGCCTTCTTCTCGTCGACAATCTTCATGGAGCCGGAGTTGACCTGTTGCTCAAGCTTCTCGATCTGGCGGTCGACCTCCTCAACGCTCTTAAAGTTGACCTTGGACTTCGCCGTCTTCTGCTCGTTGATGCGAGAGCGGAGCTGCTCGTCGAGGCGCTTGATTTGATCGAGCTTGCCAGTGCGGGCATTCTTTCCGGCGCCCTGCTTCTGGCGAATCTCGTTGAGCTGGGAGATGAGCTCCTGGCGACGCTTCTGGGTGGGAGAGGGCTGGTCCTTGTTCTTGTTGGGGGTAGCGAGGTCGATCTTGGCCTTGATGGCTTTCTGCAGTAGGACATTGGTAAGTATTTGCGACTCATATGGAGTTGTTATTTGATGCCTGGAGGAGCTTGACTGCGCCTGCGCTTGCCCTTAAGCTAGGGAAGACATGCGACAGCAATTCAGTAGTGGCATAAATGTGTACATACCAGCTTGTCCTCGGCCTCCTTGAGCTCCTTCTCGGCAACGTTGACCTTCTTCTTGAACTCGGCCTCATCAGGCATGGCCGGTCTTGCCTTCTGCTCGGCCTTGTCGGCCGCCGCAGCGGGTGCCTGCTTAGTATCCGCCATGGTCGAGGTATATGATGCCTGTCGTCCTGCAAGAAAGGACGATCAATTGGCAGAAGCAGTGGATGCGCACAACAGAGGTCGGAGTTGTGAGGTGTAGAAGGGGATAAGGATGGGCGAGGGAGAAATAAATGGGCCGCGCAATAGTGAACTTTTGGCTGTAGAATGAAAGGGCCCCCCCAAATTTTGTTGAAATTCACCCATTTGGGATCCGTGGCACCGTGGCAGGTACGAAGTACTTTCTTGGGTAAGGCCACCTGCTGTCTGTCGATTGTGGGGTTTCCAAGTCCATCTGGCACGTGCGCTGCACACTTCTTCTGGACCCTTGGAAGCCGTGAACCTAAGGGCCCGTGGCTGGTGCGTGCACCTGCCACCTTCCATTGCTTGCTGGGGTGTCTGTCAATCCCATCCTGACTTTTCCACATCCGGGCTTCCATTGGAAATTGTTCCGTGTCGTTGCTGTCTCGGATAAACCTACCCCTGTCATGGCTGGAGATTTTTCCAGAAAAGCCCGTCCACGTCCCGCCTTGGATGACTGGGTGTTTTTGGGGCGCTCGGGCCCCACTTCGAATTTTCGCTGCAAGGCTGAAGTGAACCGCCAGAACTTTTTGGCGTTGCGACCGACGCCAATCTTTTTTCGACCTCGACGTCGACTCCCGGGAATCCAACTCCAACCTCATCCACGACACCCCACGCCCGACCACACCCGTTTTATCGAGGGACCAGTTACTACTCGATTTCGCCGAATAGTCGACCGTCGTCAATATGTCGGAGCAGAAGGACGTGAACAAGGAGGTCACCAGGTTGTGGCGCGCCTGGAGGACAGCCCACGAGATGGCCGCGGATCGCGTACGACACCCTCAACATTGTCTTGTTGGACGAGAACTTGCGGTTCCTCAATGAGCTCCTGCGTATTCTCTTAAAACAGACGAACAACCGCGTGTTCGCGACATCACAGCTAACGACGGATGCAGGGTTACGAGCTCGCCGAGGAGGAACTCACAATCTCTCTTGACCGCTTCAAGATGGAGTACACTAGCGGCGACGGCAGCGTAAAGTAAGAGCGCATCCTGAAATCGCATCTTTTTATGCCTCTCCATACTGACAGGCGCGTCTTCCAGCCGTGGCAAGCTCCAGTTCTCCGCAAACCCGTCCGCCGACATGATCCGCAAGTTCACACCTCCCCCGACGCCGCAAAACCCCAACCCGACACCCGACTGCGGTACCCTCTGGGTCGAGTTCCTCGCCGACACGACCTTTGGCATCAAGGAGATCAAGAAGTTCATCCACCACCTCATTAGTAACAAGTACTCTTCTGGCATCATGGTCACCCACGTGCCTCTCTCCCCCGCCGCCCGCAAGATGCTCGTCACCATCGAGTCCTTCGCCAAGGTCGAGTGCTTCCTCGAGGAGGACCTGCTCGTCAACATCACCAAGCACGAGCTCGTGCCCAAGCACATTCTGCTCTCCCGCGAAGAGAAGATTGCGCTGCTGAAGCGCTACCGCCTCAAAGAGACCCAGCTGCCCCGTATCCTGCAGAAGGACCCCGTCGCCAAATACCTCGGCCTCAAGCGCGGCCAGGTCGTCAAGATCATCCGTAACTCCGAGACGGCTGGTCGTTATGCCAGTTACCGTTTGTGTGTATGAACGAATGGCGCGGGCGAGGGTGCGCATTAGACGACCAAGGCGACGAAAGGCGAAGATAGAAAGACGGACAGGCGGAGGGAGAGAAAACTGAAAACGACAAGAGGATCCCCAGAGGCTGGATACGGCACTACATGCGGGAGAGACAACCCGTCCGGGCGGCCTGGGGAGACGAGGGGGGGAGTTCACATTACTCTTTGCATCACTCTGAGTTTGGCGTTGAGGGAACGGCTACGGTCTGCTGTTTTGTGTATGAACCAAACCAAAAAAGAGAGGCTTTCTTTCATCTAGAAGGACAAATACCAACCTATTACTATTCAATTCGTTTCGTCGCGGCAGATGGTGTGTTTGTTTGGACGGTGAAGCATTTGGCATGAAGGGGATCGTTGTTTTGCGCATGCAACGTTCAACCGAGAGGCTGTTCGAGCCCCCGACGCTTGGTCTAACCAACGACTTTCTTCCAGACCGTGATGCAAATTGCAGTTATTGGGCATTCGAATAAGAGGCGATTCCATTATATCATATCGCCTTTGCAAGACCCTGGAAACCCAAGGGGCTCTTCGAGGCTCCAAGCCTTGACTCAACCCAACCATCTGCCGTCCCGAAAACACCCAAACCTGAATCGCTCGCATGAAGACGAACGCAAAAGCGAGATATTTACCGCGATACTCTAAACTTGTTTACTCATCTTTTTTCACGATAAGAAAGGTGGTGTTTCTATGCATCGTCCGAAAATCCTAAAGGATAAAGGAGTGTTCCATCCAGGCAAACCCGCAGATCTATCCAAGTCAGACGCACCCTACCCCTCCCCCTGAGATGGTCCATTGCAGGATCGGTAAGTTCGTGAGATGCGACGAATCGCCAAGGCAGACTATTTTCTTATCTTACCAGGAGGAGGGTTGTACGGCCCAGGCTCATTCATGCGACGTGAACCGCGGAGGTGACGGGGGGTGTACGAGTTAGAATTACAGCTGCAAGTGGTTGCTGCGTCTGCGAGAAACACAAAGCGCATATAATCCTCTCTGATACGAAAATGCATCATGCAATATCAAGAGGAAGTCCACCCCGCGTTGTCGTCTTTTACCAAGTAATAAAACCCCCTTTTCTCAACGGAAGAGGACTGGATATCCCAAGTCAAGGGAAGAACCCTCGAGTATCTGTCTTTCTCACTCCATCCGGGGAGAACACCGGACGAACGGTGGTAATTTAGCCCCCTCATAACTCTGGAACCAACCTAACACCGTTCCCATCAAATCATGGGCAGTCTTTAAGGCATACACAAGAAGACATATTAGAGCAGAGGGGTCCATCCCGACGCGTGAAGTCCACTTACACCCCGTGCCTCTTCCCCCCTTTTCCCAAGAAAACCCCAACCCATGCGTCGTCCTCGATAATGCATGCCTCCCGCGCGTGGATCCGAAGCGACGGCCTCTTCCGGCTCCTTCGGATCTCGGATTTCGGCTGGAGTGGAATGAATATGAACAAGGTTGACGGACAAGAGTCAGGGGCGCGGGACGTGGCAGGGCGGACAATATGCAGAGTGAGTCAGGACGGAAGTCTGAACCGAGAAAAACGAAAGACTCGGCGCGGCCTGAGGAAAAAGTTAAACAGGAAACATAGCCAATCTTTTAGGGGGTGTCAGAGTCAGTCGTTGAAATTGGGTAGGGGACAGGCAGGTTCGGGACAGAAAGACTGTCAATTGTGTGCAGGGACTGGGTATTGAAGGAATTGGCAGGGTCAAGGCGGTCGCGAGACCGAGTTTCTTTGGCTTTTGTTGGTTGATTCGTGCTTCATTATATTGTGGATGATGTAAAATATGTTGGTGAACAGGCTGGGCAATACAAACATGGTGGCAATTTTGCCGGGGTATATGTAACGATAAATAGCAATGCCAGCAGCTTTCGGAATCGTGGTGTCGTGAACACAGGAGGTTTCCTTCAAGTCTCCTTTTAGTCGAAAATCACCTGAAACCATGTTTCCCGTCGTGGTAATGGCCGTTCCGAGAAAACAGGTGCCGGTGACTCCAGTCCTCCCTTGACCTGAAAAGAAAAACGCCGCCCAAAGGTTCTAGACCTCTATAACTCCCCCGAATACATCCCAAACAGTCCCGCTTTGTTCATGATACATGGGCATGTTTGCCCTTCTGTTCTCGTAGATGTGTCGCTCGTAAGTCGTAAATATTAAGATGGTGCGATGTGGTGAAAGTAGCGTGGTTGTGAAGTAACTACTTCAAGAGGCCGCCGGGATCGATCAGAGTTGGCTCGCCGGGGCGTGGGTTATATGATGGGTGATCGTCATGTTGTGATTGGGGTATGGGTTGTAGCTCGGTACCGCTTCTGGATCTCTGTCGCGACGGCTTTGTGTTGATTGGTCCAAGAAGGCCGCCGAGGTCTTGCAAGAGGGCAGTCGAGCCTCGTCGGACACCATTTGACGCAGCAGGAAGGGTCGGTGACGGTATCCCGTGTCCTGGGGACGATTTCGGATCCACGCTCGATACCAGACTATCCCTTCGGTACGTGGGTGTTCCCAACTGGTCTTCCGATAAAAGTCCTCCGACGTCGAAAAATGAGACCCTCCGTGGAGTGATGGTCGAGTTGCTTCGGGACGACGAGAGTTGGTCATGCGGGAGTAGAGAAGCATCGCTGCGTTCGGCGTTACTCCGCTTGCGTTGGGGGAATTGCCAATTCTTCAGCTCGTCCCCGAAGGATCTTGCCACCGGAGCGGGGGTATATCGTGGCCTCTCGCCATCAAAATCATCGTCCTCTTCTCGCAAGTCAGGATCGACCCCGAGACCGACATCCCGTACCAGGTCCTCGTCACTGCCCCAATGTCGGTGAAGGGTTGGCCGCCGAGAATCAGAGGCACGGTCCATGGAGTCGGCCGCAACTGAACCGTACTTGAATTTTTGCTTCTTGAGTCCTCGATCGCGCACAAAAGAACCAAGCACCAGGGCATTCGCAGCTGTGGTTGCGAATAATAGTTCAACGGACGCAAAAACCGATCGCAGTTGCTGCTGTCCGTGCTTCCTGATGACGTGGGGAACCCGATAGATCGTTACACCGATGACAGCTAGGCTGAGAGAGAAAAGTAGCGTCAGTTGGACCTTTCGTTTGAGGCCCATTTGACTCCGTAAGATGATCGGGATGGGAAAAAAGACGAGGAGTGCGTCTGTGATGATGTTGCACGTCGCCATCGTGATAAGATGAGCAAACCCTTGTCGGCACTGTCCGCCCGGGTCAGGAGTGACCTGCCAGTAGTGATTGAAGGGCCTGCATTCCGCTAGGTCACTGATGATGATTGCGATGAAGGTTGCGACCAAAGTACATCTGATGAAAACCAGTGTCTGTTCGTACGAACGTGCCCAAGTCACGCCAGTGAGGCGCTTGAAGAACTCTAAAATAGTGTTCTTCAGCATCCATAATCTGCACAGACGAGGTGTCAGCAAGCCATTCTACCGTCCGTCCGGTTCGATAATAATGAAAAAGTCGCTGATTGGTAACGTGACAATCGTGGCTTGGGGGAGGGACAACATACGTTGCGGCGTAGAAAATGCGACTCGCGAGCACGAGACCACTTGCGATCCGCCTCCTTCGCGTCTCTTCGGCGGACAAGATGCCTAGCTGGGTGTTGTTGGTTCCGTAGAGGAGCACAAAGTGCACGCAGACCATCCGGAGCCACAGAGGGATCAGAGCGAGCGCGGCGACCTTGTCCTCCTGGAACAGCCTCTCAGTTCGAATGAAGCGGCCGGCAACCCGCAGCAAAATGATGAGGGTGCAAAATGACGTTATCCACCAGCAAACCAGCAGTGATGGCTTGTCCTCCGAGAAAGAGCGAAGCGGGGGTGGATCTGTGTAAAGGCCCATCGTGGACTCGTGCAATCCACGCTCGTCGACCTCCGTGGAGGGCACGACGAGCGAGGAGTAACTGCGTCGTCGAGGTTAGAAAGGCGAGTTCAAAGGCGTGTTCAGATCGGTCGCGTGGTCGGGACAGCTCGTCGTCACAATGGTAGGTGCGGGCGGGTATGGCGAGTTAATGCGATTCGACGGTTGGTAGAACGGTGACAAGATGTCGTCAGGGTGGAATATGAGCGTATAGAAGCGAATGATGCGTCCGATGCATGAACTTTACGATTGCGAAGGGACGAACGGTTCAACATCAGGTATATCGAATTCGGGCGCAAGTGAGGGCGTCGAAGAAGATCAGGCGGAGAGCCGTCTTATTGATGAGCAGCAAGATAACTGCCAGCTGTGGTCTTGTAGCCGCAAGACGGGTTCGAGAGTAGAGGTTGGAGGTGATGGAGGAACGCGGAGCCCGGCTTCAATATTGAAGAGGAGTGGGTGGGAGTAATACTTTAGCTGCACCCAACAGACGCAGATAGAGGCAGGTCCTGGTGAGCATACCGCCGCTGTCCCAGTAGCCCCGGACGATATGGATGATGGGGTGGCCAAGTTGGGGGGCAGTCAAGGATACCCGGTGATGGTCCCTTTGCACGCTAGGAACGATGGGGGATTTTGACCATCTGGGATTTGGGAGAGTCGGGGCGTGGGAGGTAGCGAAAGGACCAGGGGGAGGGCGTGTGTTGATTGATGGTGTGCATCAGCAACTTTTCTTGGCTGGCCAATCCTGATCCTGTCGTCTTTGGAGAGTGAGATGTGAGAGGTCGTGAGGAGGTCGGGTGGATGGACGGGTCCATCGGCCAGCCCAGGGGGAGAAACTTGAAGCTTCGAAGCCAGCGAAGCCAACGCTGGCCAACGCAGCTGGGCCGTGTTACTGTTCCAAAAGAAAGAATCGCAAGAAGATCGAAGCTGGCGTCTAACTCAGCCAGAATGCCGCCCCATCCCGTTGCCAGACAGCGGTCAGCCATCAGCCATCGTAGAACTGCCAACGTTCGCTAGGGCAACTCTAATCTCTTCTCCAAATATCACTGATTCGCTGCCCTTGACGTTTCCCGAGCTGGCTGGGGAGCTAACAGCTAGGCCGAGGAGCTGACCTCAAGCTTGCTCGTCCCGCGGCAAGGTCTCAGTCTAGGCATTCGACAGCCGACGGAGTACAATGGCACCAGGAGAATACCGTTGCTCGAGTCCGATTTAGCTCATTACCGTCGGCCTGGGACACTTTCGGGTTGCGACTAATAAGTATTTCCTTCAACTGTGAATTGGTGGGTATTTGTCCGTAGTCTCCACCGGCTTCGTTCGCTCCGCGGGTAGATGGAATTTGAGTCGAAATCGAATAGGTACTTGTGCAACGATTAATGACGACGGTGCTGCGCCGATCAGTTGCTGCCGCGCATTTACTACTAAGCTCACAGCGCCTCCGCAGTGCGTCTTCGGGGGTAGCATGGTGAGAATCCGCGGTCCAAAAACGGCTGCCTCTTCGTCGACGTGTTAATCGACTGCCAGCAAATCTGTGTCAGCATACTCTGGCTTGAGTGGCAGCAATGCAATCAGCAGAAAGCAGCGGCGCAGCAGCTCTTGTCATGTCTTCCTCCCGACTCTACTTCTGATGTAGGAAGAAGCGTGTATCAGTTGTTCCAAGACCTCCTGACGGCTTGGAGCTGTTGGGCGCATTGGCATTCACAGCGTTATCGTGTGTGCGCCGTACCAAAACGACCAACGAGAGCCCCTGCCGACTTGTCTTGTCTCTTCTGCCTGCGAGGCCGTCTCAATATGTGTCTTCCGTTCGTGTGTGCGCCTCTCTCTCCACCTAGATAAGGCGACAGCAGACGAGAGGCCAGCCTTTCTCGTAGGATTGGTGGACCGAGCCGTTGAAAGGCCGTTGGATTCACGCCCCCCTTGTTGCCGAAGACGAAAAGTTGCGGCGTTGCTTCATCGAATCAGCGTTGTCCTTATCTGTATCCCTCTTTTTTTCTCTTCCTGTGCACCTAGCAACCTGGGTGCCTGGGTACGCGGGCGCGGAGACGATGCGGAGGAGATTTGGCCCTTGCCCTTTTCTTTACCGGGAGACCGCGCTCGACGGAGGCTGCCAATTGGAGTCTGGCACTGGTAAAACTCGACAAGGGGGAAGGGTTGGTTCAGGAAGAGGTTCGTCAGTGCCAGTGAATGCCCTGGCGTCACTGCCCTGCCCTACCCCTCTGATTGAGGATAGGCGGCATGATCCAACGAATTGGTAAGCTTCGTAAGGTGTGGGCAGACAAGATTTTGGGACGTCGTTGCATGTGGCAGACGGGCGTGTCCATGCTTCCTGTCACTGCCTTTTGATGCAGTCACGGCCGCCATGGTCTGATAGTGCTGCACGGCTGAGGGCTGGGAATCCTTGAGGGCGCTGGCAGAGATAACCACGGCCTGGTTTCATTGGGTTTCTGTTAACGGCCGAATCTGCGCGGGTACGATGGGGTTTGCGATGTGCTTCTTAGCGTAGCGCGCTACCACGGCGCATGCTCTAGTGAGAACAGATGGCGAAAAGCAAAAAAAAAAGGGAAAACGCCGCCCATAGCCACTGACAGAGAGAGGGCAAGGGCTGGCTGACTGAAGCTTGAGATGCAGCTGATGATAGTGAAGGTTCCTAAGAGGGATTGGACGGCGTTGGGCCAGGCCGGTCGACTCGAGCATGTGTAATTGTGTACATAGTGTCGACTCGCGCGTCTCGGCTGGGTACCCAAAGCGGAGAGATGCATCGCCTCGTGTCCCCCCGTATTTCCAGTGCCTGGTGAAGGGTAGGATTCGCAGGCCAGGACGGCGCTAGTGTTGGTGTACATAGCATAGCGCATGGCAGAGTAAGGTAAGGTAGTGTATCCGTAATCGAGGGGAGAACGACTCCAGGACTCCAGGCAGTCGGAAGACGCAGGCCAGGGCAGATGAAAGGTCGACGGCGACACCCAGGAGACCAGAAGCGGGTGGCGGGTGAGGAGCGAGATGAGGGATTGCTGAGGTGTACGGGTACTGTGATGATGTTGAGTATGGGTGGCTGACGATTCGCCAAGTTGTCGCCGAGCTGGCGGACGACCCAAGAAGGGAAAGCATGCGCGGTATTGTCAGGTGAGGTGACTTGGTGATGCGAGTACAAGACTTCCGTCGGCGAGAAGTGTACTTGTTGATGTGAGTCGGGTTGCGGATTGGAGACGCGACAAAGAGAGAAACGATGTCATGTCTTGGGTCGAATGAAACAAGACAATGGCTGGAGGCTTCCCCACGGAGCCCATGGCTGTAGCATTTCTCGAGTCTGCCGTGTCTAAACACTTTACGAATTTTTGTCCCAGTGTCGATGAACTTGGCGCTGGAATTGGGGTTCAACGGTATTCTGAGGTCTCTGATGGCAGGGTATGCGTGTAATGACCGCAGTTGAAGGATAAGGTAATGGTGGGGGGCATTTGGAGATCGGAGAAGAGGACGTGGAGTCGAGAAATCGGGGACTGGAGACTGGAGTCGAGTCGAGCTGAGTGACTTCCAGGTTGGAGTGCGGGCTGGGGTGTGGAAAACGGGGAGGAGTCCGTTGGTGTGGTTGGGTGTGTGTGGAGAAAGAGGGACGCTTTCCGGAGGGGATGAACTGCCAGGCGTTGTTGGTAGTCACCAAGATTTGCTGATATTTCTCTCACCTCATTCTTCTCCTCCTGGGCAATAATTGGGGATAGACGTCTTGACACAAACTAAAAATGAAAATGGGGGTAAGGAGATAAGGTGGCAGGTTGTGTTGCCTCGGGCATCATCAGTAAGGGTAAGCTCATCTTCAAGAATCAGGTGGCAGGAAAGGTTAACCTACGGGGACCCCCACTTTGAGGCAGGTACGAGCGGATAACGCCTTCCCTCCTCTATCCGTACTGAACTATTACGGATGCCTTGTGTAGGTAGGATTCAAAGTAAGATTGAGCAGGAAAACCTGGGGCCTCTTTCCCTATCAATGTCGATGGAATCCGTAATTTGAAAAAATCGCGAATGCAACGAAAATCGCAGCTGTAGCTTTGCCCCTCTCACATGCTCAATCGTCAAGTCTTCATGTCGTCTGCATGTATCCGTAGCTTAGCTTGCCCTTACCCACTGCTCGGTAGACAAATGCAGGAAATGGAAATGGAGTTGGCCATCTCGTCATTTTGTTGGTCACGTCAGTGCAGAGCAAGCAGCATTCAGTGGGTTCAGGGTTACACGGTAGTTGACGAATACCACGACACCGATGGGTGCTGGGAGCTGGGGACGAAAGGCGGATCACAGCATTCGGGGATCGAGAAGCATGGACCACCGCTTAGGTTCCTCTGCCGCTTTTCACTGGCCAGACAGGGCACTTGGGTGTCCGGTTTCCTGTCAACGGGAAATGGAGCTGGTCCGGGCTGGCGGCGACATCTTCCCTCCATCCACTATGGACCTTGTGCCTCATCGTCTGTCACCAACACCATCCAATACCTCATCTGACGGCTCGGATCCGATCCCTCCCGCATTCGCAGGCTCCATGTAGCGCCGCCCCTTCTCTTCAGTCCCTTCAGTCCCTTCAGGTGCCAATCTGACGCCGCAAGTCTCACCTATTCTTACCTCGCTTGTCTTGCTCTTGCAGATATCACTCTGCCTTGAGCCAAGGCAGATTAGAAAAGACACGCCGCCTTCCACGCCGCTCATCCCCCAGCATCCTCAAAATGTCGCCGCAGTATTCTCTCCAGTTTGGAACATATCTCACCCACGGTCCTTTACCCCGACCGACCTGACTCCCAACACATCACGACACCATCACCCGAGTCGAGTCCAACTATCATCAAATGGCAATGCAACATCGACAGTCAAAAATCCTCCGGCCAGACACCCTCGGCACCGTCGGCTATGACTGATACTGCTGCTCATGCAAATGCAGCCTACGGCCAATTCCCGCCACTTCCATCTGTCCCAGCCAACAGCCTGTGATTTGGTCACTCAATCTGTGCCGTGTCACTCTCCGCGCATTCCGTCGTACATTCAAGCCGAATCAGCAGTCCAGATACAAATATAATACCTTGGCTGCCAGCGCCTGTGCCGAGTCTCTTCGGAGCGAATGACTGTCACAGTTGGTTCCGTCTCATTCTGTCGGCAGGCTCAGCACACCGCTGCTCACGCGACACCGCTCCAATCTTGATCGGTAACAACCCTCGGTTGGGGTTCTGAGCACCGTCTCCACACAACCAAGACAGATCCCTATCAACACGACGCTGGCTGGATGGCTGTATCTTCCGGACCTGGCAGCACCAACAAGCCCGCCAATCTCTCCGTCTTGCTTTTCGTCGCCTACTGTCACACGTGGACCCATGAGTCCTTTTACGACTTGCTCTCCGTACTCAAGCTCTCGTGCGCTAGAGGGTTAACCCCAAGTCGAGGAGCTCACGAAGAGTTTTACTGCGTCTGTCTGCTTACCCAACTGAGCAGGTCCTTTCGATGATACCATATACTTTTGGGGTGACACGCTAACTATGCGCCCGTCATTCTGCCCAATCCCAGCCTCTCGACAAAACGACTTATCAACCTCAAGACCGATGCCCGCACCCCCTCCCGTCTGCCGATATCCTCACCTCCGAGCCAATCCCCCGCGTTAGGTCTCTTGCGCTGTCTTCGATACAGGGTTTTTCTCCTTTGGGCCCTCTGCTTCACTGCCTCAGCAGTGCTTCGTGTCTCGGCGGAAATATGATCAAGGGACACTGAGTTCAGCTCCGCGTAGATGAATGCTACGCTACGCCCATATTTGGTCTAACTCGCCAGTCCTGGCAAGGCTGCCTGCCCTACTACCCTCGAGATTGCTCTCCCGGGCTAATTATCTTGTGTCACTTCCACGTGGATGGGCGGCAAGCCAGAGCAGATCAGGCCGCCAGAGATGAGCCACCGGAAACCGCCTGAACAAAGCGGGAAAAAGAAACCATCGATCCAGCAGTCATCACATCTTATTACCGGCTGTGCATTGATGACACCCACCAGATAGAGAGCTCCGGTCCGGAGCAACTCCCGAATGTCGACCTCAAACAACATGTACGATACGGCGCAGGCGCAGCCTTTCTTTTCAACATCATTGGCGAAGTCTTCCGTGAAGTATCGACGAATCAGTCCTCTCGCATCTCCTCGTAAGTGAGGGAGAGCTGTGCAGGATTCAATGTCGAATATCATTCGTTTCAGAATTCCCAGGGTGAATCAACACGTCGATATCTCGCCCAAAACGGCCCGAATGCTCACGCGAAAGGTGTCGAAACTTTAGCCTCGGCAGCGACCGTCAGCTCAAAAGTGCCTCGTAGGCCCGTCCCGGCAGTGATTAGCAAAGGCCGATCCGACTGTGTATTGAACCACTCTGAGAATGCCTACTCGTTCACAGCCTCCATCTCAACGTCATTCGGTCAACAGAACTCCACAACGTCCGTAAGCAGTTCAACGTCATAATTTAAACTTGTGCAATTCAAAGGCACGGTCTTCATTCCGCACTGAACAAGCTAATGATGTTTTTTGAGGGTCACAAAAGTCATACAAGTGATAGAATAAGCTGACTTCTACATCCAAAATGATTAAGCCCCGTTGAACGCATACGGTCTGCTATGTATCACAAAAAGGATCATAGTAAGTACTCTCTGCTCTACTGTTCATTATTATTGATGCGTCTGAAGAGCCTTGAGAAACGATCGGCGTCATTTGCGTACTACATCGTTTCCAAGTCATCGTAGCCACATACTATTCATATCCGTGTCGTCGTAAGTGCCAGCATCCCGTTCATATCTCAGCAATACTTCTCGCCCCGCCGCAGTCTGGCCAATCCAATCGACTCCTCGTCGTCTAGAGCCATCACGTCGTTCTTGCCGTTGTCGGAACATGCCTCTCTGAGCCGTATGAGCTTGTCTAGCTTGAAGACGCAGCCGCTCTGGCGCCAGCGGCTTTCGCGAGTGAAGATGCCCAGATTCGTGATATTTATCCCGATGCGTCCTGTGCTGCTTGGGTCGGCAGTGAATGTGTTTGGGACCCTGTGCGCCAGACACTACAGGCGAACGATACGTTTGCCAGTTCGTCCGCCCTGAATAGACGAGATGGATCGAGAACTACACAGAAGACAACGTCTGATCGCCCCAGTCCTCATCAGTTGAGCTTGTTGTGACCAAGCCGTGTCCGATTCTCGTCCCGTTCCTCACGCTCTGTACCTCTTCTGGGTCTAAGTATCTCTAACCCGATGGTCAGTATCATTTTCTTCCTCGCCGAAGCAGTTGAGTTCATTCGATAGGAAATCTCATCTGCGGTATCTCAGACTTGCTGCAGTAGCTTTGTAGGCTACAAACGTTGTGCCAGTGTTGATGGGAAACTGGATTATGTCGAAACGCCGCTTCTTCCTGCTCAAAGGGTTGTAGAGGAGAACTCGGCTGGGCACATTGCTGGGAGGAAGGGTCCATAACCTCTAATTTCACGCAGCAACATCACACATACTCCGTGATCGCTTTCCATTGCATTTGGAACACACGCTACTTGGACTTGGGTGAAAATCCCTCGTAGGAAGTGTATGGGTCGTCAGTTAGTTCTCGGCCTCGTCTTTTCAAAGCGATAGGAAGCGATGTCAACGACACAACAGCTGCGAAACGTGTCGAACATTCTCCTTCTTCGCCATGACGTTCAACCACCTTCCTGTTCCAAAACAACTACCGTTCTTGACACCTGAAGACCCCGAGCTGCCACGCCGACCCCCACAACACATCCGCAGGACACGAGCGTGCACGACAACGCAAGTCTTGGCGATGGCGAGCACGTCACTATCCTCAACAAAACGTCCAACGCCGACTTTGGTGACATTCAGAACATGCTCGACTAGGTCTTCTGCGGACCCAGCCCTACAGGAGAAGCTGATCGAGTAGGTAGTATTGGAAGAAGCACCCGGCATGGGGCGTCATGTCATGCCCGCAGCGCATTTCATGCCTGCGACCCTCCGCCGCACACCTTCCTTGTCGGGCAACACGCCGTGCGCAGCGACGAGTTCTGGTGGCTGGTTGGTGTGCGGCATCTGCAACTGGTTCGCGATCGTCCTCTCGCAGATCATGCAGTTTCTCAATAGTAGCAGACCAAGATTTGTTGTATTAGTTGCTGATTGATGGTCAAGGATCGACCAAATATCTTGTCGTGATATCGTGTTATCTGTCATAGACATCACATCGGGACCGTTAGAACCACTTCTTGAGTGGCGCTGCCGACCACGAGGAATTCAGTCTATACTTTTACACTATGTAGTCTGTTCTAGTCTACTCTATGCCGTCTGCGCCAAACCGAGCTGTTCAACAACACGCTTAATAGATCCCTTGTCAGCTCTACTCCAATCCACACTCTTCAACGTCTCAGCGCCGCCCTCCTCTCCAAACAGCTTCCACAGCTCATCCACAACCTGGCTCCTGACCCGGGGCCACGGATGGACCATGAGCGCCCCGAGCCTTCTCCTCGCCTCCAGAATGCCATCCCGTCTCCTGTCACTAACCTCTACCGGCAGCTGCAGCTCTGCATCAAACCCAGCCACGCAGCCGTACACCTTGATACACGCCTCCAACTTCCTCACGTTGCCCGTCTTATAGCCCGCCTTCTGGACCTGCAGACACAGCTGCCGCAGGTCGAGCTCCTGACATTTCTGGAATAGCCCGACGTGGCAGAGGAACGCCACAATCTCCAACGTCGGCACCACCACGCGGTCCTGGCCCTGTCGCGCCTTGAGGTTGGAGACCAGCGCGACGCATACGGCAGATAGGTTCGTGGGGGACGCCGCGCAGAAGTCGGCGAGGGCTGCGCGGGAGGCGATGACCAGGTCCTCGTTGCCTGTGTCGGCGGAGGTGACGTAGCCTGCCAGCAGCTCGCACATCCAAGCTGCGTGGCCGGACTTCGCTGTCTCTGAAAGTAGGGGGTGCAGGGAGGTTGGTGAGGTGTAGAGGTTGAGAAGGGTGTGGAAGTACTCGTGAGAGGAGAAGGTCAGTTTGGTGAAATTAGTCGCAGAGCTGTGATCCTGTCAGTGTCATGTTGGGGTGTCAAGAACGATGGGTTTCCTACCTCGGTTCTAGCGTCAGGGCGAGAACGGCGTGCGCCTCCGTACGGACTCGATCCAACTTCTCCGCCGCAAGACGAAGGATACGAAGGAAGAGCTTCGAAACCGCAGTCGAAAGCCACCCGACCTCGGCGCCTTCCGCAAAGGCAATCCTCCATAGCAATTTGGTAGCCCTCAGCGCCTCGAGTCGAACGTGGGATCCCACGTCACCTCTGGCGTTGGTTGTGTAGTCATTGAGGCCCTCGGCCAAGAGATCCAAGAACACGAGCGCGCGGTCGCGCAGCACCACGCTTTGCGATAGACTCTGAAGAATGGCTACGCGCGTGTCGATGTCGTTGTCACTGGCCCACCGCGCGAGAATCGTTTGACAGACTACGTCCTCTTCCTTGGCCTCCAGTTGAGCGAACGTGGTGGTTATGGGGTAGGCCATAGTAAGAGCAGAGAGAACGCCAGTGTCATTTGCGGTGCGGGAGGTTGGCCGGTGGCGGACCGATGATGCCCAGTCTTCGATGAGACTCCTCCGTGATGAAGGAGAAGAGAAGATGAGGTGGACTAGGGCTGCTTCGGAGGATGCTGCGATAGCTTCTTTCTCGGGGCGGGAGAGGCCGGCCGAGATCACAGGAGCGAAGGTCGAGGAAATGGATGTTACGGCTGCGGGGATTTCAGTGAGCTTCCCAATTGCCTCCATGATGGCGAGCAGAGATTGGGTGTTGGAAGTTGAGACGACTGTATAGCCTGACTGGATGGTCGACTCGCCGCTGAGGGGCAAGGTAGCTGCTTGAAGAATGGGGAGGGATGATGTTATCAGACGGCTGGAGGCTTCAGCGACTAGTTCTGGTCGACGATAGGTCGTCGCCTGGAAGTCTTTGAAAATTGTTTCCAGCTCGCGAATAGTGCGGTTGATCAGCTCGTTCGCTTTCCCATCCGTCTCGATGGCTAGCAGCTCAGGGAACTTATCGAGTACCGAAGCGAGGCAGAGTAACAGGCCGTGCCTTTCATCGACTTGTCTAGTTTGCAGCGCGCGAAGGCGGGCCATAATTCTGTCAATGGACGACGTGAACTGTTCAACAGGGCCAGAACCGTTCTGCTGAGCAAGTGCCAGCGTGAGCATGCCAAAGGACGTGCCAGCCACCCGACGAGAGGTTGCATCGGCATCGCCTATTCCTCGCCATCCGAGTAAGCCGTCTAGAAGGGCGATGCCGTATTGCGATGATAGCTTCGTAGCATTCAGAGCTACCTCGTGAATGGCGCGGGATCTCAGGGCAACGGCATGGTAATCGACCGTCTGGACGACCCAGATTCCCTTCTCCACCGTGTCTGGGTGCCGTCCGATCAGCTCCTGCAGAGCTGCCGAGGCACCACGGCGAATGTTGCCTGCTGAGTCGAGTGATGCTGTGACAACCAGCTCCGTAGCGAGAACTTGTAGGATGGAAGCGTCCTGGCTGTGAGGCCGAGCAGCAACGACGGAAGACATGGCGACTTCGAGGAGTTCGGAGGTAGTGTACCTTCGAGCTAAGGCCCAGATACCAAAACACGCAGCGTCGCGGACGTTGGTTCCAACGGAACCTCCAGAAGTGCTCCGCTTTTCGAAGGACAAGCCGAGGAGCAGGCCATGAACAATATCTGGAAGCTGACTAGCGGGAGGAGATCGGCGGTAGAGCAGGTGCGAGAGGGTTAGCATCAAACCATGCCATTCGAGGGGATCCACGGCCGCGAGGTCGCGGGTTTTAAGTCCTTGAGAGCTCCCAGGTTCGCGAACCCAGAGGACGTTGCGGTTCAAAGAGTCAAGAACTGCATCGACGACCTGAGAAGCCATGTCTGGGTCGAGTTTGAGGGTGACGATGCTGAGTGCTTTGGATGCAGCCAGGCGAACGGGAGTATCGTTGTCAGCTAGACATTCGAGGAAGTATCCGATAGATGTTTCGATGAGCTCTGTGCTATCTGGGTCTGGTGGTGATTTACGGAGAAGCAGAACAGTAACGGAGCGGATGACTTTGATCAGCATCTTCCGTGCAACCGCGACGGAGCGGATGGCAGCTGAGACAGGGGTTTCTTCGACGTCGGAGGAGGCCACTGCATGCGCGGCACGGAAGATTGAGGAGAGGTAGGCGTCCATGTCAGACGTGTTGATAGACGATCTCAGCACGCCGGCAAGGAAAGAGAGAACGCCAATGTAGAAGTATGGTGGCTGCGGGGTGGTGTCCGGGGATGGATTGAGGGAGGCCAGAGACCACTGAACGAGAGCAGTGAGAACGCCTTGAGATTGCATGTCTCGTCGCATGGCGATGCGAACGAGGAGAGCGCGGGCGCCATCGCGTTCTTTACCAGGAGAAGCAAGATACTTGATCGCCAACGGGAGAATGCGGACCGTGATGCCGGGAAGATCGGAGGACGGCCAGGTGAAGTTTGGGATCGAAGGGAGAGTGAGCTGTTCGTCTGCCGCAGCGGAGGAGATTGTGGAGAGGTCGAAGGGGGCAAGAAGGAGATGAGAGAGCCATAGAAGAACGAGGTATCGCTCTTCCCAGGACCATTGCTGCGTATTGGACTGCGGGGACAAGGGGCTGAGTGAGGGACGAGAAGATTTAGGCGAGGCAGACCGCTCTGCAGACTCAAGAGCTGAAAGAAGAGGTTCGATATGCCGGGTCTCAACGTTGAGGAAACGCACAACAACCTTTTCGCCGCGTATCTTGGTGAACGTGTAGAGAAGCTTTGATATGGCGAGGTTCAGGGGCTCCAGTAGCTGAGAGCGAGTTGAGAGCTGCTTCGGATTGCGAATACGGGTGTTGAGATGAGCGAGATAGGTCGTTGCGAGCAGAGGTAGCCAGGTCGGGAGATGAGGGTCAAGCAGTTGAGGAAGTTCTTGGAAAGGATCGAGGAGCTGTTTGTATGTCAGGGAACATGTAAGTATGAGTGGAGTTGGATGAGATTACACTTGAGGTTAGACGCGCAGTCTCTGAGGTGCGAACCCGGTTGCGGAGAGTCTGACCGTCGGGCTTGCGAAGGAAGAGGGGCAATGATCTGGAGAAGTCTGCGATGAGGTCGGTTGAAATCTTCTGAAGCTTGATGTCGCTATCATCTTCGTGGGCGTCCATCGTGGCGTTGGGGTTGTACGTGAGATGAGAACTGGTGGGGTTTACGACATCGCCGCGAGTGAGTCGGTGAGAGGCTCGGATTGTTTGCGCAGCAGGGGGAGCAGAATTTCCTGCAGTATAACGCTGGATTCAAACCTTATTGCTGGTGTGACTTTTTCTTTGCAAGCTCTGTTGCCCAGCGGTAGACAATGAACGCAATGGCGAAGCTGTGCTTGTGTGAGAAAGAGCTGTGAAGTTGATGCTGTGGACAGGGACCTAGGGACCCGGGTCCGCACAGTATATATTACTGTGTTCATTGGATTTGCACACTGTACTTCTTTCAAATCTCACTAAGAAGACCTACCTAATCTCAACCTCATCTCAGTTGATTTTCATACTCTTTCATTTCGTATCAAGATATGATACAAAAACCCATGAATCATTTTGGTTTGAATAAAAAAATGTAGCAAATATCATTCTGTAGCAGAATAATATCGGGCTAGCTGCTTTCCACATCTCTGCAAGTTTGCGTCAAAACCGGGACTTTGCCAAGCATATGACGAGTGACAAGTTCACATATCTTTGGGCTTTTTTTTTCATATGTGAGAGAATCTCAAGAGACATGTGTACTTCGTCTGATACCCTGCTAGGGGCTCCAATATAGGAGGCTTCAGGGGATAGTGTCGCGAGCTTGGTGTTCTGATCAAGTTCGCGACTGAGCGACCATTCGGGCTCTTTATGGAGAGTTGATATTCGTGCAGATCAGGTTTGAGTATTATAGAATAGACGGGATAGAAAATTCAATAGAATTTCATCCCCTGATTCTCTTTGCTTGGACCGTTACACGAAGCCCACCGCTAAGTGCGTTACCACCAAGGTTCATACCTCCGCCTGTTTCCGAGTATCAGTCAAGTCGAGGACATTCGCGATGTGCCAATGAAGTCCGAGACGTGACGACTTCCGAAGTGATTGCAGCCGTCGATATATACCTGCGGGGTAAGACATACTCACCGTGAATTCGATATGGGGCAGTGAGATCAAGCCCCACCCAATGTAGACATCTAGTTACGAGGTCATGTTGTAAAAGTGACAAAAGCCAGACGCAATTTTGGAGAAAGAGAAGCAGCTTATGAAAGCATGCTTGAATGCGAGATCTGCCCCGCGTGGGGGGACTTTCACCCGGGACAGTATTTGTCTTCTTGCCAAGCAGACTTAATTCCATCACCACATGTGGTGGTTCATTCACAAGCCACTTTATTCTGGCAACTAGATACGATGTTTGGATCTTATTAGTGGAGCTTAGGTATGATTATAACCAAGAATGACCACACCTGAGGCTTGTTCCTGAGCTGGGATTGGAGCCTTGCAGTTCCCCTTGATTCGCGCTGCCTATATGTCGAACATGAAGACTTGCTGAAGACATCAGGCCATCAAGACAATATTTACCAATGATCTAGCTAAAGTCACTTGCCAAATCGCAAGTTGGGGTTGATTGTGATAACTCGGCACCCCAATCCGACCCGGACGCCGCGCTGACTAAAGCCGAGAAACCGTAACGTAACATATCCACCATTGACACATGAAGCTCTTATCTTGGGCTGTCAACCATCCTTGATGACTCACAGAAGCTGTGTTTTGTGGTCTTGGCACCCCGCGAACAAGAAGTAGATGCCAGCAAGTAGTCACCGAAACTCAGACCCGCCGTCGGCGCGGCCTTCGGCGCCGGATGAGCGGAGAAGACAATGATATCATCTGGTCTGTTCAAAGACTCTCGGGCCTCGGTCGTTTCCACTAAGCTTTTGACCGGTCTTTGAGATTCCTCTCGAAAACTCTATATGGGAACTTGGCTATATAAACCCACTCACCTCATTACATAGGCCAAACCCTCGAAGTTCTGCGGGTATTGATACAGAGTGTCATACCAACAGCGCCCATTCACACCCTCATGACAGCGATCATGTCTCAAGACGAGGTCAAGGCTAACGGATGGACCGCCGTCCCCGTCGACGCGGGCAAGATCTTCGGCGACAAACCATTCCTCCACGAACCCACGTACATCTCGGTCAAAGACATCAAAATCCCCTCCGAAGACCCGGTGGTAGCCCAGACAATCAAATACGCCAAAGAACGACTCCACGCCCCAACCTTCAACCACTCGATGCGTGTCTTCTACTATGGTACCCAATCCGAAACACTTACTCCTCGATAACGGGAAAAGTCACGGCTAACGTCACGACAGGAATGGCGATAACAAAACAACAGTTCCCCGAAAAAGCAGCCACCTTCTCCCCGGCAACGTGGGCCCTCACCTGCCTCCTCCACGACATCGGCACGGCCGAGGAGAACCTCGCCACAACCCGCATGTCCTTCGACATCTACGGAGGCATCAAGGCCCTCGGCGTGCTCAAGGACCACTGCGCCCGCTCAGACCAGGCGGAGGCCGTGTGCGAGGCCATCATCCGGCACCAGGACATGGGCGTGGACGGGACGATCACGTATCTCGGCCAGCTGATCCAGCTGGCGACGTTGTACGACAACGTCGGCCGGCACCCGAACGTGAAGGAGTTCGACAGGATGATTCATGAGGCGACGCGGAGGGAGATTAACGAGGCGCATCCGAGGCTTGGGTGGTGTTCGTTCTTTGCCGGGACGATTCGGAAGGAGGAGGGGATTAAGCCGTGGTGTCATTCTACGCATATCGTGGATTTTGATAAAGATATCGAGAGCAACACGTTGATGAAGGAATGGGAGTAGGATAGCTGTAAGGATAGTGGGAGACAACGATGATGATATGACGAAGTCTCCCGGGAGACGCTACTATGTGAACCACCTTGAAGTATCGTCGTTGTCCCTATGTGACCATGACCGAACAATGTGACGCCGCTGAGTGAATGTCAGCTTCACACACTAAGCCAAAGTCGAAGCTATCAGATCCTCAAAATGCGGCCATCATCAAGCATCAGGAAATACTCACTATCTTGAAATATCTACGTAAGAATACATGTACTCATCCCAGGTCACGGCTACTAACACCAGCTTTCCCCCAAAGTAAGCAGCCCAACGTCTTGAACGTCAACTACACCCTATCCTCACGTCAACATTCCACTTCCTTCGTATATGCAAACAATGTCTCAAAGCCACGCGCCTCCAAAACACCATCTCAGAAAACCTCCCCGAAATGAGACATCTCCATTCCACCCATCCTACCAATGAATTCACGCAGGTCGTATAACCCCCCAAGCCTCGCGACGCCAACACCCCCCGCCTGCGAGTATCCTCGAGGTCGTCCAACGGTGAGACCTGAGCCACCTCACTCACCGCTAGGAAACCTCCGCGACGCCACAAGTGAGTCTCACGACGGGAGAGTTGCCGATACGAGGATGGAGCATTATAAGGCGTAGGGCTGACGGCACTGACATTCCGGGACTAGAACGGGCGGTGACATTCGATCAGTCCTTGGACGACCTCCTCGGCCAGCTACACTCCTAATATCATCACCTGAACAGGAACAACGGGCTCTCTCGACGACATCACTCACAACACCGTCATGTGACTCCCAAGCAGGCATATCTCGCCAAGATGCGTTCCTAGTCTAGTGTCGTCTAGCGGCACTCCAATCCACCTCTCAGACTATCCAAGGCATTGTCTTATCACAACCACGGCAGAATCCAGCGGTTCATAGTATTAGAGTTGACGAAGAATCCCGCCGACGTAGCTCCATTCCATCCCATCCCATCCCAGCCCGTCGAATTTCGCCTGATGGGACGCTTCAAAGCTCGCCCCGTTCGCATCTCCAACTCTGATGCTATCGCCCTCGCAAGTCCAATATCAACAGACATCTCAACCACCCACGACACGTCCACGGCATTCTAGGCCCCCCCCAATTCCCCGAAAAAGAGGGACAGGTTCCCACACGGTCCCTGGAGGCAAACAAGGAAGTCCAGCACAAAATAGAACCCACGCTCCAACGTCGCCTCCAGATGTGTGTTACCGTCGCAGGAGGAAGGGCTGAAGGAAGAGCGACAGCCCAATCTATCTGCCGGGGCCCCGTCTGGCCCTTTTCCCCGACCTCTTGGCGTTTAAAACCGGGTAGTGGATAGATTGCGCGAAGCCATCACACACATCGCGCGTTCGCCCATTTCCACTTTGACAGCTCTGGGCAGGTCGTTTCGGACCTTGGACGGACAAAGCGGGAGGGGCACGGCACAAACGAACCTCGCGGGCGCGCGCGGACTCGCGTATGTGAAGCATGTTCCTGGACTCCCTGGTTGATGTCGACATCCCCTATCCCGTCCCCCGTCCGCCCCCCCATCGGCTCCACGTTCCCAAGGCTGAGGTCTGCTGTGTGCCGTGCAGCTGCGCGTTGCCGATGTGACGATGTCAGGGGAAGGGTTGCAAAGGCTGGGTGAGGCCGTTCAGGGAAACTCAATCGTCGTCGTCGCCGAGACAAGGGGACCCTGTGACGTATGGCCATGTGAAAATCCGGCGCGGGGCACTGGAAGTGCCCCTCATGAACGTTCGCTTGGAGGTCTCACACAGTGTTGAGGAGCCGAACGACTCGTGTGCGTGTATCATCTGAACTCTCCCTAGTTCAGTCCAAATTCACTGCCCAATCACGACAAGTATGCCCCTTTTTCTAGAATGGTTCCTACCACGCTGCTGGAATTCAGATGATATGATGCGCGTCATCTTTATCGTTCTGCATCCTTCACGGCGGCCCAGTGACAGCTGACAGTCCAATGACGACTTGCGGCCGAGAGAGGCTGTGCCTCGCCGCTGTGACCTCGCCCTTGTTGAAGGTCCATTAGCAGCATGAATTATGTTTACAGGTGTATAATAATACAGTTCAAGAGACGTTGCGCGGGTCGCATTGGATGCCGACCCCCCGGGCCAACGTCCCGCCCTAGCCGTCCCTGGGTATCGTGCCATTCTGAGCTGCCCATGTTCGCAGTTCAGCCCTTCCCGCCTCTGCGCAAAGCCCCATTTCCAAATTCGTGGCCCTTCGTCTGTCTCGTCGTACCAAAAGAGAAGGCCGTCAGCGCCAGACGCATCTGTCATGTACCTTGTGTGTCTCAAACCATGAGCCCCAGAACCCAGACGCTGATCGCTATGCAAGCTTCAAGATGGATCCCTGTCCTCGTCCTCGCGTACCTGACGGCTGCCCCGCCGTTGGTCTTCGTCTCCGATGGCATCGGCGCCGGCGCTGCTGTGGTCGTCGGTGCGCTGAATGTGGTGATGACCGTTGGCCCAAAAGGATAGGAGAAGCTGAGTGTCGATACTGCAACACCAGAAGGACCAATCGTGATGGTCTCACCGCCGATGACTGTAGTCGTGGTTCCCCTTCCAGGACCCACGGTAAATGTCGTGCCTCCCACAACCACCAGCGAGGCTCCCACTTGGGTAATTGTTGCGCCTCCCACGATCTCATAGGTCGTGTCCGTGGGCTTTGCGTAAGGCCCGCCCATCGTCATGTTGTGCACAACAACCCCTAAAGGACCGACTAAAATAGTATCGTCGTCGACGACCTCAGTGATGGTGGATGAAACCAATCCATAAGTGAGTGTTGTCGAGCGAATAACTACGACAGTTGGACCAATGACAGTCATCATTTCGCCGCCTGCAACCACAATTTGTTTTTGCTCCTGGGCCGATCGACTGATCGAAACGGTTTGTTCCGGGAAGACGATTCCTGACGACTGAATCGTGATGGTCTGGCCCTGGACCACAGCCGTCACAGGTGTGGGTTGCAACTCAAACGTCGTTCCGCCCACCACGACGACGTTTTGCGACCTCTGCGGAGAAATTATGACAGGTATTTCTCCTACCATAGTACTCGAAGGTGCTACGGTGCTTCGGCCACCGTTAGCCGGCCGGTGAATGACTGTGCCTCCACCAACTACCTCGCTCGGGTTGATAGTAAAATGAGCACCGCCGACGTCGACATGGGTTGTCTCAGACGGCTTCGTCATGGTGAACGAGTGATCGTTGATGATCACCTTGGTGGGCGCGACGGTGACAGTGTAAGTTGCCTTCGGAGGTTCTTTCGCAGTTTCACGTGGTGGCACAGGCGAATCTGGTGGCCTCTGATCTTTGGGAGGGGGTCGGTCGGTAGATTTCTCTGCGGGTTTCTCCACAGCTGTGTGCTTATCTGGCGGGGGCTTCGTCTCAGAATTTTGGCCGTATCGTGGTGTACTGATGGTTGAAAACACGACTGACGGATTTTTGGCTGTCGTTACAAAAGTGAACGTCGTATGAGGGTCTACCTTCCACGACGTCGCTGTCGATGGCAGCCCAACTATAGTACTGGTGCAACTTATTCCACTGCATGGCAGGACGGTTGACCTCCCTGGAGCCGATTCGGTCGGGGGAGCACAAGTGATTGGCGTGGTGATTTCGGGGTACGGTGGTGTATAATCCTTGGGATCTCCATAGAAAGTTGTCGTTGAAGTATACACAATGGAGAATGTGGTCGGCATCTGCCCATCGGTTGTCGAAATGCACGTCGGCTCTGGGTCAACACTCACGGAAGCTGACATTGTGATCAAATGATCCCTACCAGTCGTGGTCGACGAAGTTATCGTAGTTCTGCTGGGGGTTTGCGATATCGATGTTGGGACATTGCCGGTGGAAGACGATGGTTTCAGACTTGATGTCAGAGTCGTCAATGAACTCGAGACTCGAGTCGACGTATTGTTTCTGGCGGTTGTGATTTGGGAGAAGGTGTTTGAAGATGTGTATGAACTTGTGCCGGGAAGGTCTCTAGTAAACGACAAGTTTGGCAGTTGTGACGTGCTGACGACGCCTGGGTTCTCAGAAGCCCAAGTCGCCACAACGATCGAACTGCTCGAGATCTGCGAACCGAATTCGTCTGATGTCGTCGGGTTGAAGCCGCCTATCCTTGTTACACCTGCGGCTGAAGAGATGATTGATAGCTGGCCAGGCGTGCCCGGTAAACTGCCGCGCGCTATTGAGCTGGTCGAAAGTGTTTCGCCTTGAATGAACGAAAATGCGTCTTGCGACGGAGAGCTTGTCAAGCTTGCCAGGCTTCCAGGCGTCGTGCCGTAGAATCCTGCAGCTTGACTTGGGAGTTCATCCCCTGCTGCAAAGCTGTTAGTCTGATAAATCCTGACCAGTTGATTGTTCGAATTGTAACCCACCAGTATCAGTATCGGTCGCATCAACTGAAGTCGAGAATGCGGCCAAGGAAAGCAGCGCGATGTTGACAAGCATTGCGATGCTCCGTCTTCGGGGACCGCTGTCGCTTCCTCTCGCACACAACCCTGTTCGCTTCGCCATTGTAATGGGATCGCGAAAATATGTCGATGTCGCGGCCACGTTCAAAACGCGACTATCGTACGCTCAATTGCACCCTCTAAACCGAGATCAAATCATCACTGATCAAGACAAGTGGTGTGAATGGAGGCTCTGTTGCAGCAGGAAAGGAGCAACGGCCAGCCAGCCCGGACGCCGCTCGCATTTAGGGTGCGGATGTGTTCATAATCGCTGCTAGTTCCGCGTGCCTGGAAACGCGCGGTCAACTTGCGAAGAAAAAAAGACAGGGAAACGACGCAGTTGCCCTATGTTCTCTAGTGCAGTCATATTCCACGATTTCGAAGGTGCCAGCCGTATGTGCCACTTACACACATGAGCCAATTCATTTGAGCTGGCCTGCCGTCAGCTTAAGACCGGCGCGGCTGGGCCCCTAGCGTCGTACCATACAGGCACCGGGGACTGCCTGTCTGGGATATGGGACCGACGAGATAGAGTAGCGCTGAAGCTCTGGCTACCACTGGTGATGTTGCTGCAGGTTCTAGAGTTGCAGTAAAGGATGCACTTTTGCAGGCTTGGGTCTTCGATCTTGACCAGTGAAATCTGTGAGCATTCTAGGCTGCCTTATTCCGGTATGCAGGATAAGACGGTGTACGAGGACAAAAATCCTTAGCGGCCAATTGCTGCCAGTCGACTGCGGCCATTGGCCGTGTTTTGAGCTCGGAGAAATGCCTGAGTGTATCTCTGTTGTGCTCGTAACCGGTCACGAGGATCGAGCAGGAGGTGTCCCGATCCATGAACTTTTGAGCCCGCGCCGTTGATAGGGAAATCAGGCAAGGCCCGATTTTCCGTTGTGTAACCACTTCTGAGGAAGCTGGTTCCGTCGGTAATGTAAGGGTTCGACTTTCCGATGCTTTGCCGTCACTCCGCACAACGAAGCCAGTCTTCAATCGGAATCGAGCTCTGATATCATCTCCTTTGGCAATTCCCCAGAATCATTGAAAAGCATGGCACTAGTCGTATTTGCGGTTTAGCTGGCAGGTAGAGAATGGCGGAAGCTTACGTTGTTCCACCTTAATCTCACTTAAGCTTCTTCCGAGAGTTGGCAGTTGAGTACGTGTTGTGAATGGCGGATGGCTGGTTGAGACACTTCCGCGATCCACCGTAGCCAACTATCCTGAGGCCCTGTGTAACGATTGTGTGTGTAAGATGAATCCGCCCTCCGCGGCGTGGCTGTTTTGAACATGCAGACAGGGCCGATTTGCTCGGCTTTTAGATGAGATGTAACGGGAGGCGCAATAATGGTCCAGTAGTTGAAGCTACCGCCCAACCAGGAGACAAGATTCTCGGCGTTCAAAGAACGTGCTGACATCCCTCGTGTTTAAAGGGCACGAAGGAAGTCTCGAGGACTACCAGTCAATCATCGTCGCCGCACTGCTGCGGCACATAAGGCTGACTGAAAAAGAGGGTGTCACTGTGCTGACCATCCAGCCACTTCACCCTGCATGGCGCATCAAGACCCAACTTTCGTTCAGCCTGTTGGCGGACTGTGCAGTTGAGAAGATTTACCGGTCGGTGTAAGACGGGTCGAAGCAGGGTCAATCCAAGTCTCGACGGACGGGCCTGGTGGATGTCCCCCCCCCTCGGCATTTGCTGTGAGAGATTGGATGTTCTGTGCTAGTTGAATCTCACAGAGTCGCCATTTCCGATTCCCGTATGCTGGCTACGGTGATGGCCGACATCAGGCCATGTCTCCATGATGACCAGCTGCAGGAAGAGATGTATGTACCGCAACTCGCGTGCAGAGACGAGGCAACGAATGGAAACGCAACAGACATTCGGCGGTAAGCCAAGATGCAATAGACAGTTGCCGAGCCCTGGCGTTGTAACAGACTCACCAGCAACATGGGACTGAAGACTCGCAGTCGACACCTCGCGCGGGGTCGTGTCAACAGACCCAAGAATGCGAGTCAGCACTGCCAGCCGAGTTACTGCAGAACGGTGATAGAATTTGGCTGAAGATTGAATTGTGCCTTCTTTGACCCACGTCTTGCTCGTTCGTGTAGTGCCGTTCCCGACCGTTTCGCAGCCGTCATCGGCGTGGAAGAAAGTCGCGCGGCCATGTTGCTGGTCGTGGAGGTGGTTGCTGCCGTCGAAAGCGCTCTTTTCTCTACCATCCCCAGACTCCATTTGCTTCCTTGTCGGACTTGTTAGAGGCAAAAGTGTCGCCGGGTTGTGCTTGGCACCCGTCTTGGTATTGAGCCCAGCCAGGCTGATGAGGTGTGTCAAGTAGACGAGGCTAGGTCGCTAAGCAAGAAAAGTTTGTTTCGCTGAGGTTTCTTCTGTCTTGACTGGGTGATGATTAGTGAGGTTGTTATAAAACACTTGCTGGGACTATTTCCAGCCGAGTCCCGAAGAAGCCGGTGTCCCAAGGCCTCGAAATGTTGATTGGAACCTCGGCAAGGTTCTAGGGCGTGTCCCGTCCGGCACTGTTCCGGGTGATGATACCGCGGTAACAGAAACAACGTCGTTGGTTGCGGGTAGGCTCTTGTGTCAAGCAATCATGGCTGCGACAGTACCTTGATGTTTCTGCGTCGCGTCGCGAGGCGAGAAACCTCGCACGCAAGTCTGGTTGAGAGACAACTGGCGGGCGTGAAGTCGAAAAGTCACAACGGACTTGGGGGCGGCAGACAACGAGGCCCAGAATAGAGACTATCCATGAAGGCGGGTGTATAGTTGCCGTGATAAGAGGCAAGCATCAGGTCCAGCTTGTGGAGCAAGTGGTGCAGCCGCAATGAATTGGGGAATGGAGATGGCCGTGGGGCACTGCCACTGTGGCATTGGAGATGAGGGAGACGAGGGTGATCCGTCGCTGTGGAACGGTGATGTGCATCATCGTTACTCCATTGGGGGCCTGGTTGGTACCAACAACGGGAGGATGTCGAGGTCGAAATCAGATCACCAACCAGGCGACAACTGATCAGGTGAGGCGAGGTGAGCCGGCTGAGCTGACTTCCATTGAGTCCCGAGGTTCTGCTGGAAGCTGCTGACTGTCCCGCGGCCGCGTCTGGCTAATTACCTCCAATGCAAGAGCGGACGGAGGTGGGGGGACAGGAGACGGGACGGAGACTCCGGTTCTTGCTGGTGAGTGGAGGTATTGATGGAGGAGAGAAGGCCAGGGAAAATGGACTCAACTTGATGGAACTGACAGAACCTTAACGGATACCTCATGTGCCTGATGCTTGAAGCGTTAGACGAGGGCTGCCAGGTCCCGTCTACTTAGTAAGATACCTACCTACTGACTGCATAAGCGGGGGTTCCTTACACGGAAGGCCAACCCGTCGTGCCACCGCGAGAATTGCTCTTTCCTCGGGTTTTGGTCATACGGCCGGGAAGGCAGCAGCGATTTTTGGCGGGCTCCTTCCCAATCCAACTTGGTCGGGGGTCTGGCAGCCTGGGTACTCTTCCCACCAACATCACTTCTTGTTTACCAATTCGTTACTTCACAATGCCAACTTACCGACAGATACGGGTACGGGCTTCCTATCAGCATGAATGTCAGCGCCAGCGTCTTGGATCTGTCCTCGGGCTCGACTTTGGACTACCCTACCTCACCTACCTAGTGGCGTGGGCTCATCGCCAAGTTCCAACGCCCTCGATCGTTCTACGAATACGCCAACCTGCTTCTACTTCAGCCACGGACCCTTCTTCCTCCTCGTGGCGTCGGAGCCCCATCCGCTAATAGTCGGGTACTCGCGCTGCCAATGGTCGTTCGCCCGCAATTGCAGAACAATATGATTCAAAGTCTTCCCCCAGGTTGATTGCCTCGACCTCTGCGACTTTAGCGAGATGGGCCACGCAAGGAACAACCTGTGGAAGCATCCCATGACCAACCACAGCAACCTGTGCCGCGCGAGCAAACTCGGCCAGGAAATGGCAGGATGGCGGACTGCATGATCGGCCAGGACCTCTCTGGGTCAGCTCAGCTCGTCAACATGGTAATTAGCTGCACACTTGCACCGGGTCAACAGTCCTATCAACACCTGATTGGTGCATGCATCTTCAATTTTCAATTCGGAAGCTTCGCAAAAGCCTGAGATACCGCTACGGACCCGTCGTTAGGCTATCAGTCCCCGACGTTGCTGTCGAGGCCACCGTTTTTTCTGACTCTAAGCCAGTATAATCTTGTTGGATGTCCCGTCTGTTGTGTACATTCGTCGCATCTCGAGGGGCAACGACAACACAGACAAAGGCGGTTGTTCAGACACTCGATCGTCCAAGCGCGGCCCAGCTAGCAGGTTTATGGCTCTTCCAACTTGCTTGCGCCTAACCTCTGGCGAAGCTGTGGCAACCTCCAACTCCATGGCTAAGCTGTGCGACTCACCAATTGTGCATCCCGCTACAGAAACGGCCAAAACTCAAAGAGGCATCACCTCAGCCCTCGCCTCGTGTCGCCAAGGCGTCTCCGTTCGCAAACATGCAGGACGTGGAATCTCGCGGATCAAGTGCCCACTCAACCCCCGCGAATCTCTCGCGCCTGATGTCTCGCTTGCTGCGTCTAACTCAAATCTTTCCGCCAGAGGATAGTCATATCGCCATTCTCAACCCCAGTACTGATCGAATCGCCGTGATACACTGGCATGTCAACATCTTGACGTCCGCTACAGAGGCGGCGGCGGCGGCGGCGGCGACACCACATCCCGACCCGTTCCATTCTTGCAGCCTCTCGATCTCTTGCGGGGCGGACACATGGTTGTCGACTCTGGAATGGACGACAGCAGCCATGCTGCTCACAGAGGCTTGTCATGCTCCGCCGCGCTTGTCCTGATGCAGGCAAAAGCACTGTGTGTCGATAAGAAAGCAGGGATATCTGCTTTGTACCCCGGTCCCCAGCTTTCCCAAGAACGACGGGACCACGAGACCGGTGCTGGACGGGGCCCTGGTCCTTGTCTCACACCCCGACGTGCCATTGAGCCACCCGGCCTTCCCTTGCTTGTTGCGGCACAGCCCATGTCCAGGTCGGTAGGGCCTGGCTCGTCCTTGCTTGGATAGCCATGGACGCTACTTGGACCGGCAGCCACCCACTCAATTCAATGGCACAACTAAGAATTTCCTGCTGACCATTCAAGTGCCCGTCATTCCCCTCCTCTTCCCGTCTTCTGCTTCTCACGGCACACCGATTGCTTGACGAGATCCCTCGAATTGGCTTCGTGGACAAGCCATGATCTCGAACCAAGCCGAAAACATTGTGTGAACGACCAAACCCGGCAACGGCTTTAGTTGATGGACAAGCTTCTTCCTGCGATCCGCTCTCGCCTCGAAACGCCCATGCCGAACACAAGGACAAATTGGTGACTGCGCGCACCTCGAAAGAACCACCAGCCTGGTGCCACCTCAAATCGACGATATGCTATCAACTGTTCTCGTCGCAACGGTGCTGGCTGGCATCGTTCGCGCACAGAATCCCACCGCCGTGGCTCTCACTCCCTCATCTGACTGGTATTTTTGGAACGCATCTATTCGAAATATACGGCTCTGACCAGTCTTTAGGTATGGCATCGACGGGAACTGGTCGACCGTCAAGTTCCAGCTTGGCACGCCTAAGCAGTCGGTCAACGTTCTCGTGAGCACATCACTATCAGAGTTCTGGGTTGTTGGTTCTGGTGGCTGCATCGCAAGTGAGTTCATGCCTTTCATTGCCGCCTCCAGTGATTCCTTGGCTAATTCCACAATCAAGAGGAGCCTCTCTGCAATGCCGCTCGGGGCAACGTTTTCACGGTTGCCGACTCCAAGTCTTGGGACCCGTTGGGTGGATGGCAACTCGGCCTCGACTACCTTGGCTACGGCGGCAATGGTGATTATGGCTTGGATTCGCTTTCGACGACTACCATGGCGGGAGATGCTATTAGCATGGACAACATCATCACGGCTTCGATCAATAGTACGGATTACTATCTCGGCTTCCTTGGTCTCGGCATCACAAAGGGTAGCTTTGGCAATGAAATTGCTGAGTCGCCCCTCACACAAGCCGTCAAGACTTACGGCTGGATTCCTAGTTACAGCTATGGCTATACTGCCGGAGCTTATTACAGTATATCTATCATCCCCGTCCGTCGCGCCCAGTACTAACGTTCTACAGAGGGCACTTCTGGCACGCCGTGCTCAATTACACTTGGAGGTTACGATGCCAGCCGATTCGTGCCTCACAACACGGAATTCTCCTTGGATCCCAGTGACGGACTGCCCCATGCTCTGGTTCGAGGTATTCAGGTCACCGCGGATGATGACAAGCCAGTTCCAAGTGGCTGGGATTCCCGAACTCGACTTTTGTCCAACATGTCAACTTCATTTTCAGCCATGATCGACAGCTCCACTCCCTACCTTTGGCTACCAGATGCCATCTGCGACGAATTCGCCAAAGCTTTCAACCTCACCTACAACAGCACTTTCGATCTTTACACAGTCACTAATGACCAGTACGCTGCCTTCAAAGCCGGATCGTCGTCTTATTCCTTCACGTTCTCCTTCACAAGTCATGACAACACCGACGATTTCGGACGCCCACTTCAAGTCCCTGGTGTAGTCAACATCACGATTTCAGCGGCAGCATTCGCTCAAGTTTTACGCTATCCGTTCATGGAGGGGACGATCGGATATGGCGACCCTGCTGTGCCATACTTTCCTCTTCGTCGCGCTTCAAACTTCACAAACACCTTCATCATTGGAAGATCGTTCCTCCAAGAAGCATACTTGATCACCAAGTATGATAGCGGTGTTTTCTCCCTCCACCAGGCACTCTTCCCGGAGAACCCGCAAGCGCACCTGAATGTGTCAGAAATCAAGCAACCTGACAACAGCCCGTATCCTCCGCCGCCTTCTCAAGGAAACATTCACGGCCTCTCAACGGCCCAGATGGGAGGTATCGTGGCTGGTGTGGTCGCAGCTTGTCTCATCTTAGTTATTGTGTGGTACTGCCTCCGCCGACGGAAGAGAGCAGCACGCAAAGCGGCAGCCCGGGCGATTGAGGACGGTAAGGACACAGCTTCAACCATCATGCCAGAGCCACCCAAGAGCCCAATGGCCAAGATCTTCTCCAGAATACTCGGCAGAAAGAAGGTTAGGACCCGCTCTCCCCTCGAGGTCATGGGCAGCACATCCCAGCCCATCGAAGTAGCAGCCGACACCAACCACGCAGTGTACGAGCTGCCGGCACCGAACGCTCCCATCGAATTGAACGGGGACGACAAGTCAGTTCATGAGCACTTCGTGTTCAACACAGAAGAGAGGCGAGACCTAGACTCGTACGAAACAGCAAGAAGAAAGGTGGAAATTCAGCTTCAAGGCCCTGTGCCAGCATACTCTCCGCCTGAGAATCCCGCAGACTTTCCGCCTCCTGAAAAATCAGTGCAAGACTTGGAGCCCGTCGCACCATACAGGCTAGCTGAGGTCAACTCGTCAGCATCTGCATCGACTCCTTCATCTCCCACGTCGCCAACCTCTGCCACTGCTTGCGACAACTTGTCATCCAATCAGGGATCCCTGCCGTCGCCGATGAGTAGTCCGCAGGGCAACTGGACGAATCGGATGTCGGACCTTCCCTCGCCTATGACTGATGAGCATACATACCCGTCGCCTTCCTTCACGCTTAGCAATTACGCGCACACAATGCCTCGGCCTGTCTCTATGGACAGTGAGATATTTTCCATGAACCGATCGAACTCATCCAGCGCGCCACCGTCCGCATCACTGCCGCTACTGCCTGTTTCTCCTGGATCGACATACCAGAGAACGCCTGTCGAGCCCTCCAACGTAGTTTGCGTTGGGCCTCTACCGGGCAACGTTTCTCTTTTGGAGCCCCAAGTAGTCGCCCCATTGTTTTCGCAAGGGAATACTCTTCTTCAAGTCCCCGACCTCGTAACTGATCGCCGTCTCTCGACCGATACCTTGGGAAGCAACTTCACCGAGTTCGAAGAGCAGCTCATGGCGCAGCAAGAGTTGACGAGACAGACGAGTCTGCCCGAGACCCAGCGAAGGAGCCGAAGCGCGGAGCCTAGTTTTTCGCGGACCCAGGGCCGACTCGACGGTACGGAATGGATTCACGTCCCGCAGCCTGCCGAGCGGCGATTCAGCTGGGAGGAGTAGTCACGAAGACACTGCCCTCAAAGAATCTTCAAACTTTTGCATTACTATTTATAATGCCAGCCGCGCCTCCATGTGGCGGTATATTATCTTTTTCTTTCATTCTCACTTTCATTTCGTCAAACATTATACGGATTATCGCGATATGCGATGGAGTTCTAGATACCAAGGGTCCGGCACGGGACACGGGCCAGTGGACAACGGCGTTTGGCTTATTTTATCACGAGAGTCCCGAAGTCTGTAGAGGTGCACGGAGGATGCCTGGGTGGACGCATCTTCGAGGGAAAACTAGAGACAGAAACAGCATCGCACATGAGGCCGGGGGCGACGATGACTGGGTCAGCATCGGATCAAAGGTCCGAGATGCCTTTTACGTGTACATGTATCACGAGATATCCATGGTCGAGGGCCAAAGGGCCTTCGAGGTCGAAGAGAAGAACATGTTAAAGACACTACAAAGCCCACATGAGTGAAGATGACCACGCAGATTATATGATGACTCTGCGCCTTTACTTCCCTTAGGTCGTTACTTCATCCGCGCAACTCGGATTACTTTCCATCCGCTGCCTGCATCTTTGCTGGTGTGAGCCAGCGCAGGATGTCCCATCACCCGTTGTGTCCCACAGGCGAGGCAGACATGAATAGAGACCTCAAAATACGTTGACGAGAGAAGAAGAATGCCGACGGGGAATTCAATCGGCACGCAACCTGCGGACCCGGCTTTCATTGGTATCTTGTATCTATCCATTAGACACTGGCATCCTTCTATATTCACGTCGAGCATTCCCCACTCTACTCCTCACTACAAACCAACTTTCGTCTAGTATGCACGAGCCGGACATCGTTTGAAAGAAAAACGATACGGTCTCCTCATCGCCGCATCTGTCGTCATCTACCAAATCTCCTCCCACCAGGTCAACTTTGCAAAAGCAGCCTCCACCGCCGCCTCGTCGGGATACGAGTCCTTGTCCCCGGCCAGGCAACTCTTGACGGCCTCCTTGACGGCACGCGACATTTTCAGACTGCCGCCGCAGACCACGAAGATGGCGTCGGAAGAGACCATCGCCCGGACCTCGGCGGGGCGCTTGCGGATCACGTCCTGCACGTACTCGCGGGGCGCGTCCTTGTCCCTGGAGAAGGCCGTGTGGACGTCGAGTCTTTTGTCGGCGGCGCTCCGGAGACGTTCCCAGACGTCCCGGAAGTGGAAGTCGGCGTGCCGGCTGCGGTTGCCGAAGAAGATGGCCGTGTCGCCCGTGTGCTCGTGCGAGAGGCGCTCCTCGACGAAGAGGCGGAGCGGGGCCACGCCCGTGCCGGTGGCGACGGCGACCAGAGGCCTGCGGGCGTTGGCGGGGCCGTGGAGGGAGGCGGAGCTGTGGTTTACAGTGACGCGGAGGGGCGTGCCGGTCGGGAGGGACTCGAGGTAGCGCGAGCAGAGGCCCTGGCGGGTCTTGCGGAGGATGGTCTTGTACTTGACGAGGGCGACGAGCAGCGCGGCGCTGGTTGTGCCGTCGTCGGGGTTGTGTGCGACGCTGGCGATGCTGAAGTCGCGGCCGCGCATGACGGGGAACATGTCGAGGACCCTGCGGAGGGGGATCCTCACCGAGGTGAACTCCTCCAGGACCTCGAGGATGGTGCGGCGCGGGCGGGTGGTGTAGTCGTAGAACTCGTCCGTGTACTCCCTCATGGTGAACTCGAGGAGGCGCTCCTTGTGGTACTCGTCGGTGGTGAAGTAGGACATCTCCTTGAGGAAGCTGCGGCGGGGGATGCAGGTTATGTCGAGGTTGTGGGTGAGCAGGTGGCGGAGGGTGACTGGGCTGTCGGCGTCGACGAAGAGGCCGCGCGGGAGGTCGGAGGGGATGGAGAGCGGGAGGTCGGCCACGGGGGACCAGTGCATTAGGTCGATTAGCTTTTGGACGTCTTGGGGGAAGTTTTTGGGAAAGATTGTCAGGCTGTCGAACGGGTTTATTGGAGGGTTGCCGGGGAGGGAGAGGGTGATTTGGCGGACGTCTTGGAAGTGTGTTGAGGGGGTTACGCGGTCGTTGCAGGTGAGAGTTGCCGTTTGGCTGGCTGTGATTGGAAGGAGAGTAGTTGGTGGTGTGTCGCTTATTTCCAGGGAGTCCGTCTTCTCGGTGAGGCTATCGATGGATGTCTGGAATTCGGGTTGTTGTTCTTTAGCATGGCCGTTGAGGTCGCTCGGGGTTTTGGCTGCGCCTGGAGTATCCGCCAAGGAGATACTATATCTCGGAGGCAGGAGAGCATCGTCCGGGATAGGTGAGAGATCCTCCGGGAGCGGGAATGTTTCGAGGAGCTTCTTCTGTAGATCCGCGGCCCAAGGCATATACCTCTCGTCGGCGCTGGTGCATTCGTCAGCCAAGTTCATAATAACATAGCGACTACTGTCCAACAACTACAGCTGGATGAGAACTGGCAACAGTTTTAACTACCACATGACCCAAAGCAACCTGATCTGAGTACGACTAATTGCCGTGAGGGCTGAAAGTCTGGGGATCCCTTATGTTTCAACAACACAAAGAGAACTCGACAGGGCACCGATCAGGGGCGATGGGTGGTGGTATAATTGCAGGTGGCGATGAACTACGGAGTAGAAGATATGCCGGATGATGGTTGAGATAGATCAGAGCAGACAAGAAACAAAGTTGAAAGCAACTTACCCATCTGAGTCTTGCTCGTCCGCCTCCCCGCGTGGGTAAAACTCTTGGGCCCCGAGCTGTTCAAGCCGCTTGTGAAGCTTCCTTGCTGCCCAGTTGAACCTATTGACAATGAATTAGACCCTGTCCTCTTGACAACCAATTGGAAGGATGTGATGTAAACATACTTGATGTACATGCTATCGCCAAGACCAAACGTCGTGAACTTGACGGCACCAAGACACCCCGGTGGCAACTTCTTCCTGAGCAAACTCTTCCAGAAGGCAATTGAGTTGCGCGGCATGTCTCCCTGACCTGTTGTCGAGATGACGAAGACGACCAGAGTATACTGCAATAGCATACTCTTGAGGATAAGAGTTAGCAGGGGTTGAAGACATGGATTAACAGACTCAAACCCCCTGTCTACAAGTCTGTGACGAAGAGCATAGGACAACGACAACATACCAGTTGAGCTCCGTTCATCTCGTCGACCTTGGTCTTGAAGTGCAGGCGCTGGGCATTTCGGCCCAGCTCTTCGGCGATGTCCTGGCTGTTTCCGGTTTCTGAGCCGTAGAGGATCAGCATGGACCGGCCGGGGATGTCGGCCACATGCGCCGGGTCGGGGCCGCTCTCCGGGATTGTCATTTTTTTCTTTGCTCAAATGGTCATTCGGCGGATTCAGGATCTGACAGAACCGGTTGAATCCAAAAAGGCCGAGCGACACGCAAAGAAAGAACGACTGACACCAGGCAAGAATATCCGCGATGGTAGATCAAGGTGTAAGTCGCGGGAGTGGTAAGTGACTCTTAGTAAATGCAGCTATGGGATTCGTTAGTGCGGAGGTCTCGGAGATGTTTTTCTTCGCCCCTCCAGCGGCATCGGAGCTACGAGCGAGCCATTCAGTGCAAGAAGGGATCACGTGCCGCTGCCCATTTGCGGGGTGAAGGTTGCTTGTCGTCGAGCAGCAACGAAAGAGAGCCGTCGGTAGAAAGTGCAAAATTCATCAGCTCCTTTGCAGAAACATTTTACTATGAAGCAGAAAATAGACTTGGTGGTCATAGGGTGATTGATTCGTGTGACGTGCTGGCCAGCCACAGACCGCATGGATAATACCCGACATCCGGGTCAGACGAATGAATCTGCGCCACAGATCCCCCCAACGAGGAACATCAGAGGCAGAGATACAGGGCTTGACTGCCGGGTCTGTCGCTAATCTTCTTGGGATTAGAGCGGCAACAGGTGGGTTGTGCCCCCCAAGATACGACGGCTCTAGGCCTTGTAAGTCAAGTCGCATGCGAGGTAACGGCTGAGCGGGCCACCGCGGACACGGGACGGCGGCGCCAGTGGCACCCTCGAGGCAAGGCGAGGGGACGGCGCCCCATCTTGAAGCTCCTGTGGAGAAAGTTCAAGGCAGGGAGGGAGGCCAGCTGGGAGATAAGGCGAAGTGCGGTGAGGGAAAAGCTTCCCGACTCAGGCTGTCGCCTCACCCGACTCACCTTCAGGAGCCAGATGCGAGAGACACTGCCATTGCAACGACAGTACAGAATAGTGACCAGTCGACAGGACTATTGAATTTGAGGGCTCTGGCGAATACGATGATGGTGGTCGAATGGCCGAAATTGTCTGTGGATCGTAGCCACGACAGACCGTCTCCTATTGATCCAAGCTGGCCGGAGTATCGTGTTCAAATATTGAATATCGGACATGAGAATGCAGAATTGATGAAGAACCGACAACAATCAAAAATTCTGCCTTCGTCCCTATTTCCTGCGCCGGCTTCGACCCCCTGTGTAGACAGACCCCTGGAGCCTTAGCGTTGAGAACCAGGGGACCCTCTCCAGAACTTTCATGCGCTCCGCGAAATCCAGTGGGCCTTGGGAAATTTGTTCATTCGGGTCCAATCTCGGGCACAAAAGCATCTCTCCGCGGTCCCATAGATACGGGAGTGCAGCGTCGACCGGGGACGGGAAACGGGTCCCTAATGGGCATACGCCGAGCCTGTTCAATGTCGGTCCGGATCAGCGGTCAGCTTGTGGGCATCCATCCAGCATCCAGCCTCAAGATGCCTTCAGTTGGACGACGAGTGTTGTCGATATTGTCGTCGCACTCAAACATGTCTTGTCTGGTTTCGGCTTGCTGCAGGGAAATGGGCAGCGCCGTTCGGAGACCCTACTGCAAGGAACCTGAATAGCCTGGCTCCTAGAGCCTGTCCTACCTCTACCTCAGTTAGTGTAGTCGCGCCTTAGGCAGGGTCGGACAGAGTGAGGCAACTCAATCGGCGTACCAAGTCATTGGTGGTGGACCCTTGGATTTAAATCTCCGGCGCATGTCTCTCGTCAACCAACACCGGAACGACGGCGAGAATCTGGCGATAGGGGTCGGAAAGAAAGTTGTTAGCAGCATACGCCCATGTGCTTGTTGATTGAGATTCCCTGCCGGTCCGAACTGTTGCTCAGATTGGATATCTCGCGGAACTTTGGGAAGATTCCGAGTTGCTTCTCCAACATTGTTATATCGGACAGCTGGCCAACTGGGGGAGGTTTTGCCGATGGAGCATCTCGTCAAGCTTCTGGAATAAAGCTTACTGCTTCCCCCAAAAGGCTAAGCCCCCCTCGGCCGCCAGAAGACGTCGGCGCTGTGCGTTGTTGGATGTCGGTTTCTTCCAAAGGTAGCTGTGTCTGCTGAGTGGAAGGACAGAGAATGAGAGAGAACGACATTGCAGCATAGCTCTCCACAAGATGGGGGCCGCGGGGCGTTTAATTGTTGCAAGTCTTGCCGAATTGGATCCTGCAGTGTCCGGGCCTTTTGGCCACGGCAAGCATATCTCACATGTAGGCTGCAAACTGGGCAAACCACAGAGACAGAGGCACGCGACTTGTTTGGTGAAGACGAGTTCGGTAGGAGATGGGAATCTGATATCCAGGCGCCATATCCATAATGCATCTGGCTTGCGCCAGCATCCGTAACCTCCGCGCAGAGAAGCCGTAGGTGCCGAGATCTCTGTCGCATTTCGGTTCTCAGCGTCTCCACGAAAACGCACATCAGCGGGTGGACACTGGATCAGGGCTGGCTTGGCTGGGATCCCATCGCAACCGTTTTGCGGGGGAAGAGTCATTTCATTCCCCTGATAGGCCGATGTTGTTGTCACCGCCTGGGCAGATCACACAGGATTCCGGCCGGAGGGAGTTGCATGTTTTGATGATGGTTGTGTGTCGCGTCTCCTTGGCCAGCCAGTCATGGAAGGAAATTGTAATGAATTGTTGTTCGAAGATAAGGCCATATTGCGATAATAAACACGTGGAAATGGGAAAAGAAAACCCATGCAAAGAACAACCAGCACCTCCTGCGTTCTGTGCAGGGGTGATGTCGGTCTCTTTCTGCTGGAGCCCGTGCCCTGTGGCTGCTGCCAGCTCAGCTGAATGTACCTGCCATGTCCAACACTATCGCGTGGATCCTTCCTAATGGATGACATTTCACCTGCATCACTCACCTCCTCTTGGTACGTACCGTCTTGAGTCGACGCCGACCGCCTTTCGTCTCAAGGTGGTTGCGACCGACCCCTATGCGCTGGAGAGGGATTCTTGATGACTTTTGTTGATTTACTCAGCAACCGTAGGAGCACGAACAACAGCTCAGTTGTCAGCTACCTTAAGATAGTTACCTCTTGAGATTGGATGCCACCTCAAGTTGTTCGTATTAGCGTCCCTTAGGTATCACAACCACCAGATTTGGTCATTCCTTTGGTAAATATATGGTAATCACGACACCTCGCTCTTGCCATTCCGTCATTCGGTGAGGGAAGCTGCCTGGCCGTCATTTCCATTCGTGCTTTCCCCCTTCTCACCCCTGTCCGGCTGCTGCAGACATAATAGGCAAGTACCCACCCATACCCTCGTCCTTCCGCACCGCCACACCTGCCCATTCGACGGTCTTGCCATCCCATGGACTCCCAGCCAGTGGGTCGCGCCTGCTGTTCGGTGGGTTTGCGCCTCGCTTACCCTCGTCCCTCGTTCCCCCCTGCTCACGAAAGGAAAGGAAAGGAAAAAAAAATATTTGTATTTCAGGTCGCGGCTTGACCTCCCTTCCTCTCCTCTCCTTTCCTCCACATCACAACTTCAAGATCCAGTGTCACCGCGCAACGCAACGTCGTCTGTCAACCTCTCTCAAGCTTTCTAGGGCACCAAGCTACCCTGAGAAAATTCCCCCCTCCATTGTTTCAGAGTTCAATCTCCTCGAACTTCAATCCATCAAGCCTACCGAACCAACGCTCCTGCTGCCAGGTCCCGAGTTCGTCCGCACGTCATCCGTCACCTCATCATCCTAAACGCAATCTTCAATCCAACCAAACCTCTTCTTCATCCAGCCAAATACCGCCAACATGTCTGCTGCCGTTGAAAAGGTTTCCGAAGCCATCGATGACGTTACCAACGCTCTGAGCAATGCCACCATCTCCGACAAGGCCGCCGATAAGCCTGCCGCCAACAACGATGCCGTTCTCGCCAGCGCTGCTGAGGGACGCCGTCTCTACATCGGCAACCTGGCCTACGCGACAACTGAGGGGGAGTTGAAGGAGTTCTTCAAGGGTTACCTTGTGTAAGTCTCCTATTTTCTTGTCACTGAACATGTGTCGTCATACCCCGTAGCTCGCTGGAGCTTCGGCCTGAGTCGCACTTTCCTTCCCCAGCACTAGCACTGGACCACTTCTCAGCTGCGTCCCTATTCCCCGGTGCACTGCACACCACTTAATCGTTGGCTACATCGCCTCGGAGTCATCTTGCAACGACTTGGAATCTAGTCGCTGTCGCGCACCCATGCAGACCGCCTCTCTCCGATGTCACGATGTTGCCCCGTGGCCTCTCCTCCCTCAACAGCCCCGCAAAATTCCACCCACTTGCGTCACGCGTGCCAGCTCATACTGACCCGCATTTTCCCACAGCGAGTCCGTCTCCATTCCCAAGAACCCTCGCACCGACCGACCTGTTGGCTACGCCTTCGTCGACCTCTCCACCCCCACTGAGGCCGAGCGCGCCATCTCCGAGCTTAGCGGCAAGGAGATTCTGGAGCGCAAGGTCTCCGTTCAGCTTGCCCGCAAGCCTGAGCCTGCCGGAGAGAAGACTGAGGGTGCCAACGGAGAGGGCGCTGGTGAGGGCAACCGCCGCAGACCTTCCGGTCGTGGCCGTGGACGTGGCCGTGGCCGCGGTGGTCGTGGCGCCCGTGGTGGCCGCGTAAGTCATCATAATATCGCGTTTGCTGGACTTTACTGACGTTTGCTTAGGAGGACGGTGCTGAGGGTGCTGCCCCTGTTGAGGCTGCCGCCGAAGTCCCTCCTACCTCCGAGGTTCTGCCTTTGACCGACGCCACCAACAAGAACGCTACTGACGCCAGCAAGACCGAGAAGCCTGCTCAGGCTCGTGCTCCCCGTGAGCGCCGCGAGCGTGGCCCCCCGGCCGACGGCATTGCCTCCAAGACCAAGGTCATGGTCGCCAACCTCCCCTACGACCTGACCGAGGAGAAGGTGAGTCTTGTGCGGAGAACGTGAATGACAAGCGGCTGACAACTGCATAGCTCAAGGAGCTCTTCGCCGCCTACGACCCTTCCTCCGCCAAGATCGCGCTTCGCCCTATTCCGCGTTTCATGATCAAGAAGCTCCAGGCTCGTGGCGAGCCCCGCAAGGGTCGCGGATTCGGTTTCGTCACTCTCGCCTCTGAGGAGCTCCAGCAGAAGGCCGTCAACGAGATGAACGGCAAGGAGATTGAGGGCCGCGAGATCGCCGTCAAGGTTGCCATTGACAGCCCTGACAAGACCGACGAGGAGGCCAACTCTCCTAAGGAGGAGACCAAGGCCAACGGCACCCAGGAGGCTGCTGCCGCCACCTCTACCCCCGCTGCCGCCGCTACTCCTGCTGCTGCCCCTGCTGCGGAGGCTACCCCCGCCGCCGCCGCCGCTCCCGCTACCACCACCGCCTAAATCTAGGCAACCCAATCTTACCCAGCCACGGCATATCGTCTTTGAACCAGTCTTCGAAGACGCCGCCTTAACGAGCTTCATGATGCGGTATCTGTTACGACGATTTCCCCTTTTTTGGAAGTGCCCCCAAAAAAAGAGGTGGCCAATACATCTACGTCTGCTCTCTCCAGACTCGTTCTCGGTAGTTAGGCAAGACAAAGATGTGCAGCGCTGCCATCATCACTAAATTAATACACACGATCTCACCGGCCACCTTTCCGGTATTTGTTACCTACCTCCATTTTCTCCGTCACCCTGTGCTGGGTTGTACATTAGCTTTAGCTCGAGGCGGTCTGGAAGGAAGAGGAAAAGTTCGGCGCAAAACGAATAAAATCGGGTAGCTTTTTGCAGTTCATGACAGATCTCCACTATGCGCAAGTGACTACGTGATGTATCCATCGCAAACAGTAAGATTAGAGTTGCAGAATGTAGTTCTAGTCTGCGTCCGTCTGAACGTCAGTCTCCGCATGATGGGATATGCGGATACCTCCAAGGTGTTTGGCGGCTGGGTGGAATCCAGTCGGTTTCAGTGGCGCCCGTCATGTTTCGTGGGCTGTCATTGGTGACGCCGGAAGGGCCCAAAAGCCAAGTGTCCCAGAGCCAGTCCAGACCCTTTTTGTGCTTCCGAGTCCCCAGAACCCCCATGGAATGTTTTGGCCCCTGTCTGTCTGTAGCCGTACACGTCAACCTCGCATGTGCTTTGACTTGATACTGTGCCTCTCAGATAGACGCCACAAAAGAAGACGACAGAGAAACACCACTTTCGATAGTGACACGGATCAGCCTGGTCGGGAAAAGCGAGCAGTCTCGCCGGGTTAATTGAGGCTAAGGTTGCGTGTACTCCGTACCACTGGACCGGAGACAGCCTGCCGCGCTAGGCACCTTAAATTAAGAGCAAGGCCAGCTGTCGACATCCGCCCGGATTCTCGTCCCCTGGGCTGTAGAAACCACGACCCCTTATCGGCACCCAACTTTGAAAGCCCCTCCACAAATACTTGACAACCTCGAGCATACCTCAAACCGCGCGACCCGGTCTTCACATTCCGCTCTTTATTCGAGACCACTGAATTCTTCCCACAATGGCTTCCAAGGCCATGTGGGAGGTCGATCCCGAGACGCGAGCCAAGGTGAGTTCTTTCTTTTTACCAATGACGTGCAGTGCGACTGCGCGGCTCCCAGCTGACTCCCTTGTCCTTTAGCTGGCCGCGATCCAAAAGGAGGCCAAGAACAACGTCTGCTGCGACTGCAACGCGCCCTCGCCGCAATGGGCCTCCCCGAAGTTCGGCATCTTCATCTGCCTATCATGCGCAGGCGTTCATCGCGGCCTCGGTGTGCACATCTCGTTCGTGCGCAGCATTTCCATGGACGCCTTCAAGCAAGTCGAGATCGAACGGATGCGCCTCGGCGGCAATGAGAACTGGCGTAACTTCTTCGAGCAGCACGAGGACACCAAGATGAGGGGCATCTCGTGGGACGATGCGACCATCGCCGAGCGATACAGTGGAGAGGTTGGTGAGGAGTGGAAGGACAGACTCACGGCCAAGGTCGAGGGCAAGGAGTACGTGCCGGGTGAGAAGAAGGCCGCGCCCGCACCCGTTGCGAAGCCCGTCAGCAGGACCGCCACGCCGCTGGGCGGCACCGACAGTCGCTCCGCCAGTCCCGGCAGGAAGGTGAAGGTGGACGACAAGTACTTCTCCAAGCTGGGCGCCGAGAACGCCTCGAGACCAGACGACTTGCCGCCGAGCCAGGGCGGTAAATATGCAGGCTTTGGCAGCTCGCCCATGCCCGAGAAGAAGGACGGCGGCATGCCGACGGTGGACGAGCTACAAAAGGACCCGATGGCCGCTCTGACCAAGGGCTTCGGCTGGTTCACGACCACCGTCTCAAAGACGGCCAAAACCGTCAACGATGGCTACATTCAGCCCACAGCGAAACAGGTGGGTGACCCTTCTACTTCTACTACTGGAATTCCGTCTCCGCCCGCGCCGGCCCGGACGAAGAGATCGGGACTAATACGTCGTCCCCCAGCTGGCTGAATCCGACTTCGCGAGACAAGCACAGGTTGCCGCCGGCCAGGTCGGCCGCGTTGCGCAACAAGGCGCTCGCAACGCCCATGATGGCTTCAACCGTTTCGTCGAGGGCCCCGGTGGCCAAGGTGGTCAGGGGTCAAGGCAGGTGCCCATGGACGAGAGCAAGAAGGATTTCTGGGACAGCTTCTCGAACCTGGCAGACCAGAGGCAGCAGAACAGCGGTAGCTCCATCGGAACGTCTGCTATGGGCAAGAAGACCGGCGGAGGCACGGCTCCTGCTGCGAAGAAGGATAATGATGGGTGGGATGACTGGTGAGTGGTGTTTGTTTTGGGTGATTGGGGGGGTGTTGAGCGTTTGTCGTACTTTGGCAGGCCTGCATATAGTAGAATATCAATTTTGTTGCAATATCAATGTTTGAAATCGGACCTGCGGCCATCGTTGCTGTGACCGAAGAGGTCGACATCGGGCCAACAAGCCAATGTCTCTCACTGTGAAAACACTGCAGAGACCCGCGCACTAGAGCCTGAGCCGTCTTTGCAGCTAGATATCAAGGAAAATCATCAGTTGATCAACTCTCGGGGAGTATGTTACCTCAAGTCGGCGTCTCTGTGCTTAATGACCGAAAATGGTTAGGTGGGGCGATGACCCGAGGTTAGCCGGTATCGCTGCACCGGAGGTCCCATTTTCCCCAGTGACGACACGGCACGGCCAACTTCGAACTCGAGCTGCCATTCCCAATCCCACCCCACTCCCGACCGCAACAGCATCAACTCTCCGAGGCCATTGATCAAGCCAAAAGAGAGTCCCAAAATGTCCGCCCTCAGAATCCTCGTCCCCGTCAAGCGGGTCATTGACTACGCTGTGAGTTTTTTTTTCGAGATTCTCTCCCTCGTCAACAGAGATTTGGCTTGTGATGCGAGGACCGAGCTGACTTCGGACAAAACAGGTCAAGCCCCGAGTCAACAAGGCCCAGACGGGCGTCGAGACGGCCGGCGTCAAGCACTCGATGAACCCCTTCGACGAGCTCTCGGTCGAGGAGTCGGTCCGCATCCGCGAGAAGAAGCGCGCGCCCGGCGGCGTCGAGGACATCACCGTCATCTCGGCGGGACCCCCCAAGGCCGTCGACGTGCTCCGGACGGCCATGGCCATGGGCGCCGACCGCGCGATCCACGTCGAGACCAAGGAGGGCGACGACCTCGAGCCGCTGTCGGTCGCGAAGCTGCTGCACAAGGCGGCGCAGGAGCACAAATCCAACCTCGTCATCCTCGGCAAGCAGAGCATCGACGACGACGCGAACCAGACGGGCCAGATGCTGGCGGGCCTCCTCGGCTGGTCGCAGGCGACGCAGGCCAGCGAGGTCAAGTTCGGCGAGGGGGACAGCGTCAGCGTCACGCGTGAGGTCGACGGCGGCGTGGAGACGGTCAAGGCGAAGCTGCCGCTCGTCATCACGACGGACCTGAGGCTGAACGAGCCGCGGTACGCCAGCTTGCCGAACATCATGAAGGCGAAGAAGAAGCCGCTCGAGAAGAAGAAGCTGGCGGACTACGGCATCGGAGGCGAGAAGAGGCTGAAGGTCTTGAAGGTCACTGGTGAGTCAAATCTGCGATTCGTGTGTGGTGTGTCGGCGTTGGGAGTGCTAACGGATTCCCGCAGAGCCTGCTCAGCGACAGGGCGGTGGCAAGGTCGAGGACGTCGGCGGTCTTGTTTCCAAGCTCAAGGAGCTCGGCGCCTTGTAAGGGGCGTGACTTAATAGTCTGTATCAGTACTAAAGATATATCGGCAATAGATTTGTTTGAATCAAGCTCTTGGTCGTTTGTCTGCGTCGTCTAGGGGCCGCCATGATCTACTGAGTAGACAGATGTGAAGAACCGGGACGAATCACACGCGAAAGTCGACCGCAATCCTGTCTATGCTGAATTGCAGGTAGTATTTGCGTGGAAGCCAAAGACTACACATCAGTACCATTGTTGATATGGTAGCGAATGCGGATCTAATCACAGGGCAATTTGCACCATGGCGATCCTTAACGTTTGGCCGCTCGGATGTTGACGACATATGCTGACAGGCGACCTAGATGTTGTGACGAAAAGTCAACCGATGGATACGCCAATCCATTTGGCAGGAGTCGTTCTTGGCGAGCATCGACCTCCCTGGCCATATCACCAATGTCATCGGATCCCTCTGAGTTCATGCATAGAAACAGACTCTGAGAGAAGCTTCGGATCAGCCAAAGTGTGCTACAGCACCAATGTGAAGAACTCGCGAATGTGTACTGAAAGCGGCGAAAGCCTATGCTTTGGACTCTTCCGCCATCGGACAGAGCCGCATCGCCTCGGCATGGGCAAGGTGTTTGGAGCGTTGCCTAACTCTCACTTTCTACTCAAGCTCACCCCTGTTATCACTTTCATCTCTATCGAATGCAGCTCTCAACAATCGCCTAGAAAAGGCTAGAAAAGGGGACGTGTCATTCTCAATATGGCATAAGGCTTCCCTATGTAACTACATACGTCAAGGTTCTAGTCTGTGGCATCCTTAACTTGGCCGTACGAAGACCCTCCAGCAGCAGCATCAAACTCCATCGCCTCATTCAACCCAACGATCGAGAACAACTTGCGCGGCGTGAAATCCTTCTGCGTCCCGACTTCGCCCGTCTCCTTCAGTCTCTTCAACGAGTCCCGAATAGCCTCGTACGCCGGCGCAATGGCCGCGAACGGCACAATCATCATCCTGAACCCGATGTCCTTGGCCTGCGCGGCGGTCCACGACGGCGTGGAAGCGTGCTCGACCATGTTCAGCAGGACCGGTGTCGGAGCGAGAACCTCGCATGCCCGCCTGGCCTGCTCCTCGCTCCTGACGCCCTCGAGGAACGCCACGTCCGCGCCCGCCGCGACGGCCGCCTTCAACCTCTCCAGCGCCTCGTCGAACCCGTGAGTCTGCAGCGCGTCCGTACGCGCGATCACGACGATGTCAGATCCGATCTTCTGCCGCGCCAGCGTGGCGGCCTTGATGCGTGCCGCGAAGACGTCGACGTCGACGACTTCCTTCCCCGTCAGGTGCCCGCACCGCTTCGTCTGCACCTGGTCCTCGATGTGCAGGCCGGCGACGCCGGATCGGGCGTACTGCGTCACGGTGCGCGCCACTTGGTTCGGACCGCCGTAGCCTGTGTCCGCGTCCGCTACCACCGGGACCGAGGGGTCCAGGTTCGACAGCATCTCGGCGTGCGCGCGCATGTCGTTCAGTGTCGCGTAGCCCAGGTCTGGAAGGCCCAGTCTCGAGGCGGAGGTACCCGCGCCCGTCTGCCTTGCGTTAGTTTCCGCGAGTCTTGAGACGAAGGGGTGTGCCGCGTACCATGTACAGCCCGTCGAAGCCGACTTCGAGCGCGATGCGGGCGCTGAAGCCATCGTAGACTCCCGGGAGGAGAATCAAGTCGTCCGTCTCCTTGAGGCGGTTACGCAGGCGCGTTGCTGCTGAGATGGGGGCTGCGCTCGTATTCGACGACATTTTGCGATCTGGTGAAAGTGTTCGGATGGTGTGTCTGTGACGTTGTGTTGCAAGAGCTGCGGTGATTGCAGGTGTCCGCTGTCCGTTTGAATGTTGAGATGAAATGAAGCCGCGGATACCGCCTTTTGATCGACCCTGCTATTATACTGATTTATAAACCTCCATGACGCAAATGCGTGTTAGTCGATATCCACAACGGGTGGGCTTTTTTCGCCTTTCGGGAATATCGGAGAGGCGCTGGAGAATCTCTCATTGTTATTCCCACTTGGGACCACTCATGAGCCTCATTTTTTGGGGACTAAGTAGGCGTGAGGGGAATTTCGTGTTATTCCCGTCTTGTCCGCCCTTCTCGTTGAATGAGGTTGAGGGTGTGGTGGTTGGAGAAGAGGGGGGATCCGCGGGACCGCCATCGGCCGAGTCGGTGATGGTTCGCTGATCCATCCGATCTCGACAAGCTTCTTCTGAGATATCTTAGCGACACCGAGCTTTCTTGCTTGGCTTGCTTCCACTTAGTCAGGATTATACGTCGTGTCTCCCGTCCTCCCGCGTCGCAGCCGCAACCTTGGTAGGATGCGAAAGGTTGGCGATATAGACTTTGAGCCTGCAACACTCCTCCCCTCCAATACACGCTGCGAACCGATTTGTGACGGATTGGCCCGGCGTGTCCGGGAGGCTTAGACTCGTTATCGTTTGTTTTGGCATTTTCGGCTTTTCGTGGTGCCTTGGAATGCGGATTTCTCATGTGTTTTGGAGCTTCCGGTGTTGCTTAGGTTTAGATATATGAACCCCCCGGACGAACACGATTCCACGTGTGAAGGATTGTTCCCGAGCCCGATTCGTGCATCTCATGTATTGAAATGTAGTAGAAGGCGCATTCTATGAAATCATTCCGGAATTTCAACTTCTTTCCATCGAGGCCGCGAAATCAGTATTGTCCAGGCAAAGACTAAGACGACGAAGACGAAGGGTTGAGAATGGGCAATATGAGCCTTGCGAGCAAAGATGTCTCGGTCGATGCCGTCGAAAAGGGCACTCCGGTCGATTCGCCGCGACCGAGTAGCACGCCAGAGGAGGTTGCCATGGCACAGCCGGAGTGGCAAGCGGCGGAAAAGAGACTTGTGAGGAAGCTGGACATGTCGCTACTGCCAGTCGTTTGGACTCTGTACATGTTCAACTATCTCGACAGAAACAACCTAGCGTGGGCAACCTAATCGAGTTACCTGGTCAGGACGAGGAGGAGCTAACGGAGGGACAGGCAGGCCAAGTTGAACGGATTCGAGAAGGACCTGGGGCTGGTTGGAAACCAATTCAACACGGCGGTTTCGGTATTCAATGCCGGGTTTGTTGCGTCCCTTCGGACGATTCGTGATGGAAACCGTCGACTGACTGGGAACACAGGTATATGATTGCCCAACTCCCGTCGAACATGCTCATCACCCGCGTCCGGCCGAGTATATATATCCCGTGCTGCGTGATTCTCTGGTCATGCGTATCGGCTTCCACCGCAGCAGCCAAAAACTTCTCCAGTCTGGTCGTCATCCGAGTCGCGTTGGGCGTGGTAGAAGCGCCTTTCTTTCCCGGCGTAAGTCTCGAGGGAATCCTGCTCTAGCATAGCCCCTTTACTTTGATATCTGACTGGGCGAACGGCATAGGTCTTCTACGTCCTTTCCTGTTGGTACACCCAAAAAGAGCTCGCATTCCGCACCGCCATCTTGTACTCGGGCATGCTGATCGCAACTGCCTTCGCGGGCCTCATCGCCGCTGCCGTCTTCGCGCATCTGGATGGCGTTCGGGGGCTGGCCGCCTGGCAATGGCTCTTTGTCATCGAAGGAGCGGGAAGCTTCGCCTCAGCTTTCACGGCGCTTGCTTTCTTGCCGGATTACATCGGGTCCAAGACGGGAGTGTGTTCGTGGCTGATGACGGAAAAGGAGTTGCAGGTCGCCGCGCAGAGGATGGAGGCAGACCGAGTCTCGGTGCCGGAGGAGAAGAGGAGGAGCGTGTGGCATGGGTTGAATCTTGCGGTTAGGGACGTGAGGACTTGGCTTTTTGTGAGATTTCCTCCGTGAAGATGACTGACGTTGTGGTGGGCTGACTTTTGGGGACGTGTACAGGTCTGTCTCAACGCGTTCTTCCTCTCATCTCACGGCCTGAGCAGCTTCTTCCCCACGATCGTCCAGGGGTTCAAACTCGGCTCGAACACAGTCACGCTCCTACTCACGGCGCCGCCGTACCTCTTGGCGGCAGTTGTCGCCCTGGGCGTGGCCATGTCGAGCGACCGGCGCGGCGATCGCGGGCTGCACGTCGTGGGCTCCCTAGCCGTTGCAATGGTCGGATACGTCATCACAGCCGCGACGGTGAACCAGCCCGCGCGGTACTTTGCGAGCTTCCTGTTCGTGTCCGGGGCTTACGCGCCGACGGGCTTGATCTTCACCTGGGCCGCGAGCACGCTCAACGAGACGCCGGAGAAGAGAGCGGCGGCAACGGCGATTGTGTGTTTGTTGGCGCAGCTGGGCAACATATGGGGACCGTACTTCGTCCGGCCGCAGGACAGCCCGAGATATCTATTGGCATTCATTTTGATGTTGATGTTTTCTGGGTTCACCATCGGGATGGTATTTCTGATGAGATTCCTGCTGGGAAGGGCGAATAGGAGGCTGCTCGCTGGGGCGGAGGGGACTGGGAGGAGGGTTAGGTTGTATATACTCTGATGTCGGGTTGTTGGCGTTTTGGTTCGGGGTTGGGACGCTGGCGTTCATGGGGTTGGTTTGAAGGGCTTACGAACCAAGAGACTCTGGGTAAGGTACCTCTAAGGTATGTTGAGGCTATGGAAAGAGCCTGGGAGAGGAGGGCGTTTCGGACAGGAAGGAGTCATTATACCAACTCTGGATGACGACCATCTTCGATATTTTGGATTAATATCGCTTATTAATCGCTGCTGGACCTGTGGCTCATGATGTTGGTTGATGTTATCTATAAGGGTAAGTTCATTGAGGGTATGTCAAGTCTCATATTGTTTGTGCCCACATACTGCTTGTTACCATTGATGCCATATCTGCTTACTTATTTCTGTTATCTTTTCTTTCCACATCCATTTGATGCTGTCCCCAGCATCATTCATACCCCGCTCGAGAGTCAAGCGTAACTCTACCCTCGTGCCAGCCACCCGAGTCATGCCGCCACATACTTACCGTCTGGCTGTGCTCGACAACTCAGTTGTGGGATCTCCAAGGAAAGAAAGCTTGTGGAAATTATTGACTCGGAATTTAGCAGTTTTACTGGTGGTTTGTGAAGAGAGGGGAAGTCCAGACCGCTGTACACTATTCGAAATCATTGTTTAGTCAGAGTTGGGTTGAGGCAGTTTGTGTAGCAATTTCCTACTTGACTGCTACCTTGGCATGCAACCAAGTGTCTCATTCGGCTGAGTACAGCCGACAAGATGACCGCCCACGTGATATATCTGGTGGCAGATATTTGCAGACAGAGTGGCATCTCCTTGAGTCTCACAACTCGAATATAGGAATAAGCGAAACAAAGTATCTCTCTGATCACAGAGTTGCTCGCTTGAAGCTTGCTACATTTGAAAGGAGAGACAATAAACCCAGGAAGCGCCGGGGTTTCCGAAGAGATGGTGTTGCCAGGGTCTATCTCTCAAGACAAGGACACCGAGTCGAGTCGGTGAGGAGTTGAAAGGATTCATTTGTTTGCTTCGTTTCTGGTTGGCAAGGGAGAGCCCGATAGGCCGGAAGCGGAGGGCGTCCCCGCCGTTTGGCCCCGTTTGCTCCGGTCAAGGTTCCAACCCACATGCAGTTACGGCGTTTAGTGAACTATGCATTGTTAAGAGTTGGAGAATGGAGTTAGCTTGTGGGACTCCGAGTGCGGCGGTGTTTGATAGAGATCGTTGGACACAACGCCCACCAATCTGGTTACTGAGTCAATTTCAGAACAGAACACAAAAAAGACTCGATGGAAGCTTTGGACATCTGCAGAGTCGATCTTAGGGTTCAGGGTATCTATCCCACACCAAATGCCGGCTCAATGCCGTGCTGTAGCCCGTGGCCTGTCGCGTCGGTGATGTAATGTCGTTCAGTCAAGCAGGGCTGATAAGAACCGGGGAGAGCGAATGGAACGAATGGAATGCTACCTCAACGGATAGCTTATTCGCCTCTAGGTAAGTGAAACCTTACGTAAGGCGAATTAGACGAGCGAATTGTCTTAGCACATTGGCTCATGTCAAAGCCCCGCGATAACGACGACATCGGCGCGCCTTGACAGCGGGGCGGGGATGAGCGCCTCACTCAACTGCTCAACTGCCACCGCCCTGCCAAAAAGAGCCCTGGAGGGATTCAGTTGCTGCACTGTCTGGTGAGAGTTTCCCCTGCAGCGATAGCCCCCCATCTCTCAGTGTCCCTCCCCGTTTACCCCGTGGCTGGCGTATCACAGCGTTGGGACCCCACCAGAGACAGCAAATTTGTTCAAAGGGTCCAATGGCGAGCTTCCCATTATTTTTTCTTAAGCAGCTTCTACTGGCCGTGACCTTGACCTTCCATTGAATGCCCCGGCCCCCGTCCTGGCGGTTTTGTCCAGTGTGTGTGTGACTCCGCGTCGGCGCTCGTGCTCCATTGCTGCAAAGGTATTTTTCTACCCGATATCTGCCTCTTCTTTCGCCCTTTTCTTCCTCTCCCCTTCTTCTTTTTTTTTTTCCCCTCCTCACCAACAAAAATCTCACCACATCGTGCAATACCCCCGTCACAGAATATCTCCGGCCATCATCCCTCCACCGCCTCGTCTCGAGAAATACAACACCCTTTCTTCTGATTGTCTCTTTGCAAATCTGCCCTTATGAACGGGCGCCCGTCAGTTTTCACCTCTCAGGTATGTAATGTAATGTAGCTGCTGCAGCTCCTCCCAACTCTTATCTCGGTGTGCGAGCTGAGGTCACGGCCTTCGCGATACTCAACCCCGCCGGTCAAAACTCTGTCTCGTGCTCGTGCACTTGGCCCACAGCCCAATTGAGGCCACTGGGCTCTGCTTGCACGCTCGCCGCCTTCAATTACACGACATTGTTGCGAAATGCTGTTGCTGACTCGTTATCATTAGGATTATCTTTCAGGTCCGCACGATGCTCTCTCCGCGGTTGACTCACCGCTTCTCTCTCAGCGCAAGACTAACCATGCCAACAGACCACCTTTGGAAGGCTTCCAGGGCATAAAGGTCTTTTGACATAATCAGCATCCAAATCATCAGCAACCCCTACCAACCGACAATCACAATGTTCTCTCGATTGGCTTCCCAACTCTCCAAGCCCGCGGCCAAGAGTGCCGCCGGGTTGAGCTCCGGCTTCCGAGCTCAGACCCGATTCCTCTCCAAGCAGGCCACTGGCAGCAAGGGCCGCAAGATGCCCTTCAACCAGACCCGCGCAACTGCTCCCGTCGCCAACCTCGACGCCACCCTCACTATCCGAGTACGTTACCTCCGAACACACCGAGCTGTCACCAGAGATCATGGTTCGCTGACTAGAGACACAGGATGGCCCCGTCTTCTCGGGCCGAGCCTTCGGAGCAAACTCTAACATCTCCGGCGAGGCCGTCTTCACCACATCCCTCGTGGGATACCCCGAGTCCATGACCGACCCCTCCTACCGCGGCCAGATTCTGGTCTTCACCCAGCCCCTTATCGGCAACTACGGTGTGCCCTCCAACCAGCTTGATGAGTTCAAGCTCCTCAAGTACTTTGAGTCCCCCCACATCCAGTGCGCTGGTGTCGTCGTCGCCGACGTCGCCGAGCAGTACAGCCACTGGACTGCTGTTGAGAGCTTGGGCGAGTGGTGCGCTCGTGAGGGTGTTCCCGCCATCTCTGGCGTTGACACTCGTGCCATCGTCACCTTCCTCCGTGAGCAGGGCTCTTCCCTTGCTAGGATCACCATTGGTGACGAGTACGATGCCGACGAGGACGAGAGTTTCATCGACCCTGGCCAGATCAACCTGGTCAAGCGTGTCAGCACCAAGGCTCCCTTCGTTGTCGAGTCTCCCGGTGCCAAGTACCACGTCGCCCTGATCGACTGCGGTGTCAAGGAGAACATCCTTCGCAGTCTCGTCAGCCGTGGCGCCTCTGTCACTGTCTTCCCCTACAACTACCCCATCCAGAAGGTCGCCTCTAACTTTGACGGTGTCTTCATCTCCAACGGCCCTGGTGACCCGACTCACTGCCAGGACACCATTTACAACCTCGGCCGCCTGATGGAGACTTCTCCCGTCCCCATCATGGGTATCTGCCTCGGCCACCAGCTCCTTGCCCTGGCCGTCGGCGCCCGCACCATCAAGCTCAAGTACGGCAACCGTGCCCACAACATCCCCGCCCTCGACTTGACCACTGGCCAGTGCCACATCACCAGCCAGAACCACGGTTACGCCGTTGACTCCTCTACCCTGCCCAGCGAGTTCAAGGAGTACTTTGTCAACCTCAACGACGGCAGCAACGAGGGCATGTTGCACAAGACCCGCCCCATCTTCTCCACCCAGTTCCACCCCGAGGCCAAGGGTGGCCCGATGGACAGCTCCTACCTCTTTGACAAGTACATCGAGAACGTCCAGCTCTTCAAGGAGAGCGAGAAGATCTACAAGGACAACCGTCCTACCCCCCTCATGCTCGACATCCTTAGCAGGGAGCGTGTCGGCGTTGAGCCCAGCACCCTGGCTGCGGCCGCCTAAGTGGTTCGGTTCTTCTGTAGTTTGTTCTTAACCTTCATGGATTTGTGGTTTCGCGGCAGGTACACATGGGTTCTCTTTTCCTGGGAATAGGATAGTCTTATGGTTTGCGTTCTCTTGCTATTTTAAGTTGACACAAGCTGGAAAGCAGCTTCTTTCCTAAAATTGATACACAAAAAGCATATCATTTTGGAAACACGATCTCCGGTCATCTCCGTGAAGACCCATGCAGTGACATCCTAACGTGTCTCTTGATAACTGAATTCGCCACGGCTGCAGTAGTCGGGCCAACTGTCATGAGGTTAATGTGACGTGAGACGCTGGCACTCGCAACAACGAGTCCTAACGGGACATGTCAACAAAATAGATGAATCCACACTAGCTGCACAACGCCAATACATCCTGAGTACGAACATGCCTTTTTTCATGATCGCCATGGGAGCTCAGCTTGTGGAAGTAGTTAGCAAGTAAGGTTTGTCTACTCCGACACCGAGCTGCTTGTCTGACCGACTCCGACGATGCTTGCAGAAGAGATCTAGGAGACGGTATGGAGACATCGACATTTATACACAACAAGGATTGGTTTCAAAAGCTTCTTCAATTATCTATCTACCCCAGGGAGAATGAACTAGAAAGCCTTCCTTGTATGATGAAGCCCGCGCGGATGGCGCGGGGCAGTGGTATCGCAACGCGGCAGCGGTGAAGCAGCACGTCTCTCTATGTCGAAACAAACAGGTACGTTTTTGGGGAGGAAAGAATGCAGTCTAGAGCGCTGCCCGTTGCCACGGGCAAGGGCAGAGGTGCAAGGTGAGAGAAAACCCCCCGCCGTTTTCCCCGTCCTTCCATGATTTCCTATCCGACTCCGTCCATGCCCACTTGTGAATTTTGATTATGTTGATATCTGCCGTTTTGCGTCTCTTCTTTTGTATGTTCTGCCCAACAGTGGCGTTGATGTTTTGGTTTTTTTGGTGTTTTCGTGATTTTCGGTTTGCTTAAACTCCATATGCATCCGGGATAGGAAGCCTAGGAAAATTGGTTATTCATCCAACACCAATCTCCCTCCGCGGTCTATGACAGCTCGTGCGTACTCGATGTTAAGGTGTGGCATGCAACTCGTTATCATTTTCCGGAGGGAAACTGCTGTGCCGATTCGAATAGGCGAGGTCGATATTCTCAGGCGAAGGAGGCGTCTCGTCCACGCCCCGAGTGCAAAAGCCCATCAAGACAGAGATGAAAGCCGGGGTGGCGAAGAATCCGTTGTTGAAACCATGGCTCGTTCAGATGCTCATGGGGCACCCGACTCTGGCCTTGAGTCGGTCGCCGAAGCCGAGCAATTGTCCAGTTTTGAAAATGGGTTCGACCTCCGTGAACTCGGCCTGAGAGCTGCCGCGAGAGCTACCACGAGAGCGGCCACAAGAGCTGCCGCGAGAATGGCCATGAGAACTCTGAGGAGAAGGGTGAGAAGGTTGAGCAGGTTGATGCACAGAGAAATCCGAAGCGTGCGGCGCCTGATGCTGCGCAGAATGATCCGTCGATTGCTGCTAGTACCGCCTATCACGATCATCGCCGCGGGATCCGAAGTTGCCACGGTCTCCCTGCCTGTAGGGTCCGCTATCATTAATACCGGGAAGGTACCTATCACTCAGGAGGCGCGGACCGCGACGGTTGCCGTTCTGACGTCTGCCGCGGCCAGGAGGCGGTCCACGAGGAGGAGGTCCACGGCCACCAGGGCCCCTATCTGGACGACGTTGACCTCCTCTCTCTCTATGCGGCGGCCGGATGCCGACGAAGTTTTCCTTGCCCCTGTCAACAAAGCCGTCGCCCTGCTCGAATGTATAGCGGTTGATGTCGGTCTCCGGGCCCATGTCTCGTTGAAGGTCCTGAGTGTAGTAGGAACGCATATTGCGGATTCTCCTGTTGGCCAAGTCATCAGTGACAGGTTGATAGGAGATCTGTGGGCTTTTGTTTGTCGTTTGCAGAGGGCCACCGGGAAAATCTTGGATCTGTCGAGGGCCTCTTCCACTCGGTCCACGAGGGGGGTCCCCTCGGGGCCCCAGCGGCGCGCCATCTGTTCCTCTTCCGGCGCGAGGCCCCAGAGAAATTGCGTTAACGTCCTTAACAGCAGGTCCGGAGGGGATTTGTCTGGCTGGCTCAGGTGCTGGTACTGCCGGCGGAGGCGCAGTGCCAGATGTCAGACGCGCAACGACGAAGCCATCGTCTTCGCGAGAGTAGGAAACTTCCCAGCGAGTACCTCCCCGACCGCTGTCCTGGTTTTGCTCCTCGTCAATCCATTCGGTCACGTTCTCTGGCGGGACGAAGTCTACCCATAGTTGCTTCCTGTTGCGCTCGTCAGGCCAGGTGACGTCATGCAAGGCGTTGCGAACGCGAGAAGCCTGAGCCGTGGTCCTGAAGACGGCGAAGGCATGAGTTTTGATGCGGTCGACGAATAGAACCTCGATGTCGTCTGAATCAGGGTCTGTGCCGGTAGGAGTCGCCAGCTCGAGGAGGTGTGCCTGTACCGCTTCCTCACGAAGGGGTCTCATGAAGTTCTTAATGTAGAGAGCTCTGGTGGCAGGATGAAGGGAGGGCTGCACATCGCGCTCAACCTCCATAGCATCGCCAGTATCTTGTTTAGTCGGCAGCTGCTGAACCGATTCGAAGGATTCTTGCGGCACCAGAGCTTGGTCCTCACTTCTCGAGGTGTCGTCAACATGCTTGGATGCTTTCTGAGCCGAGGCATCGCCGTGAGAGCCTTCCGTCGCTTCCTCCTCAATGGTATCGTCCTCTGTCTTCATTACGACATCCTCAGCGTCCTCCTTGGTCTCTTGAGGCTGTGAATCTTTGTCCATAGGCTCGCTCGTGGGCTCCGCCACATGATCCGAAATATACTTCGCATCGTTGGCGATGTCTTCCGCAATACTGGTATTGTTCTCCAGTCCCTCCTTGATCTTTTTGATGACACCACTCACGCCAGATGGCTCAGAAGACTGCGCCTCGTCCTGGTCCGCCTTGACGCGCTTGCGGGACACCTCCTCGGCCGACTGGACAGGACTCTCTGATCGTCGCTTCCGTTTTTGAGCATCCTGAGCTATCTCTGCGGGTGCAGGAGGTGCGGATTCCGTGGAGGCTTCAGTCATCAAAACTGCAGCTGGAGCATCTTGTTTGTTCGAGTCAGGAGGAGCCGCCAATTCGTCGACGGGCTTGGGTTCTGAACGAGGTGCCTCTGACTCGGTTGGCGCGGGCGCGGGTGTGGATGCCGGCTCGGCTTCGGTGCTCGCGACTTCCTTCGGGGCATCATCGACGGGCGCAGGAGCGGGATCATCGGTAGGCTCTAAAGGCTCCGTAGGCTCCGTAGGCTCTTTGTGCTCGACAGGTTGGGGTTCGGGGTCCTCTGCAGGCTCGGGTTCAGAGGGCTCAGCTTCATTCTCTGCGACGGCAGCAGTCGCGTCGTCTTCGGAAAGGCGCGTAACAAGTTCCTGCTTGAGACCGGCTACGGCTAGACCGCGGCGCTTCAACTCGGCCTTGAGCTGGACCACAGTCTGTTTGCTCCAGTCCTTCATGGTTAATGGATGTTGGTGGGCAGCAAAAGCTGGCGCATTGCTCGAATATCGAAGAGGGAGATAATTCTTGCTTTGCAAATGGTGCAGTTGTTGTCGGAAAGAAGTGCTGGAACTTCCTTGCAATTCGCGAGTGGTGATGGGGTGTGGTTGTCGGAGGACTCCAAACGCAATGGAAGGTGATGTCCGGGTGAGGGTAAGGTAGCTGCCAAGTTAAGCGCGTCGTCGCGACTTGAATTCCTGAAAAATTGCCCCGTCATGCAAATCAGAGCCTCTCCACTGAGCTAGTAGGCTTAGGCAGGTCGCTAGTGCAGGGGTTGCCTCCCACCTCAGTGATCGGTCCCGTCTGCCAGGGAAAGACGGGATGTCTCTGAGCGGCCCCACATCTTTTCGCACCAGTTATCTTATCTGCCGAAAGATCAGTCACGTGGCTCAAAAGTGTCTACGTCTGGGAAACTATGAGTGCCTCGTCCTGCCAACTTGCGTAAGGTAGCAGTCGATCTGTGATTTTTTTATGAGATATCAAACTGCAAAGATTGAATGTTGGTGGGAAAGCAAAAGAAAAGGGATACATTTGTTCAACACACTACACGTCGTATTAAGTGCATTGGAGACTGGAGCAGCAGTCACTTTCACACGGTTTGCGGCTTGGCAATGCTTCATTGATCCGATATGATTGAATCATATCTTATCTGAGCTTGATCTGGACGAGGTGTCATTCGTAGCTGGGTATTCGGGATGGTAAGAAACAAAGTTGCGGCGGTTCAGAAGTCAAGTTTCTTACGTAATCCAACTGGAAAGGTACGGCGCACGACCCAGGCGTCTGTGGCACCAGCAGCCAGCCGGCGTACCTTGCCGTAAACTCACCTTACCTCAAGTCGATTTTTGACTTACTCCTTCCTATTGTTTCATTGTCGATGCCGACTTAAAAAAAGGAATTGCAACGGTTTTATTTCGGCCGCCGCATCCGTCGCGAACAATGTCATAGGGCTCTTTGCAACTATCTGCACCGCCCAGACACGACCAAGCCACAAGAAAACGTCGCGGCCTCCTTGCTTCTTGTCTTTGGGGGAAACGCAACGTTTTATCGAACTAGCTGTTGCTCCAGACAATGAAGCGACGAGGATCAGCTCGACAAAGCAATGCATCTTCGCGACTTCTATTCTCGTCAGGCACCTTCGTGAGATGACAAAAAGCGTGACCTCCCCTACCACTGGCGATTTCTCAAATACGATCAACAAATTTCTCTCACCGCTGCTTGCTCTTTATCGTTTCTCAGGCCCACCCATCAACACCAACCCATCTTGCAATGGTCTACGTTGAACGACCTTCTTCGGGCTCCGTCAGGAGCCCTACACCTGCACATACGCCTCAATACTCTCGGCCATTTGGGCGCAGCCTGCGCAGCGCGACGCCACTCACAGATACACCGGCTACAAGCGCGAGTGTCGGCAGAGAAGGCACGCCGGCTTCGGACAGAATTTTGTCTGGCCGCATCAAGAAGACGCCTCGCAAGACGGTTCTTCGGAAGGAAGATGTGCTGAGCGAAAAGGAGAAGGAGGAGGAGCGACGGCAACTGGATGATATGAACGAGGAAAGAAAGCTGTTCCCTGGAAGCGACAACTGGGCCGACGACGAACTGAGGCTCTTCAAGATTCTCTTCATGAGACAATACAGCCCCCTGTTACCAGCAGATTGGCAGATGAGCTTCCGTGGCATTCCAATTCCCGACATTCTGTTCGCAAGCTCCATTGCTCACCCGCCCATCATCAATTCCAGGTCTGATAATGACTATAAGGGTGCGTTCTCATTTCAGTTCATATTTAACATGAAGAAACCGCTAACATCATGCAGCTACGAAAGCTTTGACCCGGCTGATTGAGTTGACGAAAGACGTTCGAGGTCTTGCTCAAACTGGCCAAAGGCACAGAGCAAGCGCACTTATTGGGAAGAGGCTCCAAGAATATATCAGGTGGGCCGAGCAAGACGGAAACTACGCAAACCTCGACTACGTGCCAAACATTATCGTCGATGTTGTAGACACTTCAAAGACGCCGCAAGAAATCGAGGAGCACATGCAACAACGACTCAAGATTGCAGCTGTGGCCCAGCAAGCACACTGGAGAATTGACCAGCCGGGGAACGACAGTGATGGCGAGATCAAGAATGGAGAGCAGTCAGACCGTGACCCGGAAGAAGTCGAGCCTGAGGATAACCAAATTGTCCTCGTCCCAGACAAGTATCCTTCACCGCAAAAGGAGGACTTCCCTCCATCAACTCCGGCGCACAATGAGACCAACGGCAACAATACTCAATACCACAAGAGTCCAGACAAGAAAGCCAATAATACGAACGAGCTAGTCCAACATTGGAGCGAGAAGTTCGATCGCCAGCCGCCTGTCGTCTATGGACTATTCATCGTCAACACTTCTGTCATGGTTCTCACTGTCGACTCTGCGAAAGAGGAAGAAGCGTATGTGAGCTATCAAGTGGAAGTAGGCTTCAGCAAACGTGGCCAGGACGTATGGAACGCGATAACCATTGCCATCGTCGTCTGCATGGCAAGAGACGGGATGATTGACATGAAGGATGAATTTGAGGATTCGATCATTAATTATGAGAGCGACCCTGACGCTTGATATGACGGCATGAATGAGAAGGAATAACGGGAGACGTCGTTTGGGCCTTTTTTTTTCTTTGTTTACGGCGGCGGGCAGTCCTTCGTATACCCATTTCTATCTTTTTGCTGGCGGACATTGCGGAATACCCTTTGCCTTTAGCATGAAGTTGGCAAGTTACTTTTCTCCCAAGAAGGAACGTATGATGTAAACACCTGGTTTTCCACTGTTACAAGGCACTGTGAGCTCAGCTGAGCAGATAGCATGACCTGACTGGCCAGGGATGACATTCTAAAATAAGGCGATTGGTCGTTGGTGCCGAGAGATGGCTGCAGGCGTCGGAAGCCTATCGAAGTTTTGGACCTTCGCATATCAAACAGGTGCCCCGAACTGATGCTCCTATCACCGACCCAGACCGCCGAGCGTGTCGATGGATGGAGGTTATTTCGCCGGAGCCGGCGTCAAGGTCGTCCCGCGACCGATACCCCTCACCAACAGCTCGGCGATTTGGCTCGGATTGCTCGAGATCGGGGGTCGGCCACCGAAGCAGACGGGACAGACAACAAAAAAAATCAAGGAAAAATCGAAACTCATATCGTTTTCGCCTCTTAACACCGAGGGATGGCCCAGTACGACCTCGGGATTACGTATCTTATTTTTCGCAATGGCGTTGGAGGGGTGCTGGGCGTGGACACCGACTGCCTCATTCGTCACCGCTACGGCTCCCCGTACCCCTCCGTCGCCCTGTCACCCTGTCAGCTTATTCAGGTCGCTTGTCACTGGGCCATCGCCTTGTCCGTCCTGCAGGCCAGGTTCCCGGAGCCGGATTCCGGTCCACTCCCAGCTGCAGGTACTTTGGGGGCCCTTCTCACAGTGAGAACGGGTCGGGTTCAGGTTGAAGGAGCATGTGGTTGTGGGTGTGGTGTGTGGTGGAATGATAGGCCGAGAGCCGAGCCCGTCCATCTCTGGAGGGATCGAGTTTTCGCAAATCCATGTGTCGTTTTCTCGTTTTCTTGTGCCCTGCGCTAGTGTAGGCGGCGGTGTAAGTCAGGTCTGCTATTATAAGACTTGACATGCGTCGTAGCACTGTGACACGATATGGTATTCGTACACCTCGCGCTCCTTTGTCGGGCTCGGAGAGCGAGCGTCCTCACAGCGAGGTGTGTTGCATTGCATCCTGGGAAGGGCTCATACGACGTTATCCGTACGGTAAGGGACCTCATGGGGCCCTGTATCCGTACCGTGGTCGATTCCAGAGTGTTGGAGGGGGGGACCGGAGACCGAACTGGCGGGCACAGCGACGCGCGAGGGTGGATTTGATATCTGACCTGGACCTTGGGGGGGTCGTCAGTCCTTTTTTTTCTGCCGAATCTCGCCGGGGCGGCGTTATGAGAGATGATGCGCGGGTTTAGTCCTGATCTGGTGCCGTGTATCTGATGTGATCTGGATGGGTGCCCGAGGATACCTGACTGCAGATCATCAGTTGGTCGGCAGTGCAGTGACAAATGTCATGACTTGTTTGTCGGTGAGGTGAGGAGTCCTAGGGCATAAGTCAGTCTGGCGTCACATTCGGCTTTACTGAGAACATTAAAGTTGAAATTCTTTCCTCCGGGTCCCAAGGGTCTGGCGCAGAGCGGACATGGAGACGGCGTTGCTCGCCAGACGTGCCGATTGATCCATTCTCGAGACAAGCAAATCAGAGCGCGCCCGCGGATGGAGTTCCAAGGATGCCTAGGGGAGCCGGGCCAGGCCAACCGGGAAAGGCTAATTGCGCCGTATTGTTCGGGTTTAGGTTGTATTTCGTAGATTTGTCGTATCATTTGGGTCCAGGCTTGTCGTTATCTCGCTATTGTCATTAGGATTGTGTCTGTGTCCAGGTGGTCAGATCAAGATATGATAATGTTCATCTGATTAGGACGAGGAGAGAAAGACCTCAAGACTGGAGAAAGAAACAAAAGGCAAAGCAAAAGACAGCATGAAAAAAAAGATACTTCAGTACTCCCCAAACAGCATTAGTTCGACCCTCCGTGTCATCAATGCCGCGATGCTGGACGCAGCAAGGTGGACTCGACTCCAGCGGGTTCACCACGAACCCCTGCCTAGCGACATGCCAACAGGAGCCAATCAGCAGCCACATGTTGTAATCCGTGACCTCTCAGCCCAGATCACCCAACGACGGGCTCCGATTTTCCCCCATTCTCGTCCGTCACTCGTCACTGCACTGGGAACCAGGCGTGGGCTGTCTGTTCTCGTGATTTCTGCCAGCGCCGCGTTGCGTTGCACGTTCTCGATCCCTCACCATCGCCCTGGTCGCCTCGTTGTGTCTACGCACCACGCCTGCCATACATCGCTACCACTCTTGCCCGCCACTAGCCTACCAAGCCCGGTAACCCGTCACTTGTCAGCTTCGCTATTCATCTCGCTACCGCCGAAGAGGCCACAGAGGACCGCCCACCGATCTCTCTCACCGCCCGGTGAACCCTTCCCCAGCAGTAGCAGCAACAGCCGTAGCGGTAGCAGCCACTGTCCACTGTCACTCCGTCTGCCTGCCTGCCTGTCGACGAGGGGCTCTTACATGTCCGTCATCGCCAGCGACCTCTGTTGTTTCCTCCTCAGTATGCACTCGAAATCACCGCTCTATCCCTCCTAGGCGCTCGTCACCTTCTCAACTCTTCTCTCACTCTTCTCTCACCCCCTATTCGGCGTATCCCGGTCTTCCAAGCCCCCGGCACTCGGCCCCTCTGCCTCTCACACCACGCTGTGTTCGTACAGACACCCCGAACACGGCAAGCCCTTCGTGCCCTGGATCAACGGTGGCGACCTTCTGTTCTCCTCAAATCTTCCGGCCGCCGATTCCGCCTTCTGCTCCGTCAGCCGGCTCTCCATCTTCCTCCTGACCTTTGTCGTCGACTGTGGACGGGGCAATTCTTCCCCTGACCCTCCTCCGGCCGAACGTCGAACCACCTTTGTACCGTGGTGGGGTTGTCTAAGTTTGACTTGCTTCCAACTTCTTCTCACTCCTCCTTTACCTCCGTCGACCGCCCTGTCTCTTGAAATCTTCTCTTACCTCCGAGCCCGTCTTCTTCTCCGGCCAAAGACTCGGCCGCCTACGAAGCCATCGACTATCGTGACCGATACCCTCGTGCAGGCTACTTCATAGCAGGCCCCTTTCTCGCCTCGAGTCTCTCGCACCGCTTGTTGTTGTTGCAGTAGACACAAAAGATACGCCCACTTACGCCGCGAACCTTGACACCACGCCCTCGACCGAACTACGCTCTTTTCGAATGGCGATGGCCGATGGCATCTCGTCGGCGGCACAGGGAACGGCCAAGCAGCCCCCCTCGACCATGCGAACTGCCCTTCCATCAAGGCGGATGTCGCCAAAAGCCCGGGATGCAGGCCTGCATGGCACCGTAGACCAGGCGAGACTCCCCAGTCCAGGACCCAGGGGCGGAAACGTAGATTCAACAAACCTACGGCCAGAAATGCGACGTAGTCTGTCGAGCGAGGCCCCGTCCATGACGCAGGCCAGGAGTCCGGCCTCAATCTCCAGCGATGGTTCTCCCCAGCACAAAACGACGGAGCCGAGACCAAGCCCAGCACCGACTACGGCGAGTTCCTCGTCTGGCCAGACTGGTCAGGTTTGCAGGTAGGTTACTGACGATTCCCCCTTTTCCCCTTTTCGCGGATATTAACCGGTGGCAGCAACTGCGGTACGACTCGGACACCGCTGTGGAGGAGATCACCCCAAGGAACGACGATATGCAACGCCTGCGGCTTGTACCAGAAGGCAAGAAACGCCTCGCGGCCGACTAACTTGAAGAAACCGCCTCACCTCGTTGCTGCAACCCCGAGAACCGCTCCGCCAAAGATCGCCCCTGCGCCAGGCCCCGGCCCGAAATATCTCAGCGCCCCAGCTCCAACCTACGTTACCGAAGAACAGGCCCCTTCAGGGACTTGCCCAGGCGGTGGAAAGTGCAATGGTACTGGTGGTGCGGAAGGTTGCAGCGGCTGTCCCGCCTACAACAATCGCGTGTCAAAGTCCGCTCATCTGAATGTTGTCCAAGGGGGAGGATGCGGCGGCGGCGGTGGTGGTGGTGCCAGTTCCTCAAGTCAGCCGCCAACTGAACCGATGGCCATTGATGATCCCGCGGCGCCTGTTGACATCGCAGCTCTGCAAATTCAGGGGCAGAACCCAAATACGACCGTCGTTATTGCTTGCCAAAATTGCGGCACGACCATTACTCCCTTGTGGCGACGCGACGAAAGTGGGCATACGATTTGCAATGCCTGCGGTATGTGCCGTCTAAATCCGGGGAAGATCTCGATCTCGATGTGCTGACATAATTAGGTCTCTACTACAAACTTCATGGAGTCCACAGGCCCGTCACCATGAAAAAGTCGATCATCAAGCGACGGAAACGAGTCATTCCTTCTTCATTTGGCGGCGAGTGGACAGAAGAAATGCTCGAAGGATCAGAGACGCAAAGTCAGGCGCCTGAGGGTAGCCCGGAAAGGGGCACAATGAATGAGGACGGGTCTATCAACTTGGGCTTTCGGCGTCGTCAGGAAGAACCCGTGACCATGCTCCCAGATCCCAATATGCGTCCTAATCGTCAGGGATCTCCTCTGCCTATGAGCGACTTGGCAGCCTATCAGTCATCGATGCCTCGAACCTCGCATCCCTACCAGGGATCTCTCAACGACGACGTCCGTCTCGCTCCGATCACGTCGCTTGTCGCCACAGGAGAACGACAATCATCGCTTTCTCCCGCATCGTTTCTCTCTCCGTCACGCAAGCGTTCGTTGTCTGCTGAGGGCAACCCTGCCGGCGATGGTGGTCCTGACACCTCCAAACGGTTGTCCTCCATCAAGTCAATTCTGAACCCGACAAGCGGTGACGAAAGCCCGCCTTACCACTCTGGAGGCGAGGATGCAGCGGAGCACTACGCACGGGCTGCCATGTCTCCTGCCGCATCCGCGCCGAGTCCGGGTTCCTACTCCACGACCCGGTTGACACCTTTGCCTTCGCCAGGCCCTAGCAGCCAGATGAGCAACCATGGATACATGCAGGAAAGCGAGAGGGTCAAGTCCGAGAAGAGAGCGGCGCTGCGTCTGGAAGCTGAGCGCATGAGAGAGATGCTCGCCGCGAAGGAGCGCGAGCTTGCCGAACTAAACGACTGAACGAAAAATTTCCACACGATACACACGAAAAAACGGATCGGAACATCGGGGTACCGGGATATCATGCGCGCGTACATGGAATTGGAGTTCTTTTTCAGGGAATCTGAACTGGGGATGGGCGGTAATCTTGTTTCGAACGGGTCTTTTTATCTTTCTTCTACCTTGTCTTTTGGCAACTGGCGAACGAGTGAAAACAAAACGGACAGGTCTGGCCTTTACAGGAGGGAGAGGGTGGTGTTGCGCATCTTGGCGCCCCCAAAACTGCATCTGATCTGTCCCGGTGGGCTTCATGACGCGGCGTTTCTTCGTACGACGACCAAAAATGCTTTTATACTTTGTTTTTGGGACCGAGTCTGGGGGTGGGGTTCGAGGGGAGTTGGATATCGAAAGATATCGGTTGTCTGTGGTGTTCATGGTTAGATACCGGACCCTCTGTGGTAATGGGTAGAGGCCGAAAAAAGGAGCCCCAAAAATGAGCATGGCATTTTGTCAATGGACAAATGTCGAGTACGTATTTCCAATCAACTTTCACATCGAATTTCGGGATATGGATGTTGTCAGTTTTTCGAGGGCAAAATCAAGGTCTGTTAGACTAGCCATTACGGATCACAAAACAATACCCTGCTTTTCCCGGCTTCCCTGATTCTCCTTACACCTCTAAGAAATAAGTGAAATTCATACAATACGCCGCCGCAAAGCTGGCGCAAACCCCTTCCTCCGACCGCCGCGGATTCCACAATGCCCACACTCCAAAAGTCGTGCTTTACAGTCCTGAATACACGCAATATACAGCAGACCCGACCGGCCAACAATCATCCAGAAGGAGGGGTTTGTGTCGGACTGACGGCAGATCCATTCCCCCCTATCCGTTGCTTTCACTTCTTTCTCGCTCCTTTCTCGTTTCGGTTTCATCACCCACCCCGTCTTTTCACGGATCAGGGTGGCGATGTTGGTAGTCGTAGTGGTGGTGTTCCCTCTCTTCTCAGTATCTTGACAATTCGAAATCCTCAGCAAATCCGATTCATATCGCAGCGATTTCTTCCGAGGAGGGGGGATAAAAGCCTCCGAGATAGGTTCTTTGTGCGTGGTTGAAAAAAGGGGGCGGCTAGCTTACACCTGCTCTGCTCCCCAGCCGGCGTCGGCCTCGCGCATGTTGGCTGGCGGCTCGATCTGGGGGACGAACTCGAGGACGGCGTAGGCGACACCGATGATGCCGATGATGGAACCGGCGAGGATCTTGAAGATTCCGTCGCTGAGGAGGATGGAGCCGATGAAGATGTAGACTGGGTGGGAGGACGACGTATTAGAATCGTTGCGCTTGGGAAGTCCGAGTTTTGGGGGGGGGGGGGGGGGGGGGGGGTTGTTTTTAAAAAAAAAAAAACACAGGCCCATAAGAAG